GACTAATTTCAGTTAACATGGCAGCCATAAAATGATGAAAACGCAAACAAGGCAAGTTTTTGAAGTCTTTTCGCAAACTATCGTTTTTAGAAATCCAGGATTAACGGCCAGTTAAGCGCATACAGCAAAAGATCTTGCCTCAGAAAAACTTGAAAAGTGTCGTTTTCAAAGCCGTCATTAAAAGAGAAGCCTCCTGACCGATTATCGTGCAGAGAGGCGATAAGAGGAAAACTGGTTGCACGATACCTAATGTATGAGTTCCCATGATTTACCAACTGCCGAAAAGGGTCACGATGAACCTAAGAACCCCATTTCGGGAAAAGGGCAGCGCAAAAACGGGCTGCACTTACCTGAATGGAAAATTGGCAATGTGCGCAGAAACCACAGTACCATGGCAGATAAGCAATTACAGCTTTTCTGCAAAAAATCCTAGGAATACGTAATCAGTATTAGAAACCATTACTCAAAAGCACAGTGAAGAGTGGATTTAGAAGAAACTTTGTTTCAGGTCGCTGCAAACACCTATTGAGCGCAATAATAATAAAACGCAAGGACATTTTTGCGTATTCGAATAATTCGATCATATAATAGCGATAGCAGAGAAGTCGTGTGTCTTGAAAACGTACGATGAATATGTGGCTCCGTGCGGAGCGTTGCTAAGCACTGGATTCATCCTTTGGGTAATTGGGTACTCTGCGTTCGATTTCATACAGTACAAATCTGCCCGCTGGTTCGCATAGGGGGGATCCATAAATTACGTACGCAGCGAACCAGGGAGGGACGGGTCGAAAAACGTGACAAGCTGTGACGGCCCGGCGAACCCAGGGGGAGGGGGTGGTCAGCTCCATATATTACGATCGAGCGAACCAGGGGGCAGGTGTCAAGCAAACGTGACGGACCGCTACGAAGGGGGAGGGAGGGGGTAAAAAATCGTGGTTTTCTGCGTACGTAATTTATGGATGCCCCATAGCTCGTTGGCAGCGGCGTAACGAGCTCAAAGGTTTGGGGTGGGCCACAAGTACTGGCTTTGGGGTAGGCCGTTCCCATAGACTCTATGCTATAACTTTTCGTTTGGGTGGGCCGTGGCCCCCAAATTATTAGGCTCGTTACGCCACTGCTCGTTGGTGAAATAAGCGGCACATCTACAGATATGTAACAGGCTTAATAGCATAACATATCATTCTGTACGTGCACGTATTCCAAAATTAACAAAAAATTTCTATAATTATTTCGATTTGACACTTAAAAGTTCTTATAATAGAGAAATCGAACTCCTTTCACCCGTAGCTGGTAAACGCATTCTACAGATTCCTGCATACCATATACCATATAATATGATACATATAATATGATAAAATATAATACAATATAATACATACCATATAAATTTATCACACTAAAGTGGCTTTAGTCACATACAGTATAGTGTAACTTTAGTGTATGATGTACAAGCCCGTTTTCAAACCTGTAGACCGCTGTAAGCGCGACGCAGTGAATAAGCGCACAGTTAAAGGCTAGATTTTATCTACTCTACACTGGATGCATTGGCGTAGAGCACTCAGTCTATCTCATACTTGTCTCTCTCACACACCCCTCACACCGCAGTGGCGTTAATGATCAATACGCCGTGACGTGCCGAAGCACTTTGAATGGCTCAAGCCCACGTTTTTCAAATGTCCCGGTTACAGCGGTCTACAGTTTGAAAACGGGCTTGTACGTCCCAAGAAATTAATTATTCTATTACAAAACGGTTTCCGTCCATTTTTTTTAGCATAAACACTATTTTACATAGTATACGTACCAGAGAGCTCCAAGGCGAAATACACCATTTAACCAGTAGAAATTTTTTTCCTCTAGACAGTCTTTGTCTAGAGTTTGAGTTTCCTGTGTTGTCATTTTGTTTTTGCGGATATTTTTGTGTGGTAAACTGAGCCCTGCCATTCTGGTTAAAGCCAGATTGGCAGGGACAAGTCCAGAGCGCTTTCACGGTCGGGTTCTGCCAGCATCCGCCACTGGAAACTCTCTAGCACCCGTGTAACATCTCACTTCGCCATACTCATCTGGTGGATCTGATTCGCTTTGTTCATCCGTCTCTCATATCATGGAGTTGAATCGGTTCCTGAATTCATCCCGCGGAGAAGACTTCGTCGGCCCTGTTGGCGGGAAGCTCGGTGTTTCTGAGCGTTGTGCTCGATGTGATCTGGGGCGAGTATTAACCCAAGGCGCTTCGGCGCATTTTCGCCATTCAACCAGTGACCTAGTTGGTGCAGCGTTCGGGGATTCTGCTGTTTTTGCTTTTGGGAACGGTGAGGTTGGAAACCGTGGATGTGCGCTCGGGAGCCGCGCTGACTCCGAGACTTGCCGTCGCTTGCATACGTCATTTTCGCATTCCGGATTCATGCGGCCTGAGGGTGGGGAGCCTGGAGTTTCTGGATGTTGTGCTCGATGTGATCTGGGGCGAGTATTAACCCAAAGCGCTTCGGCGCGTTTTCGCCGTTCAACCAGTGACCTAGTTGGTGCAGCGTTCGGGGGCTCTGTGTTTTCTGTTTTCGGGGACGCATGGATGTTCATTCTGGAAGCTGTCGTTTCGCTCAAATTGGACCGTGGAGTGGATCTCCCGAACCCTCTGGATGGGTGGATGGCAGTGATGGGTTACTGAGTAGGCAGTAAGTAAGGGAAAGTTACTCAGTAAACAGTAGCCTAATATTAAGGATTCAGTAACCAGTAACGTTTTGGACCTGAAGTAACAGTAACAGTAAGTAAGATTTTTAAAATAACAGTAAAAGTAAGTAAAAAGTAGGGAAAAATTCTGGCTGGCTATATTTGTACTGATAATACGATTTTTAATGGAATTTCTTAGAAATTATTTCTAACGATTTCGCCATAAATTCGCTCGTCACCTTCGCGCTTCGCGCGAAATTTCCTTCCTAACACAAGTTTTGGTAATTAGTACTTGTTGCTACTTGGCTTACTGAGTAAGTAATCTTTTAGGTGAATTAGTAAACATTAAGTAAAAGTAGCGTTTGCGGCAGCGAAAAAGTAACAGTAAAGTAAGTCAAAAGTATTGCAACAGTAAGAGTAAGTAAGAGGTCCAAAAACTCAGTAACCCATCACTGGTGGATGGGACGTGGAGGTGTAAATTCGGAGTCTCTGTGTGTCATGCCCGATGGGATCTGGGGCGAGTATTACCCCAAAGCGCTTCGGCGCGTTTTCGCCATTCAACCAGTGATCTAGTTGGTGTGGCGTGTGGAGATTCTGAGTTTTATGCTGATATTGTTTTGTCTGACTGTCTTTAGTGTTCGGTAGATTTACGAATGTTACACGTTGTCTTTGTCATGCTATCATCGTACTTCACTGTACTTGTACTGTTGCTATTTAACCATTATTCATCTGTTATTTCGTGTACCATAGAGGAACGTTTCCGAGAACGGCAACGGCAGGACGATGGGTATCCGCTTAAGATAATGAAATACGCAATTTGCCACATTCGGATAAACTACGTGTAATTCAAGAAGCGCAGATTTTCAAAGCATGTGCCGCTCAGCAACCGGCCGCGGGCGCAAAGTGTCTAGTACGATACCTCCTATAACAAGGGAAAAAAAGCGGACGGTTGAAACAGTTCCTGCAAAAGTTATTGCGCTCAGTCTCGCTAAAATTTTTCAGAATTTTCAACTGTAGCTTCTTGTAACGCAGAAAAGGTCACGCGAAAAGGTCATCCTCGAGTTATGGGCCGCCAGTACACATGTACCAGGAACGCGGCTTTTGCCGCGTCGCTGCTACACACGTTTTGACGGCCCGGCGAGCCCGCAGTGAGCTATGTCATGAAAACAATCTGCACAGCTACGGATAAGAATCGCAATGATTGCACTTTTGTGAAATTTGTTTCGTGTTGACTTATTTATTTGCTTTCAAAATAATAATTCACGTTGAATTATTGTCGTAGCGTGTATCGGTATTTTTCACAGATTTTAAATTTTTAAGTAAAACGGCATTAAATCTGATCATTTCCCCCATCTAATAACATTTCTAAAATTAATTTTTAAAATTTCCCACTTCAAGATTCAGACCACTGCAATTGCCTGGTCACCTAATTTGAATTGAATTTCTAAAAACATTTGGTTCCAATTTATCCCATTTGCATTGCATCGTGTTAAACGAATCATTAAGTATTTTTTCTCTGGAATTACTGGGCAAAACTTGTAAAAATCTGCCTTAAAGCCTTGAACCACATCTCGCATATATGCTATTATCATTTCTATATGTCAAACAATTTTAGGAATAATTAGAAAATTTGAACAATTACTGGGGTCGTTTTTGGTAGACCAGTTTAGATACAGAACTAACTGTTAAGTAATGATTTTTTTCCCAATTCATTGGCCACTAATGGCCAGTTACCAAATAAGTTGATGTTTTTCCATATTTTTGATCGACTGAACGCAGTTATAGTTCACGTTTTCGAAAAAATGCATATAATTATTATTCTGGTACGTTTCTGTGAACTACGGTAAATCAAAATGCAACGTTGCATGATATTTGATTCCTTATCATTCTAGTTTTAAAGCGGAGGATTCGTCAGACACTAACGTACGAGTACATATTGAAAATCGCCGGTAAAATGTAGTGTTGTGGCTCTGTGACTAGACTATATGCTACTCTGGTAAAGGCAGTGTAGTGGACGTGTATAAAAATTTCCTTCTTCAGCTTCCAGTTTTTTATTTTTCTTTTTTCGAAAATAAAAAACTGATTTCAAAGACATTTAATTATCGTTTCTCTGGTATTGTTTGTGTGGTTCTCCTCTTAATTTAGTGTAAAAATGGCGGGACGATTTTAATTCTCACAGCAAAAAGCTTTCGGTACAGTTTTTTTATGAACAAGGTTTCTGTACAGTTTTTTTATGAACAGTTTTCTTTTTTACTTTTTACAAACTAATTCTAATTTTCTCCGGTTGATTTATTTTTTTTAAAGTGATAATAAAGCGGCGTAACAGTGCACTGACTGAATTAATCCGAATAAGTTTTAATCATACAAATCCAAAGTCATTCATATCTCGTACAACAAGCAGTCATGTTTTCATTCCAAAGAACAAACACTAACAAAAATAATACCCAACAAATACCGCGATTATTTCCAAGTTATAAACAAACAGCCATTTTCAGCCGCATCATGCCGCATTCTTGTGAAAAGATCAAAGTGATTTTCAGTATAAAATGATGTGAAATTCGCCCAGCGCTGGAAACGATTAAAAACTACGAGGAACGATCCATCCAGACTCATCATGCGCACTTGTTTCTTCGTCAGACCAACAAAATTTCCGCAGGGACTTCTTCACAAGCTCATCAAATAGCGCACGGCCCGGTCGACGGAGCTCTCGCGCGGCTTCTTGGGCGAGGGAATGGCCGGCTCGGTGTCCTCGCGACGCGGCCGTCCGCGCTTCCGTCCGCTGGTCTCCGGCTGCGCCTGCAATTCACCCAAAATAAAATACAGTCAGCATATTATTAATTTTAATTAAAATTATTATTTCTGAAATTACTTAATATATGATTAATATTTCTGAAATTTATTATACATTTAGATTTTTCTACAACCGAAAATAATTTTATTCTTATTCGCGATTGGTAATTAAATGGAAGAACTAAGCCAGAAAGTGACAAATAATATTATCAAAAAGGATAATTAAAAGACTTCGATAATTAGCGGTTAGTTCTGGATGCGGCGAAATTTCAGATCAAATGTGCCTAGAAAATTGTCATAAATTATGCAGCAAAAAATTGAAATGAAAAAAAATGGTAACCATTATGTCAGTAACTGCAAATTTTAATGAACAGAGAATAGAGAAAAAGAAATTAATGAAAACCGAACATGGGAATTCATGTTATGTATGTCTGACAATGGACACTTCGGAAAGAGCCACAGCACTACGTTGCACCGTACATTTTCAACGCGCTAACGTAGTCTTCGTCGCCAAGAAATGGACTAAAAAAATCTCCTCCAGTTAATAATTATTTCTATATTTATTTTCATTTTCTGAATCACCGAACACGGTTTAAAAATTGTTACATCAGTAGTTTTCCTTAAATCGAATGCAAACCAAAATATCAATAAAGCAATTAGATTTACGTACAGTATTATGTTTTTACTTTGTATTAAATTACAAATCGAAGCACAAGTTACAGACAAAACAAATTAAAAAATTTTGTTTTTCATTTTTCTTTCATTAAATAACAAACCCAAAACTGGCAAAATATACTAAAACATTACGGGAAAATTATTTACTGCTATTTTATTTGGGGAAAAATTAATGAAGAACTGTAATTTATTTGTACGAACAAAATTATGGGACAATTACTATCACTTGATTATTACGGGAAAATTTTAAAAATCCGGATATTTATTTGAGTAGTTATGTGCATTAATTTCCCGTTCAACAAATTTGATAACCTGATAGGTGGGCTGGCTGAAGGCACTCCCGCCCGGCGTCTGCTGGATGACCGACGTCTGCGCCTGCCCATACCCGTTCCACCCGCCATGGGGCGGCTGCACGCCGTACCCCGCCATCGGCTGCTGCACCATCACGGGCGGCTGCTGTTGTTGCTGCGCCGCGGCAGCCTCCTGCTCGCGTTGTCGCTGTCGTGTCTGCCGCGGATTGAACGACGCGCTGGGCGTCACCGGCTGACTGGCGGTCACCGGCGCGGCCGCCACGGGGGTCGGCGGGGGCGCGGTTTTGGCCGGCGGGGTCAACGCCGCGGCAGCCGATTCCGCCGCCTTCTTCTTGGCGGCCGCCGTGGCTTTCTTGGCGGGCGTGGCCTTGGCCGGTGACGTGGTGGTGGCGTTGCGGTTGACGGTGCCGGCGTCGGCCAGGGCGGCGATCTCGTCGGGCACGGGGATGCCCAGTTTGTTCAGCAGGTTGACGTAGGTCTTGCGCGCCGTCTGGTTGGCGCTGACGCTCTCGGCCAGCTGCCGGCGCAGCGAGGCGATCGTCTCCATGGCTTCCTTCTCGTTTTTGGTCTTGGTCTGCACCACCAGCTCCACTTGACGCGCCGATGTGGTCTATGTCAAAAATAACAGAGTTTTTAGGATTTCATCCGGAACTTCTTCAAATTTTCGTTAATATTACACGCACATAATTTACTGATTTTTTTATCAAAAATGGCACACGTGGCATGTAATTTTTCCCGTAATTTCAAAATTTTTCTGCATTTTCTTTCCTGTGAAATATTTTCAATTTTGATAAATTATGACACAAATCACCAACATTTCTTCTGCGATTTTTTCCCATAATTTCATCAGATTTTTTTTTGCAATTTTTGTTAATTTCATAATTATAAAACGCATAAGCAGAATTTTTCAGAACCACCATACTCTTTAATAATCTTTACATACAGTACTTTTGATACGAATTAACGGGATTTTTTTGGGAATATTTCTCAGGAACAATGGAACATTTCCTATCTCCAAAAATAAATCACCAACCGAAATTCCCAATTCAAAGACAACTTCATTTAAAAAATGCCAAAAGAAAAATAATTATAAAATACCAGCTGTTAATCACCATTAACTAGATCATTCTAATGAAAATTTCGTAACCCTGTTCTGGATAAACCAACAGGCTGTACACCAGGCTGTCTACAGCAGCAAGCGAAGTATTTTTCATTCAACTAAAAAAATATTCCAAAATTAAATAGGAAAAAGTGATTAAAATGAAATGGAAGAAAACGTCTGAAATAAAACAGAAAAAAAATAAAATAAAAAAGTAATAAAATGTTTAAAATAAAATAAAAATAACACATTTATAAATTTCTTCCTCACCTGCAACTCAATAATCTGGGCGCGATACGACTCCGTCTCCTTCTGCGCGCGGACATAATTGGCGCGGAACAGTTCCACCTCGGCGGCGACGGCGCGCTTATCCTCCTCCACCTTCTTGGCGCGCGCCAGATAATACTGTGCCAATTTATCCAGCATCTCGATGCGCTCCGTCTCCTGCGCCTGGCACTGGAAGTGCTCGCGCATCCACGCCGCCACCCGCGCCTCCAGATGGGCCACCTTGAACTTCTCCGTGGTCAGGGCGCTCTCGGCGTCCTCCACCTTCAACCGCAGATCCACAATCTCTTCGTGCGCCTCGCGGATGATGGCCTCCACTTCCTCCTCATCCGAATCCGCCTCCAGTTCTTCGTCTTGCACCTGCATACACAAAAACAATCCGTTGCAACCGTTAAAGAAATCATCCTGCTAATGTACTGTGATTTTTATGTCGCTACATATTCGATTTTTTTTATGACACTACGTATTCAATTTTATTTTCTCTTGAACGTTTTTCACGTCCAGAATTTCTTTCGATTATCGGGATATATATATATATATATATATATATATATATATATATATATATATTTTTGCAGTAACGAGAAAGCACAACTTTTACCATCCTAAAGAAATAATGTGCTGTATTTAATGCGATTATTATTAGGAGGTATTCGATTTCGCTTATTTTTATATTTTCTCAATTGGCACTTATCTGGCAATTTCACAAATAGGATACGTGTATTTGTACGAGAAGGATCGTTCACGTTGCCATCATAAAAATATTTTGGGGTATATGGGTATTCACTACAGTTACTGATGTTTTCGATGTTTTCAACGTTTCTAAGTCAAAATAAAAACAAATTCTTTTTCCAAAATTCTCAATCAAAATATAACAACAATATGGAGTTTATTTATCTGAATACACCATCATAATTCAATCTTTTATTAAATTTTAATTAAATTAGACGCAATTTATAAATCTATCTTTTTATAATAAAAAAAAACAACATTAACGGCATGTCGGCATCTATTCTTCGGTGATGCCACATGGAAATACGCAATAAATTTTACCATATTAATTCCTCATGCGATTTTTCACATTTATTTAAAATTCCTGTCGATGTTGTTGATTCAACTGCTTTTTCCTCTCAGTGATACGAAACGCCAAACTGTTGTTCACGAATTTATGATTGAATTACGACTTTGAAAATAACCGCAGCAAAATTCCACCAAAAACCGCTGACCTGTACAGCGCGCGTCATCATGGGCCCTTTCGACGTAGATCCGCGCTGCTCATTCTGTCGCTGCTGCGTCACGGGCACCATCTTCTGCAGAATGATCTTCAACGGCTCCCGAGGATTGACCGGATCCTCCTCCTCGTCCTCCTCATCATCCCCTTCCTCAAACACCTCCTCCACGGCGGCCACCACGTTCCGTCGGGGCGGCGGCGGCGGTGGTGGGGCGGGCTGCGCCTTCTGCAGGACGATCTTCAGCGGTGCTTGCGCCACGTGCTCGGCATCATCGGCGACCGGCAGTTCATCGGGGAAGTCCATATCCGCATCGTAATCCCCGTCCTCCGATTCCCTGCTGATAACATCAACACCATCATCCAGAAACCCGTCAACATACGGTCGCCAATTGGGGAAAAGTTGCTGATATGTTCAAAACAGTTGAGAAATTGTTCAGCGGTAAAAAAAACCGGAAATTATTATGAAACGAAAATTCCACAAAAAAATCTGGACAAACCCAACACAACGATAATACACAACACATATACTGTATCAAGTTCATTACTCAAGAAAAACTGAAGCTAAAATTTAATGTAAAAAAAAGGTTCCATTCAAAATTATAATGAACGGAAATTTTAAACAACTGAAAGGCACGTACAAAACGAGCAGAGTGAAGAAACCACCCACTTTCGATAAAAAGCAATCCACTGACAATAACACGCTGCACAATATTAATATCATAAAATTACTAATAAGAAGGAACTAAAAAATTAAGCAAAAAAAGCAAAACAGCGCACAGATTTTATTACGCAGCAGGCAGTCGACCGTGCCAAATTATTAAAATCGGGAAATTTTTTCAAAATTATTTCCAGAATTTCCCAATTAATTTCCCTCAAATTAAGCAAAAAAAAAGGAAAACAGCGCACAGATTTTATTACGTAGCAGACAGTTGACCGTACCAAGTTATTAAAATCGGGAAATTTTTTTCATAATTATTTCCAGAATTTCCCAATTAATTTCGGTTTCAGTTACGGTAATGTTAAGTTGTTAACCGGTACGACATTTACGCCATCGCAACGAGCAAGGGTACCTGCGCGATAACTGCACCGCCAGTCGTGTGCTGCTGCGTTGCGGCGCCCGCACAATCCCGCCCTTCTTCTTGGCCACGGACTGACTGCGCACCGGCACGGGGACCGGCACACTGGACAGCGGGACCGTCTTTTTGATGGTGCGGCCCGGTGGTTTGGCTACCAGGGCCGGCGGTGCCATGTGGACATGCCCCGGTTTCGTCGATTTACACCCGGCCACCGTGCAGGCCCGGGAGGTGCTGGGCTCCGGCAGGCCGACGGATTTCTTGGCAAACTGCGATTTACCCGTGGCCGGCGGCTCTGCAACACAGTGACACACAACGTTTCAACACAGCATGGCATATTTTGTACTTCTTTTTATTCCGCTTTCATTAATTTACAGCAATGTTCATGACTTCAGTACGTACGTAGCTAATTAACGATGAATCCAGTATTTATCTCATAAAATCAAACCAAAAAAAAATAATACTCGTATTTTCAAAGTGTACCAAAAAAGTTATAAAAAATGAAGACGGTAATTTTTATTATCATTATAACAACTACGGTAACCAAACTAAGTACTTATATGAACGGAGACTCGAACAGGCTATTGGAAAATGTTTTTAGTGATTCAGTTTTTGGTAATGCAAGATAGCAAGAATAACCAAGGCAGATACAGCTGTAAATAGTACCAAATACCACAAGCGAATAGCGATATCGTAGTGCAATGTGTACATGAACAGCAAAAAGCGAAAAATGAGCACACCGAAATGAGCCGCAAAATTTTCGAAATTCGTTTGCAAATATTTTTTTAGTTGTAAATAATAACAAAACAAGATACGATACTTTACACCAAAACATTTACAAATAAGCCGCAAAATTTTCGAAATTCGTTTGCAAATATTTTTTTAGTTGAAAATAATAGTAACAAAACAAGATACGATACTTTACACCAAAACATTTACAAAGAAGAAATACCACCAACAGTCCAATCCAAAACAAATCCGTAAAATCAATCAATTTGAATCAAATCAATAAAAATTAAAACCGACAATTTCAGAAATATGGTTAAAACACCATAATTTTCGCAGAACGTAAGTTTTCGTACTGGCCGTCTTACCGTAGCCCGGGCGGACGTCAAAGCGCACCGGCGCGGAGCCCCTGCGCAGCGTCCCATCCGGCAGCACATCCGTCTCCCGAAAATGCTCCCGACACACCCCGGCCGTGTTGTCATGCAGCAGATACGCCCCGCTAACGGCGTGATTCCGCGCCGCGCTGTTATTAATCGCCGACATCCAGCGGTTGCGGTCGGCGGCGCGGCCCTCCAGCGGCGGGAAGGGGAAGACCCCGTGCTGCGGTTTATTGTAGTGCCGGCAGCTGCTGACGATGCAGCGACGCAGCTGTGCCTTGGCCGTGGAGTTGGCGCTGAGTTTGGGGGCCTCGGGACGCGGCGGCACTCCGCCGGTGCGGCGCGCGAACCCCGGGGGGCGGCCCTGACTGCCGCTGGCCGCCGAGAGCGTCGACAGGGTGGAGGGCGTGGCGGAGCGCACGCTGGAGGCGGCGGAGGGCGCCGGGGAGTGGGTGGGGGCCGGGCGCATGGGTGGGGCCTCGATCTCCAACGAGTGCTCGCGGTCGTCGGCGGCACGACGCTCATTGCCTTCGTTCAACTGCGGAAAACAAGAAATACGGTAAAATAAATAAAAATAATGGCTTACAGTCAACGCGCAGCCTGATAAAATTACTGGAAATTATTACAGTAGATTTTTCTAGAATTAGAAGTTAATTTCTTCACAAATAAATAATTATTCCTGATACCAAAAAAAGAAATTTTACCGCCAATCCAGGTTTAAATTGCCCATAATATGCGCTGCCATTTATTAGCTGGCTTTACCCAAAAATATACAAATGTGAAATGTCATCTATGATTTATGCAAGGAGAAATCAATGGGACTCGATGTCTCAATCAATAATTTTTTTTTATTGTAAAGGGTCAATATTAATAGCTAGATTTAATTGTATGATGCAGAAATATTTATTTAATTTTTTTTCCAACGTGACTGTATTTTTTCCACACTATTTTCAGGATTCTGATAGTAAATTCAGTTTTCTCACTTTTCTGGACTAAACTGTCTGCACACTAAAGACTAAACTAAACTGTCTGCACACTAAAGACTAAACACTCAGTAATACTCTGTTGAGTTTTGAGAACCATCTAAGCGACGAAAATCTCAATGCCTGCTGAAAAGTGACAATCAACCCAAGATGATGGATTATTAATACATTTATATTAAAAAAAATACGGACGGATGATCGAAAAACGGCACTCAGAGCGATTTGCTAGGACCAGCCAGGTTCCCGCATCCCGCAGACAAACCAACTTTCTTCGTGCTTGGACCACCCTCCCACCTCAACGACCAACTTATAAAATCCCAACCCACGATTTCCCATCGTCAATTAAGCGGACGAGACCGCAACGCGCAACACTGATCAACTGCGAAGACGGAAAGCACCAGCCAGTTCGCCACAGGGTTCGTGCTTGTTCCACTGTCCTATGATCCTATCTCATCCCAACCCAGCGCAAATTGATCACCCACGAACCTTTCTCTGCGCCGCTACATTGGGCAGCACCCCCTCCATCTCCGCGGGCGACGTGCGCGGGATAATGCGCGAACGCAGCACGACAAAGGAGTGCGACGGGGTCGCCGTCGTGGTCTCCATCAGTGATCCGACACAGAACACTCACAACACATCCACCACCAACAGGCCACATACACACACGGGCTATCGTCCAGCAATGGCCAGAAATGTAAAAAAAATCGTTGAGACTAGAATCTAGGGGATCAGAATTAAATGGGAATGTTTTCAAAGTCGGAAAAGTGGAAAGAGACGAGCCAGACACGAAAAGCACACGGAAATCGGAAAATCAGAACAAAGAGTATTTTCGAACTAAGTTCAGGCGCAGACAACACGGAACAGGGATTGCGGGGGATGCGCACTGTGACTAGCGCGCTGTTATTACGTTCACCAGTGGAATTCTGTAGTTAACCATGCGCACGGCACTACGTTCCCTGTTCGCTAGCAGCGGTAAAGAACATTTTAATTAGTATGTACTAACTACTAAGTACAGTACTTGTTACATGTTACTGTTAGGCCTCGTCTCGCATTCGAAGCGAATCTAGCTTTGGTACGGTTGCTCAACCGCACGAGCTGGCTGTATGCAGTGGCCACGCCCACAGATACGGTATGCGAAGCCACCTCGCGAGGTGTGAGTTGCTGTATCGCAACAAGATTCGCTTCGAATTCGGGACAAGGCCTTAGTACATTATACTTATAGTAAGTACTTGTTAGTTGTTAGTACTTATACGCGAATCAGCGAATGGACTTTTTATTATTCTGATGGCTTTTGCGCCTTTGCCCAATAAAGACAAAAGCACTCTTAAAGCAGGCATTTGAAAACTTTTACCAAACAGTTATTTTTGGTAATTATTAATTTTATTTTTATAATGACAACTGACAACTGTCAATACTCTGCTTGCAACAAACCTGTGCGTGGATTGAATCTGCCCTACGAATACTGCAACTGCATATCAAAAATTTACAGGAAAAAGTGAGAAAGGATTCATTAATTAATTTTAATGCATTATGTAGTACAGTAACTCAGTCACCACATAATACTAGTATGGTGTGCCAATGTGCGCTTCTACAACGGTCAACAACTATCGGCCTGCGCCCCTACACTACAAAAGCCATTATATTTGCTGAGCAATCCATGATGGAATCTGTGTACCGGAGAGATTCATAATCAACTAATTCATTACGTACTTCATTAAATTAATCTTCTTCTCCGTATTCAAACAATAATATACAACTGATGATTTTGCATATTTTTATATTGGCGTTTTCTGCGTGGATGATATTTCCTAACACATCCCGACGGTGTTCGTCATTTGCAAATTAGGCACAATTTCGTCGGCATGCTAAAGCGTTACAGATTGCGTTTGACTGATACTTTAATGAAATTTAAGTATTATTATTTGCTCTTACACTGCCATGGCAGAGAAATACATATTTTTTGAAATTTTTAAATCAACACTAATAATTTTTTCTACCCGACTAAAACCAATTTCAAGATTCCGTAAATAATTAATAATCACCTCTTATTGATTTTAAGTGCTTAATCATAAAAGAATCATAAAAGAATTGGGAAAGCGTCTACGGACCCATTCAGGAGAAGCTCGCTCACACGAATTTCTCCGGCAGCGCCTGTCTCTAGAGATACAGCGGGGTAACGCCGCTTCTGTTATGGGTACCGTTGAAAGAGCGGAGATGTTTAATGAACTTTTGTTTGTTTAAATGTTCTTAAAACGTGTTTAAGTGAAGTTTTGAAATAAAAAACGAGGGAGTGCTTAATTAGTCCTCTGAGAAACCCATAAAAATAAAATCTGCGCCAACACTAAAACTAAACTTTAAAGTGAGACAACATGGCTACGAGAAAAACATCACTTCAAATCTTAAAACTCAGATTCTGTAGAAATCTTTAAACTGAAAATCAAGCCGTATAATTTGGTCGAATGAAAAAAGAATCTTTACAATATTGTATTAAAGCCAAAAAGTAATCGCCAGCCGCCAAATTTCATAAAATAACAAAAATTATTTTCAAGCGGAATTAGCCATATTTTAATGTAAAAATCAAAAGCATTAATTCATCAGAAAATATTAAACCTTAAACAAAATAGGAAAAAAGCCGGTTAAAAATGGAATTTAAAACTCTTCAATCTTTTTATGGATCAAACTGAAAAACTGATTGCAATAACACGAATTAAACCTCAGCAAAATACAGGAAACATAACCGGTCTAAAACAGAACTCACTACTATTTTCATCGTTTTATGGATCAAATTAAAAAACTAACTGCGATGACACAAATTAAGCAAAAAATACTGGAAAAATAACCGGTTAAAAATTGTTTTTAACTAAAAATCCAACACATACGACAGCAGAAAATGGCGAAATTTCTGGCTGACTTACATCATCTTGTCGCGACTCCAGCCCGATACTCTTCAGCATATTCTCCATGTGCTCCGCGGAGCCGGCGCCCTCCTCCGGCTCGTTTACCTCGGAGGCGGTGGCGGTCTGATCCTCCTCATTGGTCACGTAGCTCTTGTCGGACGCGGCGTCGTCCTCCACATCGTTATCATCGTCACCGTCCGCGGCGGACTGTCGACGCTGCGCCGCCACTTCATCCACATCCAGATCGTCCAGCGTCAGGTTCATGACGGCGTTGGTGCTGGAGGTCATGATGGGGGAGCACTCCTCCATGCTCGGCTGCTCCATACTGATATCCGGGTCGTATGACTCTCCGGCCGCCGCGGGCGGGGGTTCCACGTCGGGATCCGTCGCGCCCGATGTGCTGGGCAACGGTTCATCCGGCAGTCCGTCTGAAATAGAAAAAGGATGCCAAATGTGTAATCATCGGCACGGAATGCCACGGATTTTATCGTAACCAAACCGCGATATTAAATTGCCCGTTTTTTACTGGAAAATGCAGCGATTTTGTTATCACAATCTGAACAAGTGTTTAGCTGTATAATTACCTGTAATGACAAATTACAATTATATTTCCTACCATAATTTATAAATGTATTTATAATACCGTAAGTACTGTATTTTAATGGAAAAAAGTATTCCACGGGTGACGGGTCTCATGAAACGATTTCTATGAAATTATCACAAACCCTATGCGGAATTCGTGATTACATTCAAACAGCAAAATCAGTAGCAGTCATACATATTATATTATTTCAGTGCATAATTTTCCCATTAGCATTTAACATTTTAACACTGAAAATTTTTTTCCGGAAAACTATAATATCCTGCTCAACGCGCACTGTATTACTAGAGCCGGCACAGCGGAGAATTAGAGCTAATTTATTTAATTACGCTAAAAAATTAGAATCATTAAAAATACAGATCCCACAACTGACCAATTATTATAATTATTTTAGCTGCTCTCAAACATAACCGAAATTATCAGAATTAATAATTTTGCATGATGATAACTGGAATTTTCTTTTGCGTCATTTTCGAATAGTTATTTGCCGGGAAATGTATAAACTTTTTTAAAAAAATTCCTCCAAATCCAATGCCATCATATGAAGAATTTAATGTTAGATAAGCAAATAAATCGAATATAACTCATGATACTGCACAGAAAATTCCCATAAAAAATCCAGAAAACTGCTAACAAACTCTAAAAATTCCCAATAAATTCTGAAAATTTCCAGTTTTTCGTACCTTCAATTCCGGCCAGCAGCTGCGTGGGACTGACCGTGACATCCATATCTTCGGACTCCTCCGCGGGACGCCCCTCGCCCTCCTCCCCGTTAAGGGGCGCGGGGCCGGGGCGCCGCAGGATCTCTCCCGTTTCGTAGGCCCCCGGGAATTCCTCCTCGCTGTCCTGGCGCTCCGCCGCTGGCGTGGCCTCCTGCAAGCTCATCTCCTGCTTGACCCCCGGGGCGGCGGTGGGGGTAGGGGTGGTGGTGGAGGCCGCCAGCAGATCGTCGATCACCGCATCGTCCAGGGTGATGAGGGGCGCCGTCAGGGGCGCATCCTCGTCATCCGACAGGATCAGCTCCGTCCCGTCCGCCATCACTTCTCCCATTCTCCGCTCGCTGCAAATCGACAGTTCAAGTCAGCGTAATCATGGCAGCGGCTCGGGAAAACGTTGGCAACCACAATAAATCCGCACAGAAAATATTAAAAATAAAAATAACAACGGCGGATTATAATTGGCTTGTGCTCAGCATCGCCAATTCTGATTGGCCTGATCCTCCATTCCAGCCAATGAAATGTTTTCCCGAAGAGTTCAACATTTAACACAATTTATTAAGGCTTACAGTGCTTACTGCGCAGAATTCTTTCAAATAATTTCTGGAGATAACGCAGGGGAAAATAATATATGTAAAAAATTAAAAGATGCCAGGAACTCTGCAAAACAGTGATAACAAATACAAATGTTATTCGGAAATTTCGCGAGTGGAATTATTCCTCACACAGAGAACTGCAGCCAGCAGCAAAGTGGAACGATTGCAACCCCGTCAAATTTTTTCAAAGATGAAAAACTACGAAAGACTAATCTGAAACCGTTACATTTGTAAGAATATAAAATTTAAAAAAATCACAAGTTTACTTGTACACGGTATAAACAAACAGTTGGAAAGCGAGCAGAGTTGGAGAATCACAAAGTCCTCTGCGGTGTGCAACTGCACAGCTACAACCAGCAATCAGTAAGGAAAGAGCATCTGCAGAAATCCCTGTACTCACCTGTAACGCACAATCAATCACTTGCACCAAATTCTATCCACGTCCAGAAAACAGATGAAAAAAGCCACCGCACTACGTTGATTAACAATCCGTAAAATTTAAAAGCTAAAAACAGAGTCAAAAACGTGTGCTGAGCAGCGCGCGTGAAACCTCACTAGAGTAGGCGAGCTCGTTACGCGGACCCCAAGCGATAGGTGCAGAGTGAGAACCGGTCTGAAACGCTCGATTTGGTCGGAACGAAGCGTGCGCCGGTCCGTATGGTGAATTTCTATTGGCTGCACATGGTAGCTGCTGGGCGGGGTTTATAATTTTCTTAGCGAAGAGAGCGCTGGAGTCCATTACACAGCACGACGGAACTGGTCCGGCCGACCGATTCACCATGCACGCTGCAGAGTGGATGCAGCCGCTTGCTGCACTTTAAACAGGCGTGAGGCGTGGCTAAATACACCGTGCTTGCGGTTGATTATAAGAAGCTGCGAAATTATTTTAGCTGTGCAATTGTGGATGTCCATAAATGGGAGAGGGCGAGATTAAAAAAAGGATGAAAATATGAAATTAATTACTACAGTAAGTACTTATCCAATTGGTGACATATGTTTGAACACTGGATAAACGCACAGAAAGGCGCTGTAGGGAGAGACGCACTGCGTTCAAACAGCGGACAGCCTAACCGCTCATGGGCGGCAGTTTCATTCAACGCGCCCAATGACGATTGACGAAGCGCTGCAGCGCCGCTGATGCACTTTCTGGCGTTCTAGAAATTAGAAATCACATACAGTACTGTTAGAAATAGTATGCAGAAATTAGAAATTAGAAATCGTATTTATAAAAAATTAGAAAGATGCAAGAAACTCTGCAACACAGTGAAACAAATTTTGGTAAGAACTCGTGTTACGCAAACATATAAAGATACGGAATTTACAGGAAAAAAGTATGAGTGTAACAGTCACAAAAAACGTAAAAAAAACTAACGTCAAAATAAATAAAACAAAATAAATAAAAAAAATAAGTAAGAGTATAAAAACGTCAGCAGAAGAGAAAAAATTCCGGAAGCAGCATTAATTTTTGTAAATCGCAGCACGACTTTGCACTGACTCTAAATTTTTCAATTTTTTTTGCCGACATATGGAAAGATATCCACTACACTACGAAATCGCCGAAACTTGTAGTATTTTCTCACATCGATTTTGACCAGTATGTGATCGATCAATTACGCTATTCCGCAAACATAGTTTTCTGGCGCCTCCACCGGAAATTCTAGCACTGAACTTCAATGTTTTCGATTTGAATAAATTTATAAAAAAAACAATAAAGTCTGATATAACTGTTGCAATTTGGTAATTTTAATGTAATATCAAGTATTACAATATCATAAATTTAAATAAATAAATTATAATATGATATAAAAACATTAATTTTTAATAAACCAACAAAATCAGTACAATTTAAATAATGATGTTTATAAAGTTTTTGATAAATTTGGTGTAATGTTTTATTATTAAGTACTTATCGTTAATAATTACTTATATCTTTAATATGTTGATCTTCAGAGTTGATGCAGCTGCGTACTACACGGCAGACATGCAGCAGGCGTGGGTAACTTGAACCGCGGTTTCCGTTGTATCGGAAAAGAAGCTATGTAATTTTTGTAGCTGTGAAATTAATAGTCGCCGATAATCTGACCTAAATTGTGGTGAAGACATTTGCAACGAAGAAACGCACCTTTTCGCCTGAAGTGTGCCGTGAAGAAACGATGTACAGAGTATGCGATGCTGATCCGAAGGCAGACAAAAGTAGCAAAGAAATGCCGGAATATCGAATGTACTCGTATAAGTGCGACCGCATGGCCGTAAATCAGCGATCATGCGTGTTAATGCGCTACAGATTGTGGGATTCTCGTTGATTCTGCTCAGCTGTATTGTGGCGCTGAATGTTTGGAAACAAAACCGCTTCACAACTCTAGCGATGGTACGTTCCTAGCTTTTATGATTTTTTTTAAAGTGGTAGAGAAAAATTTATTTCCGCTTTTTTCTTCACTAAAACCGGCGAAAACCGTAACGAAATTTATAAGTTTCAAAACGGTTATTTTCAGAAATTCAAAATTGTTATAAAAACCTAAGATTAAACGTTTAAAAGTGCAAAATTGGAATTTGACAGTCTTAGCGAGTTAATTAATAAGTACTAGACTGAAATAGAACGTAATAAATATGCTGAATTTGGTTTTGAAAACTTACACGTTGTGATCAAGTTTTGCTATAATTTTTATTTTTATTTAATTTCAAAATCTTAAAAAAAGATTTGCATTAAAAATAGAAAACCTTTTAGAGAATTAGAGAATCAATTATTATGAAAATAAATATCGTAAATTGTTAAAAATATCGTAAAACTGCTAAGTATGTTTAAGTTATATGTAAAAAAGTATTACGACATTTATTACTTAAAACACTGAATTTGTTGCTAGAAACAGATAATTCGGAAATAATTTCCTCTCATAAGACCGATGCATTTCTTCATGAAAATCCCGGCGGAAAAATTCGACCGGCACAATGCGACCCCACCGCCCCACCCTCGCTCCTTCTCTTCGTCCCTCACGCCCCGCCCACGCGGCCGACCGCGCCGCTATCCGCGAGACATGGGCCGCCCACGGGCGACTGTGTGGGGTGCGGGTTATCTTCGGATTCGGCGGCATCAACGACACACTGCTTCAAGAGGAATTATTGGCGGAGAACGCGCTATACGGAGATCTCCTGCAAATTGACGATATTCCCGATTCGTATTATAATCAGACGCAGCTGATCCTGCGCTTCTTCCGCTGGGGCGTTGAACATTGCAGCGGGGCGCGGTTCATGGGAAAAGCCGATGAGGACACGTGGATTAATGTCTTTGGGATATTCGGCTATTTGCGACTGCCGGAAGCGGGGCGGTCGGTCACCGGCTGGATTGTGGCCAATGAGAAGATGCGAAAGGTCAACCGCCCGGAAGATGGTCTCAAATGGTAATTTTCTTGGTATCATTTTATAGGCGCACGCTCGAGCTATTAATTAAATTTAACTTCTTGGTCCTTACTCAGGATCAATTTAATTCAGTTAATTATATGTATTTAAAAATATATGCATATTCCTTTAAAGAGTTAATTAATTATCAAGTATATATTGCATACACTATAATATATAGTACATGTAATATTTAATTAACTATTACTTCATCAATTATTGTCTGTTTGTCGATCGATACAGCAAGATTTTCACGCACTTATTGCCGACGATTGTGCATGTGGTATGATTTTCGTAGTGTGAGGGCTCATGTTTGCAAATGTGTCTGCAAAATAACGATATGCCAGTTGTTTATAACGCTATATGAATGAATGTCTGCCAGTTTTGTAATGCTCACAAGTGAATAATGCTTGATAATTGCAAATTATCAAGCGGGGAAAGACAGGAGAAAGCCGATCTACCGCTTTCTTAAAACAACGCATCAGTCTAGCGATAATGAAGGGAAACGCTGCCGCAGTTTTAGGCACTTTGCCGGGCAGAAATAAATTTGTGGAAGGGAATGATTTTGGTTGTTTTTGGAACTTGTAGCCGTAGTGTGTAATCATCGTTGCTGAACACGAAGGAAACCAATAAATAAATACGAGTAAAATGCTTGATAGCCTTTGATTAATATTTTTGAATTTTTATTTGAATATTGGTTAAATGTTTTTTTTTAAAAATTGTTTACTCTCCATCCTACCAATAAATTATTTTGTAATATTTAAAAACTAATGCGAAAAGTAGAAGAATTTTATGTTTAATCGATATTCTGCATTTGAGTGAACTAAACTGTCACAAATTAAGAGCCTTCACAAGTTTCCGAAGACTCGAACAAATAGCCCTTACTCTACGAAATCAAACATTTATAGGAAATAATTGGGTCGGTAATGGTGGAAACATTAAACCGTGTGTGCATTCGATGAACAAGCTAGCAAATAAGCCAAACCGGTAAATGCCATTTATACCGCTATAGACGATATTCCCTGGATAATGAAATGCATTATGCATCAAAATTATTTACGTCTATACGTGGCCAGTTACATTATTTGCCAGGGTTTTTGCCCAAGTTGAAAAATTATTTATTCTCCCAATTTTTTTTAGAATTTTTTCCGGTCTATGTAATTTTTACAGTTATTTAGGTTCTCATTATTCAGCTTTTTTTTCGTAAGTATGCTTTAGATAAATTGTTGGAAGTCTAATTATTTTACAGGTTCCTCACGAAATCCGAGTACCCGGCCGACACCTATCCGCCCTACATGATGGGCTACCTGTACATCTTCCCGGCGGACCGTATCCCCGATTTACTGCAGGCCGCCACCCGGCTACCGGTACACTGGATCGATGATGTATTTATTGCCGGTCAGCTGCCGGAAATGCTACAATTAAATTTGCTGAATGTGGCTGAATATTCCTTTTCGTATAAAGAGGTGCGCAGTGAACGCTGTGCCGGGCGGAATTTTTTTATAATTCACGGGACGGATGCGGAGGGGAAGCGTAACTTGTTTTATCATAATTGTGTTAAACATTTGTATATGCGCTTGCCGGCCAAATGTCTTTGACGCGACTTTCAGCGGGAACATTTTCGCAACTGTACCAAAAATTTAGATATTACATCGTTTGATTAACATACACATATCATGAATACACCACAGCGAAACGAATGAATTAAATAATAAAGAATTACAATCTATATTATAATGTCAGAAAATAGTAAAGTACAATAGCTCCTTTAAGGGCTAATAAATTAAGTAAAAAAATAAGTAAAAAGAGTAACAAAACGCGTTAAGTAAAAAAATACGTCTTTCAAAATCACAATTAAATTAAGAGTATACTGTAATTATTTTTAATTTTTTCTGCTTAAAATAAATCAAATTGACCAAAATTAAAACTAGCCAAAACATCTAAAAATGAAATAATAATTTTGAATAAATAAACGTAATATGTTTTCATGCTCGGCAGAATTTCGTCACCAGTGTAAAGAAATAAATGTAAATGACAAGACAAATTATCGCTCCTGATATTTGCTCATTTAATCTTATAAAAATTCTGCTGATGAAATATATTCCAGCCGGTTTCCATCAGTTCTTTCCACACGTGTTGATCGTGATTCTGCGCACGTAACCAGCAACAAACGCAAATAATCTACCCGAAGCCGGGTTTTTTTGTTACCCACTGCATAAAGTTATAAACAATGCGACTGCGTTTAGCTACAGTATTTATTGTTTATTCAGCAGCATACAGTAACCAGCTCGGTGTAAGGCGCAGCCGCACAATGCCGGCTTTCATGAGAAGTCCTTTTAACCGTGTGCCGGCTACAATGGCCGCGTTGGGGGATTTATTTACGCTGGAGTCTGCAAAACGCTTAATGGCTTTTTGTACCGGCAAAAACTGCACGGTAATTAAGACCGGCAAAACAGGAGCACACAAGACGCCGTTTGTTGAATTTTATGTCAGACATTTTCGTCCAACGGAAGCCAATTTTAATACAGTGTTTTTTGCCGGTGGCCAATTACAGGCTGTTATAGCTGTAATTCTCCATTTAATTTTTGAGCATTTTATTATTTTTTGAGTGTACTTTATTTATTTACTATTTCGCATATTTCCTTTTATCTTTAAATTAATGTAAGAATTAACTACTCGCAATATTTGTTATTCTGTGAGAGTGCATGCATTTTTTAGTGCAAATGGCTTTATTTGGCAATTTCAGAATTTATTATGTAATTTTATTTTGTTTTTAAATTTCTTAAATGGTTTCAGTAAACTTCGTCCGTTATTTTATTTTGCTTTGTAAAAGAAAATTTTTCTGTGTGATTTTAAGGCCCGATTTTTTCAAAAACGAATAGCAATCAAAATTATTATGGACAACGCTACGCATATAGACGAGCAGAAAGCCGTCCAGCGTTTCGGACAGCGCGTGATGGACGCTCTGAAATCGGCGTCGGTTTTCAGCGGACAGAATCCAGCCGATGAGCGGTCGGGGGATAAACCGGACGATCATTACGTCAGTTTCAGTGGTGTTAAACCGGAGCCGCTCTTCAGTCTCCTGCATCCCGACAGCGCCAACCGAATGTATCTAATGCGCCTGAACCTACATATTTCATATTACGGCATAACCTATTTTTTATTATAATTATTGCATTCTTTATTTATGTTATTCTTACTTTTATCTACCTTTCTAATTGTTATTTTTCTATCTTTTATACTTTATATTTTTTATATTTCAGATATGTTTATATTTATGTTTTTTTCTTTTATATTATTTTATTTTAATTTTAGTTTTTTATAATTTTTATATATTGGTTTACGAATATAGTATATATGATCTGTTTGTTAATTTTGTACAGTTTTTTACGGAGATAGTTCTGCTTGGAATATGCAGTAATGTTATTGGTGGTGACCTTTCAGGCAGACGCCGCTAACGGTGTCGGTCACCAGTGAGGATGGCAAGAAAGCCGATTTCGAACACCGCTTCCCGCGTGCTATGTCGCTGATGGACCAACTGTCGCCGCAGCGCCATGACTCCATCCACGATATTATGCATTCCAGTCTGCATGGCCAGTAAGTGCTGAGCAGCACAAACATAATTACATCACAGGAGATATTAATTTTATTGTATTAATTCTTAGATCCTACAAGTACAATGTGTCGTATATAATATTCAGTTTTTTTTGTCACGTGGTTGACTAATTTTATACCAATATATTACGTTGCTATACTTCAATATTTACAGATTAGTTGGTAAATACGAAAATGAATGGCTCATGGCTGTATTATGAAGTAAAAACTGAATTTAGAAATAATAAATACGAGTACATAATAATGTCACAATGATATACGATACGTACAGATATGTGCATATGCACAATTGTACTAGATTGTGTTACCAGCTAACAATAAGTTATCAGCTGCCCAAAGAAAAATAAATTTAGAAATAGAAATTAATATCAAAAGATTGGAAACGTTGCGCTGCGATCTCGTATACTAAGCGGTGCGAGTTACAAATTCAGATATTTACGGATCACAAACCATTTGTACGCGCCCTTAGACTACAAAATTCTCACAATGCATGAGCGCGTTTTACCGTTCTGAGAAGAAATTTGTGTATGCCGCAAATTTGTGCATACTCGTATATTCGAATCACTGTTGTAGTCATCATGCAGTTACTGTAATTAAAATATGTAATACAATTGTTAGCATAGTTATCGAACGATATATTCAACAAAGCTATCATGTACGAATTTATTGAGGTACGCTTTTCTGTGGAAATAATGTTATGTAATTGCAAAAAAACTAAGTCGCTGGAGCGCGACGTGCAACTAATCAGCAAGAATAACAGGTGACCTTTTGCGCTGTTAGAGAAGAGGAGCTGTCGACGCACATCAGCGCCCTCTACGGTATCCTGGTCACGATGACCGGCTTCCTGTTGGCGGTGTCCTCCACGCTGACCACCAAAATGGATCCTAATTATGCGCGGGTCAGTATTGCCCATAATTATAAATTTTTAATTATACAGGACAGCCCAACATACTCGATGATGCTCACAAGTCACAACTATAATCCGATAAATTAAAATTTAATTTTATTTATTTCCTAGATTGCTTAGTTATGACTTACGGTATTTATATATTTTATTACTTAATTCAGTTAATATAATTCAAAATAAAATAAATAATTTAAACTTTAAATTAATTAGGTAAAGTTTGCAAAAAACAGTGATTAGTTAATTACTTAATTAGTTAATTAATTGGTTGAAATTAACTAATTAATTACCTAACTAAACAGTTCTTTCGTTTAATTCAAATTAGTTAACTCTCCGAACCCATTTAATTTATTCATTTAGTATAGCCAATCCTTTTAATTTAACGACTTATAACAATCTTTACTAGATGGTTCGATAAACTTATTAAATGAAAAGGTTAAAAAAATCTAATCTAAATCTGCATTGGCCGTTGTAGCGTGTCTTTACGTTGTCATTCGCAGTGGTACGACTTCTTCCTGATGGCCATCAGTATCCTGTGGATCAGCTTCGCCTTCCTGTGGATGTTCCGACAACGCCGACCGCGGCGTCGTGACCGGCGCTCGCCCAGCAGTGTCAGCCGGATTATGGCCACGAATGACGTGTACACCGGCAGTTTCTACCTGAAACTCGGCGCCACCATGTTCGCCGTGGGCGCCGTTATTTATTCGTGCATGCAGCTGGGCGTGTTCATCGAGAATCGCTCCTGCTTCGGCATCGTCATGGGACTTAATCCCTGTATCTCCATCATCTTCATCCTGCTACAATTATATTTTATCTTTAAAAATTCCCAGGTAAAGGTCACCGTGCACAGTTACACCACCAGTTACGAATTATTTTTAGTCCTTATCTAATATTAGTAGTCTATATTAATATTTTATTTTACAGTAAATTTAATGTACATATGTATTATTTCACTGTAGGTACAAAGTGGGCCAAGTCTTAAAACTTTTAAAACTTTTAAAACTTTTAAAACTTTTAAAACTTTTAAAACTTTTAAAACTTTTAAAACTTTTAAAACTTTTAAAACTTTTAAAACTTTTAAAACTTTTAAAACTTTTAAAACTTTTAAAACTTTTAAAACTTTTAAAACTTTCAAAACATTCAAAACTTTTTAAACTTTTAAAACCCTCTTTAATTATGCTAAAAGGCACATATTTTTTAAACTTTTAAAACTTTTAAAACCCTCTTTAATTATGCTAAAAGGCACATATTTTGTACATAATTATAACTAAATGTTCTGAAGCAGTTTTATCGACATCATTTGTTTGCTACTAAAAAACTGTTCCCAATTTGGGACCTTTATAATGTTCGCCATTGTTGAAGCGTTAAATTTCTTTATCATTGTTCTGCAACGGTTTTTCCAACATCACTCTTGTTCAGTTGTTAAAAGATGTTTTTGTGACCTTTACGACGGAAGCTCGTTGTTTGACCTATGCAAGTTAAAGAATCAAAAATAATTTTCCAATAATTTTTGCAGCATAACTCTGACTGTCGGTGGAAAATCAACGCGTTGTGACCTTTAACGAAAGACTAATTTTTTAACAGTTTAAAATCACGAAATTCCGCGCGGTGAGCCGGTTCGGGCTGGCGCACCTGATCGCCACGGACCTGTGCATCTGGATGCGGACACTGATTGACGAGACGATGCTGGAGTTTGACGACATCGAGAAGGCGGAGAACAAGAGCATCGAGCTAGGCCTGGAGATCGTCACGTCGCCGCCGGTGCACACGTATCGCGCCGGCGCCCTGGGCTACAATCCGCTGTGTGTCAACGAGAAGTCGGCCGTGCAGGAGATGATGAGCCAGTCGGTGATGTTCCTCTTTCCCTGCATCATCGAGTACGCCCTCATCTGTGCCGGCATCATGTTCGTCATGTGGAAGGTGCGTCATATAAACCGGTTTAATGCAACCATTTTAATTTTTAACGGCTCCACCGGGAGCGAATTTAGATCAGTTGTTCTCTGTTCGTAGACCTCCCGAGGCTGTTTTGTGCTGATTGAGTGAACTTTGATGTGTTTTTATTTGTTTTTCTATAAGCGGAATGGGTATAATACAAGCAAGATCGCACCATTTCTGTATAAGTATTTTATGTACGCTTATTTATTAATAACACTTTGTTAGATTTTATTATTTATGATAAATATTAAATAATATTTAGAAATGCAATCTTATGACCATATATGCATAAATAAAGTGTTTCACCAATCTATGTAATATAGATAAATTTGTTTATTACATAATATTTAAATATATTATATTTATTCATTGTTTTGATATTTTAATCTCCTTTTATATTTTGCAGTAATTTATTTTGTATACTTATGTATATAATCAAAAAAGGCGGAAAGATACTTTTTAAACTAGCAATTGATTAAATACGAATAGCAAAGACTATAGAAATTCCGTCAGCTAAGAATGGCACATTGCCGTTACACTACAAATTTTTCCGCTAAGTCTGGCGTCACCATAGGGTGGAGTTGCAGTTTTTATTATTGCAAATAATAAAAAAATTAATTTTTAAATACTCGTGCTGTTTGTTAAACAAGAATATTAAAGAGCTCATCTTATTTCTGCATTAATGCCATTAGACTACAAGTTTCCGACAAGGTGTGCTGTTGGCACAATCCACGTGAATGTTTTTTTTTATGGCGCGGCGGTCTACAGCAAAACAGCGCATAACTGCAAGAAAAATAAACCTCCTAATCGTTGAATGACGCGGTTGTCGTTCCCCGAAAGGTCATAGGGCAGCGCGAGAACCCGGGCCAGAACCGGCCGCTGATCACGAAGAACACCAAGGTCTTCACGGTGGACTGTTCGCACGCGGCTAACGGACTATTTGCCGGCATCCTGGTGATGGTGCTGACCATTGTCGGGCTGATCGTCTTTATGTACGTCCATAAGGAGGAAGAGAACAGCGACACGGAGGGACTGGCCAGCTGGATCGGCGACATCATGGACGTCACGCTGAACGTGCTGGGACTGGGCGCGTCCATCTACTGCGGCATCCAGTTCGCCACGAAACTGCAGACCGTGCATATACACACGGCCAATATGGCGCTGGACGATGGACTGCTGCTCATCACCATGGTAAACACTAAACACCGATAATAATTAATTAATAATCATAATCATATCAAAAGAATATTGACCGAACTAATTATAAAAAATTTAATTTTATCAATTTTGTTTATAAATAAAAATAATACGATACGAGATACGTACGAGAAATCTATGTAAATTTCGTACGTGATCAATACGAAATTTACGATAGATACGAGATTTTATACAGGCACGAACAAACTTGGTTTTATATATTTATTTTATATAGATACGAGTATTTACTTTGTTTATTTGTATTTATTTTTATATAGATACGATTTTATTTTATTATAAGTTTCAAGATTTAGCCTTATAATCAGCTTGGTGTTTCCAACTTTGAAATCATGGAGAGAATTACATGATTATTTACATTTTTCTGTATTTTAAAAGAACTGTGAGTGTTCACGCTGGCTGCGCTTAATCCCATCAAACGCTTGCCTTTTTTTGTTCTGTTTCGACTACTTACACAATTGTCAGTTTCCCGCGGCAGGCGTTTTCTCAAATTGCGAGGTTATTGTAGTGCAACGGCCTTTGGACTTGGTCTGAAACGTTAATTTTAACTAACGGCTTAAATAATTTGTTTTGATTCAGTAATGTGCACAATACATTAACCTCACTTTCCGTTCTTTTTCACATTAATTTACGTTAACAATACAATAAAGCTAATTTAAAAACCGTAAATGCATCACTTATGTTTTTGTTATTAGCAGTTTCATATGCCATAGATAGGTATCGCACATACGTATATATATATACACATCTAGTTAAGTAATTCTGTAATCTAGCCTGAATAATGAATTATAATCGTGTTACCCTTTTTTTTAAATTTTTATAGATTACACAAACCAGGTGAATTATGTCAACGCTGGCTGCGGTTTTCGTCAGATTATACTATTCTGTATTTGTCAGATTCACCATCAGTTACAGAGTGCAGACGTTTTGGCGAAATGCATGGTAATCGTAGTGTAATGGCATACAAATTCTTGAAATTCATGGTCTCCGTTGCCAACACCGTATATTATTGCCGATGACATACTATTGACGATATTGTGCACGGTACTCGTACAGAGTGCAATATACCGGTAGTCGTACTGGTTAATTTCGTTAATATGCCCATCTTTTTTACTTTACCGTTTAACTTAATCGTTAAATTATCAATAACTTTTTTGCAAGAAGTATAAGCTGTGTTGCACGATATCCATTAATATTATTACAAACTGAGACATATTTTGCTGAAATAATTTCCACTGGTCATCGATATATACGGTAATATGACCATTTATTATCTTGCGCATGCAGATCGGCGTGTACGGTTACTCGGTGGTGTGGCTGTTGGGTACGTACGCCGAGCCGTACCCCGAGTCCATCCTAGATATCTGCGGCGCGGCCCTGGAGATCCTGCAGTCGACGGCGCAGACGGTGTTCCTCTTCGACGCCAGTAAGCGGGTGTGCGTGCGCGCCGTCACGCCCAACAATAAGGTCACCGGCTCCGTTAACACCGAGAAGCCGGCGCGCGAGATGGTCATGTTCCTGCTGGCCACCAATTTCGCGCAATGGACGCTGAATGTAAGTAACTTAAACGGGCGGTTTCGTAGTGTAAGGGCTATTATGACTCCATTTTTCTCCGCTATACTTGCTTAAATTTGATTTGCTAACACGTACCACTTTCTAGCTGAAACCTTTTTATTTTTTTTGAATAATAATATTTATTTTATTATTCCTTTGCCAAGGAAGCAGTTCCTATATACGACGGTAATTATCAACAAAGTCGATGTTTCTAATGACGTGGTTTAGCTGGTAGCAAATTGCTGTCAACGTAATATAGGCTTATATAGCAGTACATATATAACCTATGCAGTGGCCTTTATAACGTGAACGTACAGCTTAATAGAAATTCTGTTATGTAACTTACTGGTGCAAGTATTGCCTGCGTTGACTATGCGATACTGCAACGTGCAGTTCACGTGATATTATTATTATATCAGCCGTTATAAATTCAGCTGGATATACAGATAATGGTTGCCACTTGGCAGGTTCTGCTGACGTTGCGAGCCGATGCAGCGCCGGGGCCACGCGAATTCTACGGTGCCCACCAGTATGTGGAAAATATAAAGCTCACCTGTTAATTTCCTTATATCGATATAACGTCGTTTGCGTTATCTAAGCGGCATTTGTGCTTGTCTAGGTGGGCGGTGCTGCTTCACGCTACAGTTCCCCTGACGATATTCTACAGGTCAGTCACATGACCACCACGCTAGAGCAACCGGCCATAACAATATTTAATCCAATAAAAACAACTATGTATATGCTTTAATCCACACAAGCTGGCAAATCATATAAAATGTTAAAAAATTAAAATAATTATTATTGTAAAAATTTTGTGCACTTTAATATTCTGTAACAGGCGTTCGAAAGGTCAACTGGCATTTTATTGTACATATGAGTATTTTTTTTGCACGAGTATTCGACAACTAAATCATTTTTAATATTTATCTGAATTCATTTTACTAGTATTTTAATAAATATTAGCGGTACGTGTAGGTTCCATTCCACGGTGTGTCTCTTCGATATCTGGAAGCGCGCCTATAAAATCCCGTCGGGCCATGATCACGGTCTGCGCTCCCGACACCATTCCATGTTTCCCGAAGTCCATTGATCCGCAATGCAAAATTTAATACCGAGCTCGTTCCTGTGTATTTTTATACGAGGATACCAATTACCAACGCACTTTGGAAACCATTGCGGCTGCTATAATTATAACACGCTGGCGATCAGTATTAAAAATATGCGTAATAAATGCTGCGTGACGATCACCGGGTGACGGTTTAATATTTGCTGGTTTTTCTGAATCCGCTACCCACACAATAACACAGCCGTATATAAGTATACGCGCTATAACAGTCACACATACTGTTCGGCAATTTATTTTCTAGTCGGCAACGCAAAGCCGATCGAAACGCATTTTAATTTTAGCCGGCGTTTAAATTCATCCGCTATATGACGAATAATTTACCTTGATTTTATTTGCCATTTATTCGTAAATTTCATTTAATTTCCGATTTATCTGACAGCATTTCTATTTTGTCGCCATAAATACGAGTATTATTGAATCTCTATTTTATGCGATTGCGTTTTTATTTCGTGTCCATATTATTATTTGATGTCGATTTCATTTTATTTTCATTTTGCCTTCATATTATTATCTGTTATTAATTTTATTTGACTGCATTTCATATTTTGTGTGTTCATGTTATTATTTAATTTCCATTTTGGTTTATTATACAATCATTTTATTTTACCTTACATTACGACTGCCGGCTTTGCCGAATCGAGTTAGCCATCGCTGTTTCCGCGCTGAAAATTCTACGGAATATTTCTCCCTATTTGTCATAAAAATGTATTCCTCAACGGGAGAAAAATCCCTAAAAATCCTGGAATACTCCATCATCCCGGTGATATTCCTCTCGATCCTACTAATCCGCCCCTCGACCCCCAGTACGGTTACGGCGGCCCGGGCATCTCGTACGGCACATACAACAACTGGTGCAACAACTTCGGCAACAACAACATCTCCTTCGCCACCAACAACTCCGTGGTCAACGACGTGGAGAACAACATGGCCAGCGTCACCAACACCAACAACCTCAACACCAACAACAACTTCAACTACTCCTTCTACTTCTACGGACCGTTGTGCACGTTCTACGATAACATCGTATATCCGCAGCCGCTTCCGCCGCCGGCCTATCCACAGTACCAGCAGCCGGCGGTCAATTATGTATATATACCGCCGGCGCCCGAACCCCGCCCCCAACCCGAACCGGAAGTGAAGGAGGAGCCGGTGTATGAGGAGGAGCAGCCGGCGTACGATGCCGGGTATGCGCCGCCGTCGCCGTATATCCCGCTGGGTAGTCCGCCGGAATATACCATTTTTAATGGACAGTATGCGGATAATTACGCCCAGCCGAATTATCAACCGCAGGGATTTTATAGATGATTTTTTTGGATTAATTGACAAATTAATTCCAAGAAATTGTGTAAATCGGTGATTAATTTGCATATTCTGCGAAAGCCCAGTTGTATTGTGTGTTTTGTTCCGATAATGTTGGTCGATTAAAACCATTCAAGGTTTATGTTATTCAAGGCATATGTTATTTTAAAAATAACTTGTATAATATTTGTGCAAGTACAAATCATTAATTCCTCAGTAGATTATTAATTTCTTAATTTATAAACTTTTCCGGACAAAATCCCTTTTGGCAGTTCGCCGGAATATACCATTTTTAATGGACAGTATCTTATGATAATAATAATGCCCAGCCGAATTATCCAGCGCAGGGATTGGTATAAATAATTGTTTTGGATTAATCGACCAACTAATTCTCAAAAACAAATGTTTATTGGTGACTAATTTCGACGCACCAAGGAATAATACGTCCAGTTTAAATACTCGTACTTACTTAATGTTTAGGCCTTACTTAATGTTTAGGTTGAGTAGGTTTTTTTTTGTAATACTGGTTGACTGGGGATTTTCATGAATTCCAACTCACGTTTAGATTAAAATAAAGAATTGTTTTCGACCAGTTTTTCCCGATTTCGGAATTTACAGGACAAGGAAATAATCAAATAAATCCACAAATTTCGAATTCTGTAAATATAAGAAATATGGAATACTATCAGTTAATGTGTCCAGTCATACTGCTGCTATCGCTAATGCTTTTGGTAGACTGGAAATTTTCAGTAAAGAGTTTTCGCCAAAATGCTGAATTCTCTCCTAAATAAAAATTATCATTATCTTGCAATAAAAAAATAATTAAATGATTTCATTTTTTTTAACATTTTCAATCACGCCTAGAGCATTTTAAAAATGCTGCCGATCAGCGGGACCGACGCAAAACAACGACCCAGCTGAGGAAAATGTTGAGAATCGTAGTATTGTGGCATTGTGCACAGGTCACGCAAGGTTCCCATGCCCAATCCCAGTGCGAAGTACTTCACTTAATTTAATCATACATAATAATATAAGAAAATAATATACATATGTAAAAAAATAATATCAATAGGATTTGTTTTTTTCCAAAAATTACAAATATGTAAATTTAATAAATTTTCCACTGAACTTCAAATATAGAACATACAAACAACATAGTCCCACGAGTCTTTGTGTTTATTTTTCTGTTTTAATAATGCGGCTTTCCTAGAAATTCGCACCGCAACGCGCTCGTAAAAAAAACACATCATTAATAATTTGATTAATAAAAACACATAATAAAAACACTTTCCCACTGCAGGAGCAAGCAGACCGCATGAAACGACCAACTACACGAGATCGCAAAGAAACAAATACAAAATATCCATTATTTATTCAAATAATATACAACAACTGTATTAAGAATAAAACCATTTTTTTAACCAATAATACATTTCAGGAAGAATTCAGATTCGCTCTTTATCGCACAAACTGTGCTCAATTGACCCACGCTGTTTCCCGGAATATTTCCGGGGCGATTTCTTCCCCAATAAAATTCCGGATTTTTTACAATGTTTTTCTCCACATTTCCCGTAATTTTGCACGCAGCAGAATTTTTTAAAAATTAGTTTCCGGATGATTTTTTACCGCGACGTGTATAACTCCTCCGCTTGGCCACCGGCGGATTGACGACGGCACCCGCCTCCCCGGGGCGTTTGCGGCCGCTGTGCACTGGATTGAGCAGCGCCGTCGCTGGCGGATATGGTGTCGCCAGGGGGACCGCCACCGGGAGCGGTGTCGGCGGTACCGACAGCTTGTGCGGTGTCGCACAGGCCAGGCGGTTGACGGTGCCGGCCTCGGCCAGCGCGTTGATCTCCGCCGGCAACGGGACGCCCAGCGACGTTAGGGACTGCGTGTAGGCGCGGCGCTGCCGCTGGTTGGCGCGGATACTGGCCGCCAGCTCGCGGCGGACACCGGCGAGGGTGGTCATGTTCGCCCGCTCTTTTTTGGTTTTATTTTGGAGGGCCTGCTCCAGACGGGCGGCTTGCTTCGTCTATGGAAACACAGACAGTGGCAGTGTATAATTAAAAATGTTTATCTATGTTTTACTGATTTCTTAGGATTTTTTATACTTATTTTATAATGTTTATTTAACATAATATTTTGTTCTATTTTTTATTGTTCGATTTTTCATTTTGTAAAGCAACGGATATAAGTAAATACATTTGCAAAATATATTTATAAAATTAATAATTTGTGATGTATATTTGTAAAGTATTTTTGCAAATATATTAAATACATAAATTACGAGTATTTTGTAACATGTTGAGTCATTACCATTATAAAGTAATCGTGTAAAACGTATCTTGCTCGTTTTACGATACGAGTCTACACGCAAGGAAATCGTAGTATGGTGGCTTGTCACACAATATAAAATTTCAATTTATGGTTAGCAAAAAAGTCAAGTACGCAAAAGCACTAACTTACAAAGTACTACAAGTACAGGTTTATTTTTTCTCAAATCATCAGGTAAATTTACTGTACAGAATGCAACCAAGTAAAAAAATTTAAAAATTCAAGATTACCCAGAAAAATTTAGTCGAAATGCTATAAACAAAAAAATTACCAAAAATATCCAGAACAAATTCATCAGAAAACATTCAGACAAAAAAATAACCCGAAAAACCATTCACAACAACTTATCAACAAACAACCAAGAAAGCGGCAATAAATAATGCAAAGAAATCATCTAAAAAAATTCACAAAAATTTATCGAAAAACAACCAGAAAGTAACCTTAAATATTTCCAAAAAATACCATTCAAAAACACTAAAAAGATATTGATTACCCAAACATTCGACGAAAAAAATTCACAAAAAACTTGGCAGCAAAAAATACAATAAAAAAACTGGACCTAAATAAATAACCTTAATATTTTCCAAAAACATATTATCCCCGAAAAACTTTCAACTAAAAAAATACCGAAACAATTCACAGAAAATTCATCCAAAAACAACAAAAAAAAACCTTCAAATAAAAACCCGACCTAAATAAGTAAAAATAAACAACCTCCAGATATACTGTAACTAAAAATCATTCAAAAATACTAAGTAACATTGCATAAAACCATACAACGAAAAAAATGCGCAAAAAAATGAACAAAAAATCCGACCTAAACAAATAAAAAAAACAGTCTTAAGATTTGTAAAAAAATCATTCAAAAATAATCAAAAAACATTGCACAAAAACATTCAACCAAAAAATTCACAAAAACAACAAAAAAACCTTAAACTAAAAACCCGACCAAAATAAAAAAAATAAACAATCTTAATATTTCCAAAAAAAATCATTCAAAAACATTCAAAAAAATATTCGCCAAATAGATTCAACAAAAGAAAATACCGAACAAAATTCACACAAGCATCGACTGACCTGCAGCACAGCCAGCCGGGTCTTCTGCGCCTCCACGGCGGTTTTGGCCTTGACCCACTCGGGGCGCAGTTTGTCCAGCTGCTCCAGCAACTGGGATTTCTCGTACTCGGCCGAGCGCAGTTGGCGCAAATAGAACTCCGCCAGCCTATCCAGCGTCTGCAGCCGCTCCGTCTCCTCGGCCTGGCGTTTGTAGTGCAACTGCATCCAGGCCGCCACCCGGCCCTGCAGATGCTGCACCTTGCCCTGCTCCGTCAACAGGGCGTCCTCGGCGTCGTCCAGTTCTTTGTGGAGGATCAAGAGCTCCCCCTGGGCTTCCCGCAGCATCGCGGCGAACTCCTCTTCCTCCTCGTCGGTTAACGGGGGCGCTTTGGGTCGGCGGACCACCACGGGGGGCGGCGACGGCGGGGATTTGCGGAGGATGAGTTTCAGGGGAGGTTTCTTTTTCTTCTTGGTGACCCTGCCCTCTTCCGAACTGCAAATTTATGACATATTTGGATAATTTTTGCTTGAAATAAACATTAAGAATTTCAAGCGTATCTTAGGATTATTAAGTAATTTATAGTTAACAATATACGTAATTAAAATTCAATAAAAAAAATGATATTATCATTTTCTGCGGGAATAAATACAGATAGGTATCCATTATAAACAACAGACATAACTATAGTTAGCAGCAACCGTATTAAAAAAATTATTAATAAATCACTAATAAATTAATATAGTAAACAGCAAACATAATTACAAATCCATAATGAAACCAGCCATAAAACTAAAACGTGAAAATGTGAGAAATAACAATAAAATCTAATACTGTTAACTGCTGCGCGAATAAATAAATTTTAAGGACAGCAATACAGTGATAACAAATGTTAAGAAATACAGTGATAACAAATGTAATTCAGAATTAATAAAAAAAACTAATATTAATTAGGTAAATACATTTTGAGAAATAAAATGAGGACCTGAATGTAAAATGCTCGAACAACGTTGCAATGCAGGCTCACCGCTTGTTACATTGTGATCGTAGTACAGTGGATACTAAAATAAAGCCGAAATATAAGAAGAAAATCCCATTAATATCAAAATTTTAACAGAAATTCAGTTTTTTACCAAATAACAGAAAGGGGAGAACGAACGCTTTTTCGCAAGGGCTGCCCACATCACCACCCACGCCTCTGCGAAAAAAATATTTAAGAAAAATATTCCGAAAATAAAATACATACAGTATTGACAATGATCGCCGTACAAGAAGACGTTTAAAAAATAATTTTTTCGGTACAGAACTGACCGGAATTCGTCGTGTGTCTTGTCGATGAGGGTGGCACTGGTGGGACCGCGCAGGAAACCGGCCGGGGGCTGGACTTGGAAGCGGCGCGGTGGCGAGTGCAGCCGGGCCGGGGCCGCCGGGCGGCGGAGGGGCAGCAGGCCGTTGGTCAAATGCAGCTCTGTCAGCGGGCAGCCGGCCACGGCGCACTGGGTGCCCACACAATCCACTACGGGACCAATTTATTCACACTGATTATTCTGTACGCCTGCTTCTTCAACAACAATTTTTAATTTAGCGCTTTTTTTAATAAATCTATTATTTTATTTTATTAATATTTTATTTTATTTTATTAGTTTAGCGGTTTTTTATTAAATCAGTAATTTATGACTGCTTAAACTGGCAGTTTATGCCAACTGTGCCACTTTTTATTCCATGTGGCCTAATTCAAGGGAAACCAGTCAAATAACAATGGAAAAATTTTAACAAATAATTTGCAAACGCAAATAATACCCCAGTAAAAAAATATAGTTCTAACGCAAAACAGCGCCCCAACAAAAACACACAAAAACGGTTTTCAAAAAATGGAAATAATAGCCCCGCAAATATACTGTATCGCGCTAATTATTATTTTCCAATTTAAAATTTCTAGCGTAACAGACAGGAATACACCAGGAAAAAAATACCAGGAAAATCATTTAATAAAAAACATAAAGTCATACCCCAGTAAGAATAACGTAATAAGGAAAACCATTTTTTCGAAAATCGAAAAATCAGCCCACAGTAAATTATCATGCACCAAGGATATACAAAAATTATTTTTCTACGCAAAATAAAATAACAAAAAACCTTGATAAAAATCTATTAATTTTCAGCGTAAGTGATACCCCAGAAAAAAAACACCACCGAAGAAGGATAATAACAATTTCCTGTGAAAAATAACACCGTAAAAACAATAAAAACATAACAATATGACAATATATGGTTAAGAATACTATGGAAATAAGTAACGGAAAACATTTACCCCAGTAACCAGGGCGGCCCTCGAATACCGTCGGCAGCGCATCCGCCTGCAGCGTCCCATCCCACAGCTGCTCCTCGGGGCGGAAGTGCTGCGGGCATACGCCCGCCAACGGGTCGTGGTCCAGGTAGGCGCTGGTGACGGTGCGGTTGCGGATGGGACTGGCGTTGATGGCGCGGATCCAGGTGAGGCGCTGCGGGGCCCGTGTGGCGGCCGGCGGGAAGGGGTAGACGTCGGGATGGGGGCGGTTGTACTGGCGACAGCTGGAGATGATGCAGCGAAGATCCGCCGGCTCGACAGCGGCGGCGTCCGAGGGGGAAGCGCTTTCTGCGAGGACGGAGGCCTCCGCCATGGGGGAAGGCGCGGCGGAGTCGGGATTGGCCTGATTAATCACCGGATATTAGACAAATTTATTCAAGAGCGAACTAAAAAATGCAAATTGTTCTGAATTTTTCTGTTATTTTTCTTTATTAATCGGCCTGATTAATCACCGGATATTAGTAAAATTTATTCAGTAACTAATTTTGAACAACGCAATTTTTTTGGATTTTTTAATCAAATCGATCAGTGAGCGGGAAATTATCTTGGAACGAAAAAATCTGGATGAAAATCTGCTAAAAAGTGGTTTTAATGTTTTTTGATTTTTCAATAATTGAGAGTTAGCCATTACATTACCGTAAACATTTCTTTACGCCAAAAATCAGAAAACTGTAAAGATATTTATAAATTTAAATAATTTAAATTTATAAATATCTTTACAGTTTTCTGATTTTTGGCGTAAAGAAATGTTTACGGTAATGTAATGGCTAACTCACATCATCCCGGGGGGATTCCGGAGCAATACTGTCCATCGGTGTGATGTCGTCACGGTCCACGCCGCCGTCGCTACAATCCGGCTCTTGTGCCATCACACGCTCCGCTTCCATGTCCTCCACGGGCATGTCACAATCTACCACACAAACAGCAAATTATTTATTATTCCGATGTGAAGAAAAAATCATAAAAAATTAGTCCAAGAATTTCTGAATTTATTGCATTTTTACTCGATAATAATAATTACTAATGTAAATTACCTAGTAATAAACATCTATTAATTATTGCTAAATAGTAAATACCAGAAAATTCCGAAAAATTAATACTATTACTAAAAATAATGAAATCACTTATTTAAATAAATTCTAGCAAAATATTAACATATTAACCAATTAATTTTATAAAAAATATGGTGCTTTTTTTTGTTATACAAATTCTCCGAGTAAATACATAAATTCCTCGGAAAAATCGCCTGTCACACGGGCACCCACCTGCGGGATCGGACAGCAGTGACTGTGCGGGACTGCGCGTGTCATCCCGGTCCCCGTCATCCCCATGTTCCACGGCGTCGCCCAACGCGGACGCGGGACTGTCGCGCTGCGGCGTTGTCGCATCGTCACCCGCCCTCGTGTCGCTGACGGCGGTCCCGTCGGTGCAATCCAGCTCCTTCTGGACAATCGCTTCATCCTCGCGGAGACGGTCCTCCTGGGGATCGGGATGGGCAACAGGAGACGGAAGGGACTCGTCGTCTGACACCAGCGATTCCATGGGCGGATCTGCATCCATATTCAGAGTGAAAGTCAGAAATCCCTCGACCAGCTCAACGCCCGTACTATGACGATTATCGCAACGGGGTTTTTAAATATAGCGAAATCAGTCTCATCGCTGTACAAGAGCTACCAAACACTGCACACCAAACAAAGACAGCCAAAAGTCAGCTAATACAAAATGAAAAACGGGAAACGTCAACTGATAAACGGATCAGAATCAAATCCATCAACAAAGATCAAGTGATAAAATCACAAAACCCACTTTTGCGTTCTGGCATTTCCAGGCAGACAGTATAGTTCAGTGTTATGAGTGTAATCTGCGATTCACAGCGTTCACGCAGCTTGTTTGAACCTGAACATTTTCGTTTACCAAACTGCCGTCTTGGCGGTCAGCATTTACACCAGCAGCATCCAAGTCGCTAATAAGTGTAATAACGCTGTCGGGCGCAGAGTGCGCAGATAACGTTTTATGATGTAAGTGGAACTGTTGGCTAAAGTTGGCTTCCCAACTCGCTATTTAACTTTTTAAGAATCATTTTTGCTTCTGCAATAATCATCCTGAAATCAGATCTGTGAAGCTGTGATTTCGATTGTACAAAACAGAGTATGAACACTTAGCGCGAATTTACTGCAAAACTAAAAGAAATCACGTAAATCCCCAAAGGCGGCTGCGGTTTCGACACACAGGGAAGTCAGACCTTGTAAACATCGCGGGCTTTCTTGTACTTACATTTTGTCAGGCAAGTGCTTTACCGTTGTTGCGCTAACTGCTTTGAAAAATCTGTGTGTTGACATTTTTCAGCTTAAATTATACACAACACAAGGTATTCAAAATTAATCAGAATTTTGCGAAAATAAAACCATCCGTTTACAGACGCGATTTGCAAGATAGTAAAAGGGTTTTAACTGATCGCTGTGACGCTGTTTATGAAATTATGCACCGGAAGTTGCGGTACGTGTTTCCTAATTATTATTTTTTTTCAACGCACAGAAACACTTGTTCAGTATTTATTTGCAAAAACAACAGTTTTTTGTCATCATTTCGGCGCGCCGGCCAGCATCCAGAAAAGCGTGGAGTTGTGCCACGTAAAAATTGCCGGCCACCGCCTGACCCAGATTATACCGCTGGATAAAACTGCACAGATCAAAACCGATCCGCTCCGTGGGATTATTGGGATTGCCCACCGTGCGGCAGCGTTAGTCGCGCGACTCGCGGCTGCTGCCGGAAAAGAAGCAGCGCATAGCGATGCAGGCCTGCCGCAAAAGAACAGGCAAAGGTCAAGCGTCATTCGTTTAGAACAATGATTTTATTATTTTAAAAAAAATTGTTTTTAATTTTTAGAAATAATTTTAATTTTTTTTAAAATACGAGGGTTGTTAGTTATGTTCTGTCGTAATAGTTTTATCTATTTTTGGATTCATGCAATTATTATATTATTTTCATATTACTATTACTAAACTCCTAATGCATCGTTTTCATCTGTTGCCAGATTTGTAAATATGATACAAAAAAGTTATAAATTTTTTGAACGAAGGCACCTTGGAAATTTCGTTTAATTTTCTTATTTTTTGTTATTTCATTTCTCTGCAACGAATCTTTCCGATTCGGAAAAATTTTGAACCTGTGCAGGATCAAGCTTATCGAATATTTAGGTTACATGAATATCCGAACTAGCGATTAAGCAAAACAATTTTTTTAATATTTAGAGGCTTTTGGTTTGGGTCCGTTGTGGTGCCAATTACACCAGTCGACCAACTCCCGCCTCCATTTTTTCGCGTTTTCTCAAAGAAAGTTGTCAAGGTATTTGCAGATTACTGTAAACAGTTGATAGTTATTTCCGACAGAAAAGGCTTCTGCAAATAATTTCATTGCTGCGAGGCGCACCAACATAAACGTTTCTTCGAATGCTTTTTGGCTCTTGGTCTCGTACTCCATTGACAAAACCCTGTTCTGCTCTACTGCTTCCACCAAGTATGGCGCCAAGCAAATCAGGATCTGTCGTGAGTGTAGTCTTAGGATTGATGGCTAAAGGAAAGAAGTTTGGCTTTGCTACGGAGCATTAATTGCAAAAGCACCAGTAACCACTAGTCAGCGCAAGTGGTGCCCGACGGTACTCCGCCTCGCTGAAAGTCAGATCCACGCGCAATACAGAATCTGTTACTGGGGATCTGGTCTATGATTCCCTGTCCATCCATCGGACGAACACATTTGGGGATCGGTGTCTGCCAAGCGCAACAGGATGGCTTGCTATTTTAGGTTCCTCAACAAACAGACCGTTCCGATCTGCTCTCGCCATCCCTTGTTAAAATTCCAGAATAAAAACGACAAGACAAGCGCTCAGTAGTTCACGCGCAGAAGAACATTTAATCCCCAACATAACAAGCACTTCAGATAGTCAATGGGTTGCATCCCAGTTTTTTTAAAAAATTGTAATGTGAAATAGCGCAAGCCCACGTTCGGGTGTTAATGCGCCATTTTTAATTTGCGAATTAAATTTGGTGCGAGTGAGTCGTTCTCTGACTCCCGCTGAGTGCCACCGAGAGCACCCATTGACTCGACCATTAGCCTACTATTACAGTTATGATATGCTCTACTTTTTAATAATAATTTCATATTTTAAGTTTCATAACTAATATACGCACGACAGAACATAACTAACAACCCTCGTAATAAAATCATTTTTAATTTTTAGAAATAATTTAATTTTTAAATTTATTTATTTAGTTTATTTATATTTCGTAAATCGTAAATGAAAATAAAATTCTTTCATTTCTATTATTTATTTTAGGTTTATAAATATTGTTTTCTCGGCAGCGCTGCGAGCTACTGCAGTCTGTATTAATGCTGTATGCCATGGACTTGACGCTCAGAAGTCTAACGGTGACGATGGGAAAATATTAAAATATTAAATAGGTATTGATAAACTAAATAATTTTGGTAAGTTTATTAGAATTAATAAGAGAATTTTTATAACTAAAAATTCATCATATTTACCTCCGTATTTGAACTGTCATAATTATTAAAAACACAGTCATAATTACATTAATAAAAATTCATCATATGTTAGATTTTCGTACACTTCTAGATATTCTAGTTACCAATATCATATATAATTATAATGAATTTTTTGTAAATTTGAATTTGCCGCGACAGGAGCGTCGAAAAAGCGCCGAAATCCGGCTTTCGGAAAGAATCCAACATTGTGAGAGTTGTTATACGAGTACATAATTGTGATTTGTATTTGGCTACAAGGCACAATTAGAAACGCACCCATCAACCAATCATGCACGTCGTTATACATAATTTGGGAATTTGTATGAGGCGTGCCGCCATGTTACCACAAGGTAAATCCGGGATTTTCTACGCTTCCGGTGACAATAGCTGCAATTATCCGTGCACAATATTAGTATACGGAATTTGTGACCTTTATACAGGAGCGCTCAGTCACCACGTACCGCAGCTCGTAGTAAACTGCAGCTTCATGACGTCGGCGGTGCGGGTCGCTTGAGCAGTGTTTGTGGCGTTAGCGCCGTTGTTGCGGCCGTTATGGCGTCCTTGAGTTTGCCGCGCGGCGAGATCTCCACTTGGTACTTCTGGCAGGGCTGCAGTGACGTCAGAGTGTGGGAGGTCTTGGAGCCTTCCACCATCTCATAGTAGTGTACCGGCACTTCACCGAAACGGGGACTCTGGGTACGAGAACTGCACCATGCACTGGTTAAACTTGTTTTACATGTTGGGGAATAATTAACCGCATTTGCCATAGCATATTTTACTAACATTAATAATTTTTATGCTGCGGCCTGAAAATAATAATTCACTTTTATTATGATTATTTTTTATTTTTGTTAAAAAAATTATTCTTATCGTTTTGTGTTAATGTAAATAAATTGATTTGTTCCCTGCTTAAATTTTGGTTGAATTTTTAATTATCGTACTCGTATAAATTTGGTATAAAACCATAAAAGTTGGTATAAAACTAAACAACTTGGTGTACACTAATTTGTAGAAAACTAAAAAATTTTAGGATTATTATTTATTACTTTATTTTAATGTAAATAATTTAAGTTTTTATAAGCTTACATACCATTTAAATTTTTAATTATCTTAACTGTAAACTTGATTTGAATTTTCCGTGTAATCATTGCTATGTAATTATGCCGCACTATGCAAATATCAAATTGGAATCACAATAAAACCTGAAAAAAATTAATAGTACGCAAGCAATTCTCATAGCATATTTATTACATTTCACTGCAAATGCTACTTCTAATTTGGTTTATTTTATTCGCAAAAAACGCTGTTATTTTTGAGTAAAAACTGCAGCCGCTGTTGACAGCTTCCGTTACACCGGCACATGCCGCTTAGTCGCTTACCATCCAATAATCCAGCCGGTAGTGCTGAACAGTCTCCGCTTCACTGGGCGCCTCCCACTGCATCTCGAAGGACACCGGATTGGACAATGCGGGTTTGGGCGGCAGCGGCACATCCTCGCCCGGCATTTCAGTGGTGAATTCGGGGCCGCAGGTCTGCCCGGAACCGCCGCGGCCGTTGAGGCGCGTGCTAACACGGAAGCGGTAGCGTTGGCTGGGCTGCAGATCGCCGATGGTGTAGGGCGAGTAGCGGTCCAGGAAGCGGCTGGCGGCGTGCTCGAAGGGCTGATCGGCCAGCGCGTACTTCACCTCGAAGCCCTCCAGGTCCAGCTGGCTGCCGTCCTGCAGGATGAAGTCGAAGAGGATGCTGGTGGCGCTGCGGTCGACGATCTCCGTGATGCAGGCGTCCGTGCTGTTGGTCACTATGCGGGATAAAGGTCATGCAATTTTAACTGGTTTATACTCGGTGTTACAAGCAGTTCGTTAATTGCATTATCTGTACTATTTAAATAAAAAAAAGGAAATCACTATAGGCACCCCCTTACACCCTCGTTTATTATAGGAACCCCTATTCGCACCCCGTATTTTATTCTGCTAATACATGCTTAACATTGTTTACAAGATTTTTTTACGTTTTTGTAATATCCTTAAGCACAGTACTTATCTGCTTCACCATGCTTATGCGATCAGGTACCGTTTCGAGATTCTAACATTACAATTATGTTAAAGTTTCATAGGGGTGCCTATAAACAACAGGGTGTACGAAAGAATCAATTAATAAGATAAGGGTGCCTTTAATTAACGGGATGCGGAAAAGGGGTGCCTATAGTAAACGGGGGTTTTTAGGGTGCCTATAGTGTCACCCTAAAAAAAACCTGGTAATTTAATTAATAAATTTAAATTAAATTTAATGATAATATTTAATAATAATAAATGTATTAATAGTTTTTTAGTGAAAGTTTTTAATAATTTTCATTAAAAGTTTTAAATAATTTAATATTTAATAGTAGGTTGTTAAATGATCTCCGTGATGCAGGCGTCCGCGCTGTTGGTCACTGTGCAGGTTAAAGGTCATGCAGCTGCAGCTTATACACGTTGTTACAAACAATTAAATAATAAATATCTGTACCAAAAAGCGAGTTACAAAAACATAAAGAATAAATTAAATAAAAAATAAACAAAATAAAATAAGAGGAAGAAGTTTGAATTTGATAAAAACTAGTAATTTGAATTTATTAAATTTAAATCAAATTTAATGTTAATATTTAATAATAGTTGTCAAAATTAATATTAATTCACAGTAACGATAAAACCGTTAACTAACAAAATTGAACCATATAATTTGGTTACGTACGTCCGTGCTGTTGACCACTGTACAACACCAAGGGTCATCCTGTAGGTGGTTTCTAATCGCTAATATGGAACAGTAAATTTCGGATCATCACTGAATAAAAATTTTTAATACATATATATAATTTCCCAAGAATATGTTTTAATAATAGTTTTAGAATAGGTAAATAATAATAATCAGGATGAAGCAGATATTAATAACAATTAGTACTAGGCCAATAATAATCATTTTTTTAGTTCACTTGAAGAAATTTCTAAAGACAAAGTTAAAAATGGATGGAATATTGGGAATTCAGGGATTTCTAATTTTCTCAAACTTCTTGACAACCTAAGAAAAGCAAAAAGAAACAAAACCCTTGACAGCCTTAAGGAAAATGGCCCGGTACATAGTGTCAAAAATGGGATACATACACTAAAACTTTCGCTTGCGCGCACTCCGAATCATTATTTTGTATTACTTCATGTCATTCTAAAGCTAAATTATTTGTATACATTGTTCTGAAAACTGTTTGCGCGCGTAACATCCGGTTGCTGAGATATGGTGTATTAAAGTGGGCGAAAAGTTTAAATGCATTGCTGTGTACCAAAAGTCTGGTTATTATCCGATCTTCTTGAAACTTTGAAATTTAAACTTTTCGCCCATTTTAATACAACATATCTCAGCAACCGGATGTTACGCGCGCAAACGGTTTTCAGAACAATGTATACAAATCATTTAGCTTTAGAATGACATAAAGTATTACAAAATAATGATTCGAAGTGCGCGCAAGCGAAAGTTTTAGTGTATGTATCCCATTTTTGACGCTATGTACCGGGCCATTTCCCCTAAGCAGTATGCTTATCAGACTGGGTTCTGAAAGTGATGGCCAGTGGGGAACTGAATCCGTGCTTATTCTGGGCGTGCACTAGCGCCACATAGATCTCCCCCGGCTGCAGACCCTTTAGATCCACAAAGTCCGCCACGGAGCTCACCATGTTCGGCTGGCCAATCGGCGGTTCATCTCTCTGTCAAAGCGAGAATTCATTAATGCATCATGACTGAAAAAGTACCGCAATAAAAAAAGAGAAAAATAAGAAAATGTATATGAAATTATTTTCATGCTGTTTGCTGTTATGTCAAATCCAAGCCCTCGATCAGGAAGTTCTAGATCCAAGTTCTAGGCATTCTTTTAAGCTATAATCTGATTGTTTTGAACTCATAAGATAGCGCTCCATACAGCAAACTACAGCATACAGAGCCTACGAGCCATAAAGCATTACTGTACACGTGGTTGCATTTGCCTTGCCGTGACGACATGGCCCCGGAAATATGCTTATTAATTTTCTATATTTTAAGTTTGTATAATTAAAGTAACCTATCTGCGCAACGAATTTCATAAAAAAACCTTATGTTAAAAAAAAATTTTATAATGGAAGGAAAATTTATTGGTTTTTCATAAAGCTAACCGTTTTTTGCCCTCTGCTCTGCGATCGACCTTTACCTGTTTACAGAAGATCCAGTACATGTCCACCGGACTGCCGTTATCTGGTGCGTCCTTCCATTGCAGCCGGTACGTGACGAGGGACTGTTTCAGCGGAACAGACGCAGTGACCTTAGCCTGGTGCAGCGGTGGCCGGGTGGCGTAATCTTGGTCGTCGTCGGGGAGCCGGGCGGTCTTCCGCCGGGTGGTGTCGTAGCCGGCGTCGCTGCGCGTGTCGTTAGATGACGCGGCGTCGTTGACGGACCTATCGCCACCGGGACCGCTGGTTGTTGGCTGAGGATCGGCTGAGCCCGGACTGATGCCGTCCTTGCCTGTTGATACAATAATGTATCAGTCAGGTCTCAAATATTTGCCTTCTGTATAATTTTTCGATATTTTACTGTTTCAGTTCTTCGCTATTCATATTCCGGTCACCGGTCACTGGTGCGACCGCACATGTTTCGCACTACATGAATAGCTGCTGAATAGCTTCAAGTTTAATGACAGAGTTCGTTTTTCTGAAAACTATATGACCATTTCTGTGTATGTTGTTTTGTTAGGAAGACAGATATGTATAAATACAAGACTATAAAACAAAATACTATAATACTAAAAATAACTACATGTATACGAAAAAATCTATAAATCTAACCATAAATTGTCTGTGTATATAATAGTTAAAATTTTAACTACATTTTGTGCTTTCGATTGTCAGACGCCAGCTCCAATGAAACGGGCACGGTGATTTACATACAGTATTTAAAGGTTTTGGTACAGACTTAAACAAAATCAACCCGTGTCTTGCTGATATCAGCAAACAAATTTTACATGCATGTCTGTAGGGCTACAGTGTATACGTAGGCAACATGCAAGAGTAACCAAATTAAAATGAAATAATCGTATGTTGCAGCAACTTACATGCACTGGATAATTACAGTTTTCATTTCAAACGCAATCAAAGAAAAACTAATCGATTAATGGTTTAGAATTTGAGTTTAAACACATAGCCAACCTATTCTAAATGCTAGTAATCAGCCCACCGTAGGTAGCTGTACAGAGGACATCGAAGTCGCAGCAACGACACAAGTCACACAATCATCCCGAAACCAACGTTAACGCCCTTTTTTGAACGCATTCACGATGTAAAAGAACGTGATACAAATACAAACGGAAGGAAATGCAATACGTACTGCTGACAAGGCCACCAAGGACGGCTAACAACACGGCATTAATGGATACGCTGCGCATGGTTACCGAAAAGCGCGTAAAGGTCACGGGGGTCGTTCTTTAGAAATCGTACGATACAGTGACAGTGTTAGCGATGTGAACTGAAATCGCAACGGCACGCACGGTTAGAGAAATGTCGAACTGGAGAAACGGGAAAACGTCTGGTGGTGAAGGAATATAAGCCACGGGAGACCAGGCAGACAGAAGACGCGTTGCTAGGGCGTCTGGAGAAAAACACGGCAAAAACAGCAAAACAACTTAGCAGCCGCCTGTGCGCGGGTGAACGGAGAGGCCACTCCTCCTCACACATTATTCCCGAGCCGGATGTTGCGCGCACAAACGGTTTTCGCGCCAGTGTATATAAATCTCCTGGCTACAGAATGTCATAAACCGAAACAAAAATGTATTTGGGAGTGCGCGAAAGTAAAAGTTTTCGTGCATGTACACGAATTCGGTACCATGTACCGGCCCACTTCCCTTAATACGGCAGTGCTATTACTGGTTGTCCAATGTACAGCATAATTAAGTAAGTACTTAATAAGAATGCAAAGTTCTACGGTACGAGTAAGTATCAAAACATCCCGTTTCAGATTCGATTCACAAAATCGTAGAATTGGGTTTTAATCATAATACATCGGCCACCGGAAATCGCAGTGTTTCCTATCATTATTTTTTATTGCGTAAAAACGCTAGCTCAATCAAACATTCGGTGATTCTTATTGGCAAAAAACAACGATTTTTTTCTTATCATTTCGGTGTGCCGGCCAGCATCCAGAATAGCGTCGAGTAGGCATCGGCCTGTGCCACGTAGAAATTGCCGGCCACCGGCTGACCCAGATTGTACCGCTGAATAAAACTGCGCAGATCAAAACCGATCCGCGCGGCGGGATTATTGGGATTGCCCACCGGGGGCAGCGTTAGTCGCGCCGGCTGTCGGAACAGCAACAGCGCGTAGCGATGCAGACCTGCAGCAAAAGAAAAGGCAAAGGTCACGCATACTCAGTATAAAAAATTATTATTCGCTTCACGAGTTTTTCTGGGCAGCGTGTCAGCCATTATTAACGATCTAGGCCAAGATCTGAATGCTCAGTTTAAACAGCGACGATGTGAAAATAAAAAATATTTAATGGTAGGCTAACTAATTTTGGTAAATTTTATTAAAATTAAAACCAAATATTTTTATTCTAATAAATTCATTAGAATAACTCCTTATTTTAACTGTCATAGTTATCAAAAACACAGCCGTAACAATATTTAATCAATGAAAATAGAATCAAAATAAAAATCAACTATGAATAAATATATGTCAGATTTACATTATTATGTCCTAATTACCATGTAAAATATTCTGCGTCCATGTATGGAATTTACAGCAAAGAAACTGAATTTATTGAAAACAGTGCCGAATTTGGACGTTGTGAAATAACGGTACTATAAAATTCACCAGTGTTGGCATCGGGTTTGCTGCCGGTATACGGCATCTGTATCGTTCCACGGGCCAGATCCATGTTAGGGATGTTGTACACCAGCCAGTGCAGCACTGACCGGAAGCTGGTGTTAGTGGCGGTGGGAGCGTCCAAATCTGTTTTCAGTTCAAAAATAAAATTGTAAAAAATACACTGGTCACAATTTGCAACACAGGAACACTCTTATTTTTTGTTATTAATTTCTTTTCTAATCAATTTTCAGTTTATTTTAAATTTGCGTAGCACGTCAGAAATTTAAGCTTTTGGTAATTTAATTCTAGAATATTCTGGCGTTGTACGGCAGCAACATTTCAGTGTAGGAAATAAAATTAATCAATTTTACATAATCATTTTCTTCTAGTCCGTTTGTAATTTATTTTTAAAATTTTCCGGTGTTTCGAAAATTAAAGTGTTCGAAATGATGGAGAGATATCACGCTGCGGCTGTTCTCATTAGTGTATACCGAGTTCGATCAGTGTGAAGAGGGGCGGGTCGCGCGTGGCCGGCAGCAGGTAGCTCCACACCAGGACCGGTTGGTTAATGACATCCGTCGGCGTCAGTTCGTTGCCCAGCTGCACGGGATGACTGCCGAATGCCGCCTGCAAACGTTGACAGTTCGCGATGTTAAACAGTGTATTTAAGCAAAAATTACTAACGTTGATCGGAATAAGTTTTTGTTAGGATATACAGTATGACACCTTGTGGCTTCTGCGACGAAAGCGGCGATGATTGCCACTTGTATGGTATTAATCTTGTTTTATTCGGTATTTATTTATTTTTATTTCTCACGGCACTTATTTTTATTTCTCACGGCGGTATTTATTTAATACTTGTTATTGATTAGGCAATTGTTATTAATGCAAAGTAATGCTAATCAGGATAAGTAATCGGTGACCTTTTCCTGAATTTACAACAGACGTGTACTTTTTCAGCTGGCGATCAATTAATGCTTCGCAAATTTTAAAAATATTCCAAATTATACGATCCATTCCATGAAAACGCACACTGATCGAGCAAGAATAAGTGGCACAAAAGTAAACTGAAGAAATTTATACTGACTGATAAAAAACAATACATTAAAAGTAGCACGTGTGGGCATAATATACAGAAATGAAATAAATAATACTACCAGTACAAATAATACAAATTAAAATCGTTACAATTATAAAACCTGATTAATATGAGAATAGTTTTTAAAAATAAAAAGGAAAACAATATGCTAAAAAGCTAAACAAAATTAAAAACAAAATGCTGGAGAGCAGCGCAAAGTACCGGTGACACAGGAATTCAAACAAATAGTAACAGAAAAAATACAAAATAAAAATACTATATCACAAAAAATAAGACACACATAATATGAGGGTAATCTTTACAATATACACTACGCTTCCTCACAGCAAGGATCATATTGGGCGGAGTGTCCAGCACATCCGGCGCGATGCGACTCCGGGCAAACGCATCCGCCACCGGCGAGAACGACTGTGCCGTGCACGTAGACAATAAGTGTGCCGTAAAGGTCAGCCAGTGCCATGCCGTCTGCATAGTAGTGTGTTCACTCAATCGCGCAGTCGAATGCTCAAAATAGTAGTTAGTATGACATCAAGCAGAGAAATTAAATTTTCAGTGAATTTTCTTTGCAAACTTAATGAATTTTATTTAACCGCCATATGCGGACAGTTCTATCTGAGGTGAATTAGTGGTGCGTCGAAGTACTACAACAATTTAAGCAGCGGAAGAAAAGTAAGTAGTGTGATTTTGTTTTGTATTTGCTTTGATATATGGCTGCGAATAGCTGCATCTTAGCAATTCTACAGCCGGAAACCACGGTGATAAAAATTGTAAACAAATAAATTTCGGTGTGTTCTTTTTATGTACAATAAGTTTCTAGTCATACGAGGAGCAAAAAAATCTACTTGTAATTAAATTACTTACTATCTAATAACATTACTGAAGACGCGAACAAAGATGAACTTTACATGTTCGAGCAACATAAAATTAATTTTGCGATTAATTGAGCGAGCTCTGCTTCATTTTATTTTGTCTTTGGATAATAAAAACTGACTTTTCTGCTTGCTATATAATTTGACGGCGAGCTGTTTGAAATGGTGACCTTTGTGGCATTTATAACCGTCTGTCCGAGAAAGATGCGTTTGTGGACGCAGATCAGTACATCGATTACCATTCTAATGTACAGAAACATTTTCTATAAGTGTAAAGTATTTAATTGCTAATAAAGGTGTCTCTGACAAGTGCAACGCCCCCCGCGTCATCCATTGACGAAACAGGGCAGACGCCATGATTCACGTGGGTAAATTCCATACCGAAAAATATAATCAGAATTATACTGCAAAATCTGTATTCACACAGAACCATGACATCATCCATGTACGTATGATTAATAGCCCATGTACAATAAAATGTTGCAATTTTACGCACGGCTGCTTAGCAACGACGGTCGCGATCCCGCCTCCCGTTGCCGTATATATCCAGCAGGACCGGGCTTTCCCGTGAACACATTTGCCAGCGTGTCGTTTCTCCAGTCGCGACATTTCTCTAGCATTTCGATTTCCTCTCACATCTATAGAACAGGCAGACGATTTGCATAGAATTATACCAAAGTGACCTTTACACCGTTTCTCCCTAACCATGCTCACCGTGTCCGTTGCCGTGCTGCTGGTCGTCGTTGGCCTGGTCAACAGTACGTACTACATTTTTATTGATTTATGACGTATTTCTAAAGTTAATATTTCAAAAGGGCGTTGGCTATGAGAATCGCGGTTGTCTTGTTGCTGTGGTGTCTAGGGCTGTCTGACTTTGAAGGCCTATTGATGAAGATGAAGCCCTTTGCCAATAGTAGCCTAATTAACACCTTTTTTACCATTTGTTTTTTGATATGTATTTAATCGTGTACTTTAGCGCCATGCATTGGCAACTGCTATCGCGGTATTATTAATTTTATAATGATTTTTTTATTTATTTTATAACAATTTTTATTTTTTCATTTTTTTGTGTTAATTTTTTCTTCTCATTTTATGGTGATTTTAAAGTTCTCTTAAATTTTATAATTTAATAATTTGCAGATTCGTTTTATGATGGAATTGCTAATTTTATTTTTTATTCTGATTCTCATTTGTGAATGCACGACGACAAACGTGTGCCGTTAGCAGCAATTTATTCGGTTTCCTTTTGTTCTACTTTCGTCTGCCGGCTTCAGACACAAATTTCCATGCCAGTCTTTCAATCAAATTCCATGCACAAATTTTCGAATAACGCTTTTTATTTTTTGACCCTTTCCAACGAACTGCATGATAGGTGTTGTTATTATGTAGGGAAATAATAAATTATAAAAATATTCGATTGATTGATAAATTGCGATTAATCACTTAAAAACAAATTTATATAAGTAATTTAGAAACAAGCGAAAAATTAGGTTGCTCATGAAAGGAAGCGAATATTTAATTCTAGGTAGTACTTATTTTGTATGAATGTGCACACTGCATACCGCAATTGTGTCTGTGGACTGTGTGAAAATATAAAAGAAGCAAAAAATTTTTGACAATACTGTTAATTTTAATTTCGATGATCGCTCCCGATTTTAATTTCGATTAATGATCGCTCCCGTTTGCTGACGTCAAGCATTTATTTGGCATTTTTATATGGATGCAGTAATGCCTGAATTAAAATCTCTCTTAACAAAATGATAAACTTCTCACATTAAAAATCGGGAAAAATCGCAATACTGTACTACGTAAAAGTTCATATACTGAACTGCAATAAATTGATATATTTTCCAACAGGTCAAGACGGCGCCGGCCCGGCCTCCCCGGATCCTCAGCAGACAACCAGCGGTCCCGGCGGTGACGCCAGCGGTAGCCCCGCCCCCGACGCCTCCAACGCCACCGGCCCCGGCAACGCCACCGACCAGCCGAGCTTCGCCCAGCCCAATCAGAAGTTCTTCCCACCCGGCTTCGACGGCCGCCAAAGTCCTGGTCAGGGGCCCGCCCAGGAGGGCGGCCAGCAGAACGACACCCGCGGGCCGCAACAGGCCAAGATCCCGGCGTCCGTCCCGCTGAAGGACTCCCTGGTCACCTACCGGGTGCAGTGGAAGGAGCCCATGGATAACGGCGCCCCAGTAACTGGGTTCGATGTCTATTATAAAAAGGTAAAGGTCTCGGCGCCAGCTAGGTATTGGCCGATGTATGCGTGCGCTATATACAGCGATTTTTTCCATTAATCATGTAATCCTGGCAAATTCAAGCCAGTTATAAAAATAATTATATGGATCATACCAAAGCCATAATTAAATTAAAATAATTAATAATTAGTAACTGTATTTAAATTAAAAGCACGATTCTATATTATAAATAAATAATAACGAAAGTGCTATGCGGCCCAAGAATTCCGGTAAATAATTTTTTATTTCAATATTTGCCTTTCTTGTACTCTGTACAATTCCTACGAGTGGGAAATCAATTTCACCACCGCATTCTATTTTTAAATTTTCCCCCAGTCTTTTTTAATTTTTTTGCGAAAGCTGTTTTTTGCGTCCAGTCGATCAGTTTTCGTCTAACCAGATTTGATCCGGAAACGCCAAATATGCGACCTAAAGTTTTGGGGCGCTTAGGAGTGACCTTTATTATTTCTTGTTAGATGTTAATAGGTGTTCATCAGTGCATCGCACTGCAAAAATTACTATGGGCGCTAAAATTCAGGGGCGCATAGGAGTGACCTTTATTATTTCTTGTTAGATGTTAACGAAAAAGTCTATCAATTGCAGACTGATGAAGTGGAATTCAAGGTGGTTAACTCCGTGGCGGACTTTGCGGATCTGCAGAATCTGGAGAAGGGTACGAAGTATAACGCGATGGTGTACGCCAAGAATGAGCACGGACAAAGTCCTCCACTAGCCATCACATTCATAACCCCAACTGGTATGGTGCCGGCTATTTAGCCTTTCTGCTTTACGGGGTTTCCAGCAGTTTAAACCAACTATCGAAGAAAATTTAACATAACAAACTAGTAGTCAATTACCCATTCATTTTTAGTCCTTTTCTCTAAACTTTTTAAAAATAAACCTAATTTTTGATAAAATTAAACTTTAAAATACGTAACTTTCTTCAGTAATTTTAAATTCTTTAATAACTTTTAGTAATTTTTAATATTTTTAATAATTTTTAATAACTTTAATAATAATCTCCATTTTGCCACCATCGTAAGTATTGAAAAAATACTCCAACGTGTTCATTACTGTTAAAGGTTTTATAACATAACTGTTACTGTAAATGGTTAATTAGAGGCTGAAACTAAAATAAAAAATAAAAAATCTACTATTAAATATTAAATCATTAAAAACTAATATTAATAAAACAATTAATGTTCAATTTTTATTGGTCAAGTCAAAATGCAATAGACAAATTATTAGAAAAAACACACAAACTACAACAAAGAAATTAAATAATAATTAAATATTAAACTATTAATTAAATATTATCAATAAATTTGGTTTAAATTTATTATTATTATTATTGTATTATTATTATATTATTATTAATTTAATAATATTATTGATGAACTGGTTGTTACAACGAGTATATAACCGGTTTAAATTGCGTGACCTTTTACCCGCATAGTGACCAACAGCACGGACGCCTGCATCACGGAGATTGTCGACCGCAGCGCCACCAGCATCCTCTTCGACTTCATCCTGCAGGACGGCAGCCAGCTGGACCTGGAGGGCTTCGAGGTGAAGTACGCGCTGGCCGATCAGCCCTTCGAGCACGCCGCCAGCCGCTTCCTGGACCGCTGGTCGCCCTACACCATCACGGGACTGCAGCCCAGCCAACGCTACCGCTTCCGCGTCAATACCCGCATCAGCGGCCGCGGCGGTTCCGGCCAGACCTGCGGCCCGGAGTTTCTGACCGAAATGCCGGATGTGGGTCCGCCGCTGACACCCAAGCCCGCCCTGTCCAATCCGGTGTTTTTCGAGCTGCAGTGGGAGCCGCCCCATGAAGCGGGAGATGTCAAGCATTATCGCCTTGATTATTGGATGGTAAGCGGCATGTGCCGAACGCAACGAAAGGTCAACAGCGGCTGCAGTTACTTTAACCAGTTTAATTATAAGTATTGTGATATTAAAGGGAGGTAGTCAGCAGACATCATTAGAAGACACACAAACCGTATAAAAAGGTTTTTGTAATTAAAAACATACAAAAAAATAAAAATTGATAAAAAAATAAAAAAATAGTTTGAGAAAATTAAGTAATTAATTATTAATTAAAAGTAATGAAAATAATTATTTCTTTTACTAATATTTAAATTAAAGTTATTGCCAAACTCGCGAATACGTAAATCTTACAATTATTAGTAACTATTACAGTAAAATAAAAACGTATTAAACGGTAATTGCGAAATAAAAGGATTAAAAATATAATAAATCACAAGAACTGGTTCGCATATATTATTTATTAATTTTCTATTTCGCCCACAGTGTTAGTAAATTTCATTGCGATGTTTAAATTATGCAGTCTACCGGTATTAGGAATATACGGACAATTTGAACCATATTTTTCTTAAAAATTCAAATTCAAGTGTAAATGAAATCAAATTATTATTTTTCTTTTGTGGGAATAAATTTTATTAAAAGATCGAATAATGTTAACAAAATACGAAGTAGCATATGGAAATAATGGAATTGCTGTAAAATATTGTGCGCCAATTTAAAAACAAATTTAAAAAATGCATGGTGCAGTTCTCGTACCCAGGATCCCCGTTACGGTGAAGCGTCGTCGCACAGCTACCAGATGGTGGAAGGCAACAAGAACTCCTACACCCTGACGTCACTGCAGCCCTGCCAGAAGTACCAAGTGGAGATCTCGCCGCGCGGCAAACCCAAGGGACGCCATAACGGTCGCAACAATGGAACCGGAGGCGCCCACGCCAAGAAGGCCACCCCGGCGTCCCGCAGCCCCGACATGATGAAGCTGCACTTCAACACGGGTTGCGGTACGTTGTAATTCCGCGTGCTTGAGTAAAGGTCACTTTTTATTAACAACAGCTGCAATTAAAATTTCCTTAAAAAACAGACTGGATATTTCAAAAATTTATTAACGCTCCTGTGTAAAGGTCACTTTCTTATATTAGGGGTGAAAATGAAATATTAATAATAAATTACTTTTTTTAAATTAATAACTATTTAACTAACTAATTCAGCATTTAATTTAATAGTTATTTTTCATAATATTGAAACATTAAAACATTAATAAAACAGATGAAGCAAATGCTGTAAAATTTAATACTTTAAAACTGATGTGATGATTGTGTGTGCGGTTTTGCAGCTATCGTCACCGGAAGTGTGGAGAATTCCGGATTTACTTTGTGATCAGCAAAAGACACGCCGGCGCAGAGCTGTTTCCAAATGGCGGCACTATTGATGGACGTTTGTGTGTGTACCTTATACTGTGTCCGTGTAAAGAGCTCGTTTCCACTCATAATGTTGTGTTCTTTCCAAAAGCCGCATTTTGGCCCGTTTTCGGCCTTTCATATCGTTGTGGTGTTTTTGTATTTTGTGTCTTCTTATAGTTCTTGTAATCTTGTTTATTAAAATATGGCAAGCCCTGTCGCGTAATTTTAAAAATAAAAAATGGAAGTGCAAACAGGGTTTGGCTACGGGAAAGCTGTAATAAACGTATCACCTTACGCGAAATTATTTTTTTCGAATGTTCAATATATAGACTACGGTTCAGTAGACTGTGAAGTTTATTTTATTGGTTGAGAAACACGGTCGCAGCACATTATCTTTGCACTGAATTTCATTTACACGCTCAAGCCGCACCCCAGTTTAATCGCGAGGCAATTCCTTATAAGCTCTATGGCTAATTGATCATGAACACAGTTTTTCGTGAGACAACGTAAGCAGCAAGAAATTCGGTTTTGCGGGCATTTCATGCCTAAGGACTACAGACAATTCGATTTTGGTGGAGAATGGCCATAATAGACGGCCTCGCTACATGCCATATACCGTACACCATTACATAGTTTTTCGAAGCCCATCAGTCGCGGTACCAAAGCATCGCCGTAACGAAATACGAATACTTCGATAGTTACGCATCGAGTTGTCCCAAGACAATTTCTCGCTGCGAGGACATAAAGGTGACCAAAATCTAATGTCTGCGGACATTTCCAGCGGCCACGAGTCGTCGTATGCTGCCGCGAGTCGTATCGTAGTCTTACCGTGGCCTTGCTCGGCATACTTTGCAAAAACAGAAGCCTTTTAACATCTTCCGAAGTTCTTTGCTAATGAGTCCGCAACGAATGCGACCGCAAAAAGACCACAGCGACCATCCCCCTGTTTTATGCAGGTTTCGCTTCTTTCCTCTAAGATACACTATTACTAAGTTGGCTGAAAGGTCAATGTAGCAGCAATGTTTTATAAGAAATGACCAAGGAGTGGCAGTTGTCAAAGGGTATGTTATTTGGAAAAAGGGTGACGATTCGCACCCATTTGCTTCCGAAATATTTATGATCCAGGGCCTATCATTCGATAAGGTAACGCTGATGGCCGACGTTTAATAACAGCCAATGTAGCCAAACGGATCCGGCGCTACACGTGCTCACCACCATAAAGCATATAATTTTTTCTGCAACGTATTGGAATTCGTGTTTCCGCTCATCGGCCGCCATCCAAAAATGCAAATAATCTTCTGGAGCTCTTTGGCTTTTCGGCAAAAAATTGGTATAAATGCACAAGCCAGCCAATGGATCAAGAAATTTATGGAAATCTTAGCCAATAACAAAAGTAACGCATTGTTCGTGCATGTTATACTATTTTACCAGTTGAAATATTTTTTCTTTAGTTTTCGTTCTTGAGATGAATCAGTTTTGAATCATTTTTATTTGAATAACTATTTTTTAGTATTCAAACTGCCTTCATTATACGCAGGCAGCGTCGTCTGATTTAGGGAATGATCCAAAAAGAAGAGCCACGTAAAAAACCTGTAACACTGAGACTCTCACTCAGCTAACTGATTTTGACCACAACTACCTCGTCGTAAAACCGAGGCACCTACGTTTTCTGAGACTTACGTACGCCATCACACCTTCGCTATGCTGCGAACGAAAATTTAAATAGGAAGTAGATTTGGTAATACGTAGATTTATTGTGATTATTGTAAGAAGAATGATTACCGTACCTTGCAGGGATGGGTTAATATGGGCTTACCGCGACGGTTTAACATTGCCGTCATTGGTGGAAAGAACAGTTCTTACCGCCAGGTACACACATCTCGGCACATAATTTATGTTCATTCTTACTTCCCACAGCAGCTGCCGCATAGCCTGACATTCCAGGCGTTATCCTTCGTCTGGGTGGTAATGATCAGCCCGCCACTATCGCCGTACAAACTATGCTATTAAATTCTTAGCATGGCCGAAAGTTAATGAGTAGCCAAACTGAACCCGTAATTCTCTGCAAGCGGTTGTTTAAACGTACACAATCCGCGCTGGGTACCAGTGTTACAGCCTGAGCCAAGGTCATCCCGTGAACAGGGTGAGGCCGAATGCACAGTACTATCGCCTTGTACTTATTCTCCATTAGTAATAAAATATTAGTATTATACAGTAGTAATATGATATGCAACGAGAAAGTATTGTGATTTGACTGCCCTTCTGCGATGATCACGTACCAGCGATGGAATTCGGACGACACCTGGGCAGTTATAACTTAACTCTATAACTTAACGCGAGTTATTTGCGAGTTATCGAGTTTTAACGTAACCCTGTAGCGTAACTCGCTACCCAAAAAACTTAACTCTAACGTAACTCGTCTAAAATTTGTATAGATTGTCTATGGTAGCGTAACTCGCGGTATAACTCGAAACTCGGTTTTACTTGCATAAATAGCGTAACTCGCACGCTACCTGTAACTCGTAACTCTAACGGTGGGTGCATTTTCCATAACTGCCCAGGTCTGGACTACAGACTTTCGGCTTTCTTTGCCATCATCGTACTGTCTGACTCGGACAGTACAGATACGATGATGGCAAAGAAAGCCGAGTGGCAGACGTTCGGTGTGCGTCATCTTCGATATACTGAAGACCCCTTTCACTCTGCGTACCCGGCGCGCCCAACCTATGCGTGTACGTCATACGAGGACAGGTTGGACAACTTGGATGTGCCAAGCAATGAGCACGCGCGGGTCTGTACTTACTTGGACAGTCCGAGTACAGACGGAACTCCAAGTTTAGGCCTCGTCCTAAATTCGAAGCGAATCTCGTTGCGATACAGCAACTCCACCTCTCGAGATGGCTTCGCGTACCGTATCTGTAGGCGTGGCCACTGCATACAGCCACCTCGTGCGGCTGAGCAGCCGTACCATAGCGAGATTCACTTCGAATTTGAGCCAAGGCCTTAGGCTTACTGTGCTCTTAACCTCGGCAAACCAGCCAAGGCGTCCTATTCCAGGGACTGGACTGTGCTTTGCCGGAACAGAATTGTTTATCACTCTATCTAATCCCAAGAAGTCCCTTTTTTGAACAATTCAGTATCTAATTGTTGAAAAGAGGGACTTTTCGGGATCGATCATGACAATAAGCGAAATGGCGCATCATTAAACTGTTAAAACGAAATCCAGTTAGGTTTGCTAGATTGTTGTATGTCGTATGAAGACATTCCTTCCCGGCGAATGGCTGCAGATATTTATGCATCGAAATTTTCCACATCGCAACAGACCAAACTCAAGTGCCTGCATTGATTTATCGACTTCCGTTATTAAGAATCGGAATTTAATTTACTGAGAGGTGGATCTGTTTTCTAATCCAAGAAGCGAACTGTACAGTACCGCGAATACAATTGCAGCAGCTATACAATTTGTATGTCTACTGCAATTGTATTCGCGGGGCACGCAGGTTATCGCACTGTTCATCGCTGAAATTGGAAATGATTGCCGGAAACGGCTCTCCACCGGCTGTTTTATTTCCTCTCGTTAAGGGACTGGAAAGCATAAAGCTTGGCCACATCGGCAGCGCTCAAGCCTGCGTCTCTGGACCAGTTGAACGTTCCTTTACTTGTGACTTGTGCGTAATACATGCAACCACAAGTAACGTTAAAATCGATCAGAGAACATAACTTGTGTTTCTGAGAAGTAAAATAGGCTGGTCGCCGTTAGCGAAACCAAAAGGGTCCGTAATGCATGATGGATTCTAGATCGTACACAAGTTCCATGAGCAAGCATCGGTGGAGAGGTTCGAAACGGGGCTGATGGGGCGAAGCCGAAAGGGAGGAATATTGGTAATAAGTGCTTACAAACAGTGTACTCGTACAGAATAAATCGTTGTTTCTCCCGTCTGGCACTTAATAAATATTAACTCCATCAAGTTTTAGATTAAACAACATCGATGATTATAATGTACGATACAAACTACTGCAACTACATACAGTACAAGACAAGCCCAGTATTTCTGAGAAAATGCCTGTTACAGTCTGATCGACATTCCATAAACAGCTAAGAGCTTAGCGGAAATGGCGTATGTAGCTTAAGCTGATTGGCGTCGAGATAGAACTGCGGGATACGGCTTCGGATGTTTGTAGAAAATTAGTGATGAATCATGCATGACCTATATCATAATATACAAGCCCGTCCGGATGATGAGCACGATACAGAACAGCGCAAAATGTAAATTCATGGGTTACGCCAAACAATATGCTACGCCCCGCCAGGGTGCACGCAATATATTTTATTGGGTATAATCGTAACTGCCTGGCGAACGGTGTCTAGAAAACGATCGGTGCAGTAAGGGGCAATCTAACTGCGGAAGCCATTTACGCATTGTGGTAAACGTAGCGTAGTGGCCATCGTGCTAAGCGCGATTAGCGCGCTCAATATGCATTAGCTGTACAGCCTGTACCTTTACGTGCTCATTATCCGGACGGGCTTGTATAGTCGTACGTATCTGTATGTATAAAATTGCAAGTACACCCGGCCTTATGCCAAACTGCATAAACAATGTCCGACCACGAAAACTGTGCTTGATAATCCAGTTAGCGACGCAACGCAGTTGTCAGTTATTAACATGATCAGATATATTCAGTGAGACCATTCATCAAAATTATTTAACAAAACATTATATATAATTTTGCGTTTGTATTATAGTCAAATAATGCGGTTATTATTAATCTCGCCCCTTTTTGTGAATCGAACTGCTGCTAATCATAATTCGTATGGAATGTAATTGCGAATTCAATTCAATATATTTTTGGTTTTACGCAATTGCTAAGCGGGAAGATTTCTGGCTGGTTGTAACGAATACTGAATATGTACTTATGTTTTCATTGTTATCTGTAAACAATATAATTATTCTAAATGATATTACCAGGTCCTCTAAAAATAATTAGGATTAGTCATATTTAAAATCTCATGGCAACCACAACCGTTAGGGAAATCGAAATGACCGCCAAATTTAAGGTACAGTACTGTAAGCAACGTGTTCCTAGGCAATAAAATGTCCTGCCGACTATAATTAAATGTCGCGCGGCGCGATGACTTTGCGGCGAAAATGAATGGTGGCCAAAATGAATGGTGGCCAAAATGATAGGGTGCCATGTCTGCGAACAGATCTCCTGCTACTAATAGCCCTCGGCGAAATGTCACGGTGCGCAGAAACTTATGGTGATAGATACAGCCAAACTACCACTGTTGTCAGTTGTTGCATATACCTAAAAGGCTAAAACAACACAAGAAGGAGCGAAGGTGCACGATTTCCTGCAGGTGCACCACCGCCTGATAACAATGACCAAAATATTTAGCATGGTGACAGCAATGCTTTGGTAATGAAAAAGACACCACGTAAGTGACGTAACCATGGTTATCACAAGCCGTGAGTACGAACGGTCGATACATACCCTCCCACTTTTTGCCGGTACTTTGTCGCGGTGGGCACTGGCCAGCGCAATATTTAACAATTAAACTAATAAGTTACTAATTAAGCTGTCACTGTCGTCATTTGTCGCTGTGCTTCCGACAGCTTTCACTATCTTTTAACTTGCTTACATTAAAATGTGTATGCGCTAGAATTAGCATCCCTGTACAATTTGTTATGATTTAATGAATAAACAGTCAACGGTCACAAAAATAATGTGGTGCGATGCTTCGGAATGCTGCTCGCAAGGTTGTGAAATTGCAATTACCGGTACCTATTGCGTTCAGTATCAATAGAACAGGATGGGCATCTGTTTAAAAAATAACGGCCCACTCGGAAAACTGTTGTTAGAAAATAGTCCCACCCCGCGAAATAGCGCCACCTCCCCAAAATAAGCCCACCTCCTACAGGACGTTTGAACTTTTGCACCCCAGGGGTGCAAATTCGATAATTCAGTTACAAATGATGAGCACCCATTATGCGACCGACACTGCACTAAACATTCCCCAGTTGCATAACACAGAGAGCACATAAAACAGAATTTTTACAGAAGAATTATCTATGAAATTCTTATACCTTGTTCTACATCTCTTTGGTTTTCTTATATTTTTTCTTATTTTCTTTTTTATCCTCTAATTTTCTTTTGGGTTTCAAGAACTAGTTTTTTTTAAAATTCTTGGATATTTAAGAATTCAGATTTTTTGTTGAAATGACCGTATGCCGAACTGGTTACGCACGCTCAAGCTTTATGTCTCAAACCTAAATGTCCCAGCGTCCGTATACCCGCGGCGAAATTCGAATGTCTTCGCGGCGAAAAGTGGCCCGTTGATCTTGAGTACGGCGAAATGTCGCACTCCCAATCTTTTCGGGTGGGGATTCGCGTGGGCTAATTCCACACGATGTCAATTTATCAAGAGTGTACGTATCAATTATTAGGTTCAAATAGCACCGAATTCATCCATCTATGATTGTTAGTAACACAATAACATGTAAAATAAAGGATACTTTTAAGCACGGCTGCTCAGCAACGCCAATCGCCAAAACAAATTCCCGCTTGCCTATATATATCCGTCAAGAACGGGCTTTCCCCCGCAACATTATTGTCCCATGTGTCGTTTCCTCTGCCGCGACATTTCTCTAATCGTGATGTATTCGATTTCCTCTCACACCTGTTATGAACGCGCTTGCGCACGCACACGATTTTCAAAGATGTACCCAAAGTGACCTTTACGCCGTCTCCCCCCCAACATGCTCCCCGTGCCAGTCACCGTATTGCTGGTCGTCGTTGTTGGCCTGGTCAACAGTATGTGTTAGCTTCTTCGCATGTCGCTGCTCAGAACAACTTGCTCTACTGAACATAATATAGTGTAGACAGCTCTGACTTTGATTTTTACGTATATTTGTTTTGAGAAAGATCAAGGAGTTGCTGAATTATTAGCTAAGCACTGTATCAAGTGAACGGTACAATTTTCATCATTTTTCAATAACATTAATAACAACTGACATTTACGTACTGTATGTGAAATGTCCAGCATCGGTAGTTATACCATCCTTTGATAATAAAAATTTCGGCAGTAATAAATAACTAGTAAAAATAATTAATAAAAAACCGAAAAGTCTTGTGCTTATTATTGTAATCATACTCCTGTGCTAAGCAAGTATTACCACGTGCTTCTTCGACCCTTTTAACGAGGCACCGTCGACATCACTTAAAAGTCGAAACGACTATGTACTTAAGCGTCGGAGCCGTATAATTAGTTGAACTGATGTTCGTCATTAATTATTGCGCCATAAATATTTGTTTTATGTTTCCGTAATAAAATAATCACTATTTTATAAAACGATTACGCCCATTTAACCTTGAGGAAGACATCTAAAACCTTTAAAAAAATGAGTATTAAATAAAATTCTGTTACTCAGAAGTTATTAAGCTTATGAACTCTATGAGCTATACGTACGATAAAATCCGATGGAAAAATGCTTTAGCCACAATTTTAAAAAAATGTTTCTTCAAATGCTTGTGCAATATCTACTAAACGCAATGAGAAATACGCATCTACTAAACGCAATGAGACATACGCGCGCTCGTACGTACATACTGAATATCAAATACATTAAATATATGTAATTAAATAAGACGTTGTCAATAAATTAAATTAAGTAGGATGTGATCAATAAATTTCTCCAACAGGTCAGGTCGGCGCCAGTCCGGTCTCAGCCAAGCCTCAGCAGACAATCAGCGACCCCAGCGATCACGCCAGCGGCAGCCCCGCCGCAGACCTTTCGCCCTCCCCAGACGCCGGCAATACAACCGACCAGCTGAATTTCGCCCAGCCTAATCAGAAATTTGTCCCTCCCGCGAGCACCGACACCGCCGTTTACGCCACCTACTGGCCCAAGTTCGTCCTGCCGAATCCGCCCGGCAGCGCCCCTCCAGGTCAACGGCAGGGTCCGTTCGGTGTGGAGGGCGGCCAGCCGAACGACGCCCGCGTGCCTCTCCACCAGGCCAAGATCCCGACGTCCGTCCCGCCGGAGCATTCCCGCCTCACCTACCGGTGGCCGTTAATGGACACTGAAAACGACAGCCCGGACAAAGAATATCAAATCCACTTTAACAAGGTAAAGGTCACACGTCCCGCTGGTCGATGCAGACTTTCACATTTTATTATTATTGTGCGAATCGTGCGATCTTTCGTACCAGTGTACTGTAGTCTGAAACAAAATGTTCTTAGTTAGATGAAACCAGAAATTAGTAATCTACTACAAAGTTATACAAAATTGTAAAAATAATATAATAAAATATACCGGTATTTCATTTTTTTCATAGTACCAAATAAATGAACAAAATAGGGTGAGGCTATTGACACCCACTTGCACCCCCTTGTGGCCAACGTCACGCCTTTTCACTCCCTTTGGCTATTACCATCTCCTTTTTAAAAATCAAGAGGAACACCCCCTTGGACTATTGTCACTCCCGACCACACCCCTTTTGTCGCTGTTGCCAGCACTTGCAAGTTTTTGCTTATAATTTTACCACCAGCGGCTTGTTTTCGATTCGGTTCAGGCCACCACCCTGAGGGAAAGGCGCCAAGCGGAGCTTATTTACGCACACTAAAAGCGCCGCTAATTACAAATGATGCGGCCTCGTCTCCTTAACATGCAATTTTAGCATCTTCATGCAGGATTTTTTGCTAATTATTTCTGCCGCGAAAACGGCTGCAAAAAGGCCACTGGGCCTGTTGTCTTAGTACAGTATCTGCAGATATGGCGCCGCTGGCGGCATCGATAAGGTGATTAAGCCATTAAATCAGGACTGCATGGATTATGAAAGATACCGTAATTATCGAATTGCCCATGCCCGTAACTGGAGCCCACCCCGTGAGGCGTTTGAAATATTTGTAACCCTGGCGGCTCTAAATCGACAATTACGGAGTACAGATCTGCCGCTTAAGTTAGTCTCCCAAGCACATTTGCCAGTTCTCCATATAATAGGTTTTGTTAGCTCTGCATCTTTCTTCGAAGATATTGTAACTTCTTAAGTTGTCTGAAAGGTCAGCTGCAAAGTCTTACAAAAACTGTTCCAGGAGTGGCAATAGTCTAAGGTGAATATAGTCTAAGGTGGTGCTGACTTTGCTTTTTAGAGAGCGGGTGACGATAGCAAAAGGGGGTTAAAAGGGAGTGACAATAGTCAAAGGGGGGTGTTACAATAGCCATTTCCAATAAAATAATAGCAAATAAAACATATCTGCGAGTTGGGCACTTTGGTGACACATTTTATGGTGTGCCATAATCGAAGTACAATTGCAGAAATTTTTGCCTTCTGGCTTCCGGGTCAGGCTTTTGTCAACCCTGCCAGTTGCACAAGGGAATGGGGGGATGTTCATGGCCTCGAATGTGGCCTTCCGATTACCTCGCTTTATTTTCGGTTCTAATGGAGCCGTGCCCTGGTCAAGCCCGTAAACAATTGCAGCGGCCAATGCGATATCATAGAGCAACCGCATTTAAAGCCACTCTTTAGTTTAGTTTAGTTTATTTCCGAGCAGACAAACCCTGAGGCACTCAATAGTCTGGTCAATGTCAAATTTCAAACAATAAAACAGCAAAAATTTAAACAATATTTCTCAGACGCAGTAAAGACAGGAAGACTTCAACAGAACCACAACCAAACAGATTATCTCCATCCTTCATAATTTTATTAAACAGACCTTTAAGCCTCATCGCTAGGGTCGTCTCCCCGATGCTCCGCCGCGGGCGGTCGCATCGATCCGCTCTGTCCGGCGGAGTCCATACTGCGAACCAGTGTCCTTGAAAGGAACCAAGTCGCACATGTATGACGGCACTGCAAAATTTGCCGGTTGCGGATCTTGAACAGCCAGGCTGCTTCCTTCAGGCGCCATCGATCTTTTGCTGGTTTTGCTGCTCTATTTCTGACACTGTCCCTGACAAAATTCACCCTTTTGTCCCTCATCTGATTCCCATCCAACACATATTCCAACACAAAAATCGGCTTTAAAAGGATTTTTTTAAACGTTTCAAGCGGTTTAAAAGAGAGAATTTACCCGTGCACACATCAAGAACCCGTTTTCGAGCCCCGTGCACGCAACATCGACCTTATTTTTTTATTTTTCTTATAGCGGAAGGATGTCCCTTCGAATGAGATGAACTCCGTGGCGGACTATGTGGATCTGCCGGATGTGGAGCCGAGTGAGATCTATATGCCGATGGTGAATGCCAAGAATAAGCACGGAACAAGTCCCCCAGTGGCCTATATCCTCAGAAATGAATCTGGTACGCACCGTATAAACATATTGCACCGGTTGTGTAAACGTGGTAGGAAAACGTTCTGGGACTGCGGCGTTGCGAGACTGCCAGACTGCCGTTCTCAAAATATACGAAAAAATATTTTGCCAGGTTTGTAAAATATTTTGCCAGGTTTTACTGTTACGACCTGCTAAATTTTCAGCAGCAAGATTAAAACAACTAAAAGATTACTTTACTGAAAGAATAACTGAAGGAGAATTAGTTTCGATTTTCTCAGTTTATCACGAATGCGCAGGCTGCCGCAGTTTCGCAGGCTGCCGCAGTTTTCAGCCTGTGTTGATCTGATATTCCAGGCCCTCCCCCCCCATAACAAAAAATAAACATGTATCCATGCAACACTGGCCCAATTGTGCATTAATGCCGCAGGTCGCCAAGCCAAGCTGGCGCCAAGTTGGCGGCATTGCGTTTTATTTTTCTGCCGACTGGTGTTGCGCAATTTTTCCCAAAACTTTTAAAGTTCCTTGTGCAGTTTTCTTTTGCACATTTTATGAGCACAAATTCGTTAAACTTGTCGTTGCGATGCTGCGAGAAACATCTTCGGACTGGAAGGCATCGATGGAACGAGTCGTGACAGTGTTGGGAACACATTTAATTCATCCAGGAAATCAGGAATGACTTTAAGCGCTGAGAATTAAGCTCATTTTAATGACAATTACATGATTGATTCAGGAACAAAAACTGAAATTCAGCGGCTAGGCCAAACCAGCAAAACCCTGTGGGAGCAGAATGGTTTTCGCTCAAAGCGCTGGCCGAAAAAAACGATGGCGGCCATTAATTGAATGCTGGGCGGTTGCTGGGTGCACGAGTGACCTTTTGGTGTTCGCACGGGTGTTGGCTGCGGGCACGGATTTTTGTTATGCTACTTTTTTTGCGCAACGAATTTAAGATATTTCGCAACTTAAAAAATAACATACAATTTCGGTGCACATGAACACTCTAAACACTTCGAAATGTTATATTGCAACGCTTTTTCAAAACGTTTATTTAAACACCGAAATTTAGAATTCCGATATTACATGGTAATAAAAATTTATAAATGTTTCTAAAGCTGGTACGCTGAGCGTACTACGCTCCAAAGCTGCTACGTTTCCAAAGCCCCGCTACGCTCTTTATAGCTCTATTTAGACGTACGAACAGTAACATACTCCAGTACAAGTAGTAGCAAGAACTTACTATAGGTAGACACTATAGTAAGTACTTGGTAGTTTTGTATTTCTCACACTGTAGTAAGTACCTGGTAGTTTCCCACCCATGGTAACAATTGTCAGTACTTCGCATAACATTATTATTAAATGAAAAAAATGTAATACATGGTGAGCAACATCTGAAAACGTCCAATTAGGTAGAATGAGGCAAAATATTAAAAGAACCGAATATTGTATACTTCTTTATGATGCTTTATCGTTTGATTTTGGTAATCGTATGGTATCGATAAAGCGCGTAATTACCTTGACGTACATACTTGCTCAGCGTCATAGCTATGCAAAGTCGCATACCACAATGTTCGGTAACCAAACTCCGACAGTGGATGCAGATGGTTACTGCCGGCAAACTGGCCGCTGCAGCATCAAAGAACAATCGTTGAAACTACAGAGTTGTGTGCACAGTAAGCCATGCTTTCTGGTGATAAATTTTAAAGCAAAAAGGCAGAATGAATGTTTTGAGGTTGTTGGAATTTAACATACAAGTCAACGGCACTTATTGCAACGGTCGGCCCGTAAGCCCAGTGCTGTTAGCGTCTGATCTATATTCACGTGACAGCCCAGTTCTCAGGCTTGTACAGAGTGGGCCTTGGCAATGCAGATCAGCGGGATGACCGGCAATATATTACAGAGGCCAACAGCACAGACGCCTGCATCACGGAGATCGTCCACCGCAGTGCCACCACAATCCTCTTCGACTTCATTTTGCAGGACGGCAGCCAGCTGGACCTGGATGGCTTCGAGGTGAAGTACGCGCTGGCTGATCAGCCCTTCGAGCACGCCGCCACCCGTTTCCTGGACTGCTACTCGCCCTACATCATCACCGGTCTGCAGCCCAGCCAGCGCTACCGGTTTCGCGTTAATACCCGCGTCAGCGGCCGCGACGGCTCCGGGCAGACCTGCGCCGAATTCCTAATCGACATGCCGAAAGTGGGCGCGCCGCTGATACCCAAGGCAGCGCTGTCCAGTACGGTGTCCTTCAAGTTTCTGTCGGAGGCGGCCATTAAGGGTGAGGCCACAACGACGGCCCCAGCACCAAGAAGTCCGCCCCAGCACCCCGTACCGCCGACATCGTGAAGCTGAACTTCATCACGGACTGCGGGAGCGCTTCTGCGTAAACGTCTTTGTTTCAAAAATAACGTAAAATGCACTAAAAATATTGTAAAATTATTTAAAATTACCGTATTGGCATGCTATGCCGCCTATGCGGAAGTCGCACCGCGACAACCGCACTAGATGACCAAACCTACTCAATTGGTAGAGTGGGAATGCGCTCTGGACTCCGTAAGTGGTACGCGAACTACCTACTTCCGTTAGGTACGAGCGGATAGCTGTACCTAACGAAAGTTACCGAAACCGAAACACTCAGGAACTTCCCAATGTTTATTCACCAAACAAAAACGAACAAGCAAACAGAAAAGAACAGAACGAGATATGAACTTTCTTCTAACCTAGAGTCACTCAGACCTTTCAGCTGGGAACAGGCTCACAGATTTAGTTGAAGTTAGAAACTTCAGACTGATTCGTTAAACTTAAACCAGACTGATTCGTTAAACCAGAATCATGGATGGAATTAGCGATCAAATGCGTTAGATAAAAACAGCAAATCGTACGTAACAGAACACACAGACGTACGTCATAACACGTACGTAATACGCGCAATCTACGCATAGCGCGTTAGTATAATGTATAGAAACACCCTTAAAAATTATCAGTGTTGCTTTTGCAGCGATTGTCACCGGAAGTGTGGAGAACCCCGGATTCACTCTGTGATCATAAACAGACACGCCGGGGCGGAGCTATCGCCAAATGGCGGCATAATTGATGGACGCTTCTCTGTGTAATTTGTACTTTACCCGTATAATGAGCTCGTTTCTCTCACAATGTTATGTTTCTTCCAGAACATGCTTTTTAACTCGTTTTCGGCGATTCACGTCATGATTGTTGTCTTGTGCGTTGTGCCTTTTTATTGTTCTTCTAATCTTATTTTGTTATTAAGCTAAACTGGACGATTAATGGTAAATATTAAAATTCCAGTGTTGGACGTTCGGCTGCGAGTCAGGCTGCACAAAACCTTCGTCTGCACAAAAATTATTTGTACTTTTATGAATATTCAGTAAGGTCAGGTTGAAGCATTTAATATTTACCCTTTTTCCAAAAAAAATTGATTTACTTTATTCAGCAATGCACGGACTTTTTCACGCACGCACGGACTTTTTCTGTAGAACGAGCGCGTACGTACTAATAAAGGCCGGATAACCGTTTAATTCTGGCCGTCTACTCAAACTCGCGTGTCGCCCAAATCCCCTAGCTTTTGGAGCAAGACATTTCATTCCCATTCATGCCGCAGACATCAACCATTTCATCACACCGACATTTATGCTCCGGAGCATGGGGCACCGATTTGTAAGGATCCTTACAAATCGGTGCCCACATCCGCAAAGCAACAGCGATCCGCAGACCGGCATCGTCCAGCAATGTGCCGAGAGACCAACAAATTATAAGAAACTCAACAAGCGATTAACGATACTGCGTGACATTTTACCTTGTTTTACTAACTTGTCGGATGGAAGGATATGAAGTGCTCTTTCTCGGTTCTCTTTACAAAACATGCACAACCGAATGTCGCATCGTCGATCTTACGCATAGCTTCCATGATAACAGATCTGCTCCAAGTGCCTGCCAGTAAAGACTCTGTTAGTGTAGTCCGCACTACGAAATACGCGGTTCCAGATCGAGTGATGATGCAACATGCAAGCACTCACTAACTGCCGAAGTGACTATGTATGGCACTCTTCCTCCACTCAGTGGAGGAAGAGTGTGAGTGGAGGAAGAGTGCCATACGTAATCAGTCGGCATTCGCCCCACTCCACCAAACGATAATTTCTCCCGCAGATGATGCACCATATAGTGGCCTATGTCACAGTATGCCAACTAAAGGATTTAAAGGACAGTAAAAAGTAACAGTAAAAAATAAATTGTTTGGCCGACAACCTGATGTCCATTGTCAGCGCATGCCGCTCTGCTCTCGTTTGTATAGCGTCAAATCAATGCCCAGTATGAGGTTTTTCGTCAATTATGGTTTTCCGCTCGGAGAAAACGATGTCTAGTTGTGCGACAACCTTTGCACCGTTGTCGCTGTCAGTCTGTATGTTCTGTGTAGCACATAAACATAGAATTTTATTACGCGCTACCGGCAGGAAGCGTAGCTGGTACGGTCCTGTACAAGCTACGTCATTCATTTACCTGTTTCGAGTCATTTTCTTTGGCCAGACAGCAGATATGGCTACAATGTCGCTCTATCGTCGGCATCACCTGACACCTTACCTCCTACATCCGACTCATGTTTTGTGGGATCAACGTCTAAGGCGCGGTAAAGCCGCTTTTGCCAATATTTATTATTTTTTGCCGGCATTCGTCTTGTTGTTGATATTTGTGCATCCTTTAGTCGCTAACCGTGCGGTGTAGAAATGTTTTCAGTGCGTACAGAAATTTCAGTACCCCTGCGCTAAAGAACAAGAAACGGCTTCGTCGTCGGCTCCGCGTTAAGCAAAGAAAGACTAAAAGCCGGTGTAAATTGCTGAATACTGTAACTGAATTTTTCGAAATCCTTGGAAAAAATTAAATATTCCAACCTCATCTTTCTGAGTATTCATAAAAGCGCAAACAGTTTTTATGTTGACAAACGTTTTTATGCAGCTACTAGCTAGCTCGCAGCCGAGCGTCAAGTACTTTAGGGTTTTGCTGTTTATCTTTGATCATTCAGTTTGGCTTAATTATTAAATAGGCACTATATAAAGACTGTCAAGACAAAACATACAAGACCACGACCATGAAATGAACCGCCAAAAGCGAGCCAAAAAGCGGGTTTTGGAAAAAAGATGACATTATAAGAGGAAACGAGCGTCTTATACGAATACAGTACAAACCACACACAGAAAACGTCCATCAATATACGACTATTTTGCAATAGCTCCGCGCCGGCGTATTTGCTTGCAATCACAAGGTAAATCTAGGGCTCTCCACACTTCCAGTGACCATCCCTGCAAAACCGCGAAAATAATATGTATTACTTTATAAATACTTTTTTTATATCATTTCAGGCAGTTTTTTAAAGTTTTTCGCATTTTGCGCCATTAATTGCTATTAAAATTGACCTTTACACAGCAACGCTTCCAATTTTTTAAGATATACATTATACAGAAATCCTAAACAATTTTCTACTATTTTTCTTATTTTTTATTATTTTGAAACAGTGACCTTCGCACAGAAATGCTCAAATGCTACCTACCGCAATCCGTGGTGAAGTTCAGCTTCATGATGTCGGGGTGCGGGACGCCGGGGCGGCCTTCTTGGCGTTTACACCGCCGCCATCGGTGTTGCGGCCGTTAGTGCGTCCCTTGGGTTTGCGGCGCGGCAAGATCTCCACTTGATATTTTTGGCAGGGTTGTAGCGACGTCAGATTGCGGGAGTTCTTAGAGCCATCCACTATCGCATGGTGGCGCACCGGCACTTCACCGAAACGGGGACTCTGGGCACGAGAACTGCACCAAGCAATTTTTAAAAATTTGTTTTAAACTGGCATACAATTTATTCCATTTTCCAATTCATATTTCACCGAGGTTGTCTTTTACCCTGTTATGTGAGTAAAATAAGCATTATACATGCTTTATTTACAAGCCTAAACTCTATTTAAATCTTTAATTATTCTGTAAAAAATTATAAACAGGGTTAGAATTTCCGCATAATTGTTCTTTACAACTACGGAGTGCATGGTTAAAAAACCGAATTGGAGTTATAATAAGAACTTCGATCAATAAAATTATTTATTATCAACCAAATTATTTATTACAGTTTATTTTTTATAATTGTATTATAAATTGTTTCGCTTCTATTTACTTTGATAATAATAGTAAATTTAGCTGTTGCTAGACGGTTTTTGAATTCGCGCAATTGCCAATAACTGATAATCGAAAGATTTTAAAATCGACAAGAATTAATAATATTATTGTTATTTTAACGATAAACGCATAGAATTAATATAAAAATGTATAAAGAATGATATATAAAACGTTTTAGAAATATGTTTTGTTATTGGATAAAATACTGCAGCCGCTGTTACCCTTCCGTTGCTTCGGCAAATGCCGCTTACCATCCAGTAATCAAGGCGGTAGTGGCCGATGGCCTCATCCTTATCGGACGGCTCCCACTGCAGCTCGAATGACACCAAATTGGACTGCGCAACCTTTGGTGCCAGCAGCGCGCCCACTTCCGGCATGTTAATGATAAATTCGGGGCCGCAGGCTTGCGTGGAATCACCGCCGCCGCTGACACGAGTATTAACACGGAACCGGTAGCGTTGTCTGGGCTGCAGTCCGGTGATAATGTAGGGCGAGAAACGGCCCAGGAAGCGAGTGGCAGCGTGCTCGAAGGGCTGTCCATCAAACGCGTACTTCACCTCGAAGCCTTCGAGGTCCAGCTGGTTGCCGTCCTGCAGGATGAAGTCAAAAAGCAGAGATGTGGCGCTACCGTCGACGATTTCCGGTTATGCACGCATCCGTGATGTTGGCCACTGTAAGGTATTGAAGGTCATTCAGCCGATGTACATATATCAAACACAATTTACTGAAAATAAATTTGGAACCTAATTAATCGGAAACTATTTAATTATACATTAATTATAATTAATAAATCGGTAATTATCGGTAAATTTAATTATACATTAATTATATTTAATTATACATTAAATTAATTATACATTAATTATACATGCTTTATTTACAAGCCTAAGCTCTATTTGAATCTTTAATTATTCTGTAAAAAATTATAAACATGGTTAGAATTTCCGCATAATTGTTCTTTACAACTACGGAGTGCATGGTTAAAAAACCGAATTGGAGTTATAATAAGAACTTCGATCAATAAAATTATTTATTATCAACCAAATTATTTATTACAGTTTAATTTACCGATTTACCGATTTATTAATTTACCGATTTATAATTTAAATTAAATTAATAATTTAAATTACCGATTTATTTACCGATTTATTACCGATTTTAATCTTTTATTTAATTTTTTTACCGATTTATTAATTATTAATTGATTATTAACGGCCGTTTTGCTGATTTGTACAAGTACAAGTGAACAATAATATTGTTCATTCCATAATGTCAGAAATATCCTAATTTTTCAGATCTATACTGCCACGAATGGGATACACCAAAGCCGGCAAACCAGAAAAGTCGGACCAAAACCAATATTATATTCTGAAAGCCCGTAGTCGAAAACCCGGCCAGACAGTATTCATTTCTTTCAAAACCGCTCCCGCTTCGAACGCCAAAGCGGAAGAGTTTTGACTACCTTCACCAAATGTAACAAATAATTGCAATGATAATTATTATCATCGTGGTATTTTTAACCAGGCAATGTTGCCACGTAAACCAGTTAAAATACAGACTGTACAGCTAAAAAATGGAAGTTATTTCTTCTATTTGAATTATCAGAAATTTAATTAGCACGACAACTCGACAAGAACGACTACATATGTAGCGTCAAATGTACGGTAATTTTCGGCAAAGTCGTCAAATGTACGTCAAACGTATTGTCGGTACTGTCAAATGTACAGGACCGTTAGTTGAGCAACCGATACTGTCCAGTGTACGGGGCCCGCTAGGTGAACGAGTGACCAAGCTACCTGTACTGTCAAGTGTACGGGGCACGCTAGGCCCGTTAGGCCCAGTGTGCGGGGCCAGTTAGGCCCGTTAGGCGAACGAATGACCAAGCTACCGAGCAACCGGTAATGTCCAGTGTACGGAGACCGTTAGGTGAACGGCGGACCAAGCTGGCATTACTGTCCAATGCACAGATCCCGTCAAATGACTGAGTGACCGAGCTCTTACTTCCTAGATTCATCAGGTTGAGGTCCACTAAATCATGAATTCAATTGGGAGAATTTATGGTGATTTGAGAGAATCAAGAAGTGATTAAAAAAATCATGTAAGATTAAAATTCGTGTTTTTATATGAAATCCGTTTTCTTTGCGTTAATACGATATACCCATTATGTTTCAACGAAATATGTTATTCTAATAAATATTCATTGAAAGCTGAATAAAGTGGTCGTTGACCACAAGAAACGCGGACGCGAAGCCTGTTTCTTGTATTAATAATATCAGGAAACTCGGATAAAACATTCAAAATAGTTAGTCGCATTACTGATCTTAGGACAGTACAGAGAAAAATACAGAATCTTACTCTGCAGATAAAAACCGCAGCGGCATTTACTCTGACTACGGCAAAACTAAAGCCCTGCCTTAAGAAGATCGAGGTTCCCGTATGTCGAGGTTCCCCAGTAATTTTTTGCGGATCTTACGGTCAGCGAAATTAATGAACTCAGCCGAAGCCACTTCAAACTTACCGAGCGTCTTTGACCGCCAGAGGGTAGAAAAGATATACCAAGCCTTCAGCGAAAGCATACATACCTATTTGTGGCGCACCCTGACAACTGGACGTTGGACATTTCACCGCACTTATGTAAATTCGATGCGCAATTTTTCGGCAATTCGACGGGATGCCTCGCGCCGCGATGTCCCGCCGACTAAATGTCCCGCGAAAAAACGTGGACCTTGCGGCGAAATGAAGCTCAAATGTCCTGCGACAAGTTGCCCTCGGCGAAATGTCGAGGTGCCGGTATACGGGACAGTATACTAGGCAAAGCTTTTAATCAACGGAAATCTTAGTCAGTGTACAGAGTTTGTATTTTATCGCCAAAGCTATCAGCTGTTTTCAGTGATCCTCGCCTCCTGGATTTACCTTGACTCTGTGACCTTCTGTGACTCTCTTAATCTACCACTCCAATGACGCTCCAATCCTATGTTATAACAGTTGTCTTGCACGCCATTTTGTCTAGTATTCTGTATTGTCTGTCCCTGTTGCCAAACTCCGGCAGAATCGTTTTGCCGGCATCGCCGAAATCCTCGCTAACCCTGTTGTCCAGAACGGTATTAAATACGCCACATAAGCTGCCGTCGGAGGCTCAGCCATTGCAACCACCCCCTTCAGATCACCTCCTCAGAAAGTGGCGCCACTGTTTCAGCATCCAGCAACCTCCCTTTTTTCAAGCAAGCATTGTCTGAGACAGCCAATAATATCGTTTTGCTCAGTGAAAATCAGGAGTAAGTAACCGCCAATTTTTCTCGTCTGTACCAACAATTTTTATTTGCCCGACAACCAACCGACCTGCAGAATGGTGCTAACACAATCAATAAACTCTGCACCCGTAACAACCAAGACTTGAATACTGTACTGTATTTACACGATATTAAGGGACAGAGAAATCCCCAGGACCGCCCGCACTAGCTGTCGGTTCCTTTGACATCAATGGAGCCGACGCCTAGTGCGGGCGGTCCAGGGGATTTCTCTGTCCCTTAATATCGTGTAAATACAGTACTACCAAGGTGTATAAGAGATGATAAGATAATGGTGGTACCAAGGTATAATTCCTATGTACCTTGGTACTACCAAGGTACATAGGAATTACAGAAAAGATCAGCACCATGCCAACCTATTTTCAACGACCGTTTCGCACTGGGTCCCAAAAACCTTACTGTTTTCATAATATCATTTCTCAAAGGCACTTTAACACACCATCTGCTTATTTACACTGTCCGAATCCTAGACGGGGCACCCGCGCTCGTTGCAGGGCAACAAACTTTCATTATTCTTACTCTACTTCATAGTATCCATTTTCCGAGTAGTGCGTCTCTGTAGAAAATGAAATAATTAAGATCGCGGTTGCAATAGCAACGTTTTAATGTACCCACTTTGATATGAAGTTCTGCTACGTTTCGGTTATACAGTGCCCGCAAAAACCGAGTGCGTTTTCCTAGTAATCAGCTACCTATTATGCCTGGCTTATTTTTATTATTTATTTATTGGCGGTTTTTCCTTTATCAGAACACCTCATGAGAATACGCTGCGTAGGTAGTCGAATTATTTTTTTCGTTAGAAACCAACCTTTTACCTGGCACAATGTACCTCTGAAAACAATTGCACCGTATATAAAAATCAAATAAAACGGCAATAATTATTATTTAAATTTTTAAAATAATATCGAATCGAGTCACTTGCTGACGTCACCCAGCCTGCCGAACTGATTCTGAACACTTTTCATTATTAAAAAGTCAATGTGAATTAATGATTAGACACAAAGAGCGACCACTCATGAAAAGTGGATAGTATCTGACGAGTTTACATTCTGACCATGGTGAGAATTGTTGCACTTTGAACTTTTATTTGTTTTCGTTTTGCGGAAGATTCCAGGCGACAGTAGAATCTTGACTAGCTACATACGGCATACGACGGAGAATAACAAGACTACAGAATGTAGCTACTCGCTCTAAAAATTATTTCAAAACCTGAAAGACTCGAGAACCAATCTTTGGCAAAGGAAAGCTTCCAAAAAAGCAGAGACAGAGTGTGGCCTAGAAAGGGGATTCTATGAGCTAAGTGCGCTGCACGCACACAGAGTCACAGACAATATGCTGAACAAAATATTGCTGACCGACAATTTTCTGACGACTTTTTGCTGATCGACAAAATTTTTGCCTGACGATTTTTTTGAAACGGCAACTAGATGATCGACAAACTGATGAACGACAGTTTGCCGAACCCCGGCAATTTGCTGACGACAATCTGCTGACTTACATAAAAATGAAAAAACATAAGCCAAAAATACGAAAACATAAGATACACATAAGAAACATAAACATAGCATAAGAAAACACAAGAAAAGCACAGAACATACAAACAAATAAGAAAACATAAGAAAACACGAGAAAACATAAGAAAGTATAAAAAATATAAAATAACAACAACCAATATAAGAGACGTAAGAGAGAACTAAAGAAAGCATAGGAACCAACGTCTAGCTAAGAAACCAAAGTGGACAGAACAAAAAAAAACAGCCAAAAAGCTAAAAAACAAAAACCTAGGAACCAGACCGGTAAGCAGGCTGTAGGGCTACAAAGTACGCAGTTTCAGCAAAACGTCCGGCAACAACACTGTCGCAAAGCGAATTGTAGGCCAGTAATCTGTAGGTCAACAGGCTATGTGAATCACCAATAATGCCAGTCAGTAAATTGTCGGGGCAGCAAAACGGAGGCCAAAGAATTGACGTGTTGCCGCGTTGGCGTTGCGCACTTACTCACTCTTTGAAACTGTGTCGTATTGCGTTGACTGCGGATCGGTTAACAATTGCTGTACGCAATTTTTGCGTAATAAATAATAAAATACTGTGCGAAGCCCGCTCTCACGGCGAGATCCTGCTTCGCAAAACAATAATTTACTGTAAACTACTCTACATTATAAAAAAATTGGCGAAAATTCAAATGCAAAAGCCATGTCTGCACAATCGATACTTAAGTATAAAATGTTTAAGTGGTGTACGTACCAGATAGAGCATAGGCCACCGGTGGCTTTTTTCCGTGCTTAATCTTAGTATTCACCATCGGCACATAGATCTCACTCGGCTCCACATCCGGCAGATCCACGTAGTCCGCCACGTAGTCCGCCGTAGTCGCCTTCGAAATAGCATCCTCCAGCTATGAGAAAAGAAAAAATAAATGAAGTAATAGTAAAAACTTAAATAAGAAACGAAACCAAATAAACTAAAAAGAGCAGAAAATAAGAATACAATAAAAAATGTCAGAGACCGCCACTCGGTGCTCGTAAGGCTTGCTCTGTTTGCCCGCGCGCAGGTGGCGACGCCACACACGTGCCGCTCACTTTACGCTGCTTACTCAGCGTTTTCGTTGCCTACGCTGACCAATCAGCGCTGCTGCATCCATGAAGGGTGTGTCGACAGCGTGGAGCATTCGCACTAGAGATGGGCATCGGATCCAAATTTTAAAACCGAATCCGATCCGCGAATTTTTTACAAAATCCGAATCCGATCCGTATCCGAGTTTTTATTGATTACAGTTTCCGAATCCGATCCGTATCCGATCATCGGATATCCGAGTCCGATCGGATTCAAATCCGACTTACCAGGGAACATTTTCAGCCTCCAAATTCAAAAAATTCTCATGTTTTGTAAAATGGTAGGGTACTATTGTGGTACGCTTAAAAAAATATTTTTAGCTGCCATCGTCAAGGGGGCGTGGCCAGACAACAACTATCATATACTGTGTAATGCAGTGTAGTACAAGTTATTCGCAATTATTATGTTAACTTTTTCCTGCAGCACCGTGGACTTTTGCAGCTGTCCGCTGTCGTGAAATGTCTTAACAATAAGTAAAAAAGGCCCACGTGCGTCGGCTCGGGCCATTGCTGCCTGTGTGCACATTTTCAGAAATTTGTTATGAAGTATAGCACAGATCTGTGTATTAGCAGAACAAGGTTTTTTGCACAACTTAATGTTTACAACACAAATCGATGAAAATTTTCCGAAATTTGTGTATTCAGGCAGCAATGGCCCGAACCGATGCACGTGGGCCTTTTTTACTTATTGTTGAAACATATCACGACAGCGGACAGCTGCAAAAGTCCACGGTGCTGCAGGAAAAAGTTAACATAATAATTACGAATAACTTGTACTGCACTGCATTGCACAGTATATGATAGTATGCAAACTTTTAATTGTTGTCTGGCCACGCCCCTTGACGATGGCAGCTAAAAAAACTTTTTAAGCATACTACAATAGTACACTACCATTTTAAGAAACATGAGAATTTTTTGAATTTGGAGGCTGAAAATGTTCCCTGGTTAGTACAAAAAAAAACTAGTTTTTGATAATAAGAACTATACCCGTCATAGCAATTTTCGCAATAGATAATACTAGTTGGAATAACCGTTTGCGATAACTGTTGGTAAAAAAACCTGAATCTGTGACTTAGAAGTTAGAACACTGAGAAAAAAGCGAGTGCACTAACTTTCGGTCAAATCCTTAGTGGAACACCATTGCAAAACAGACAAATTATAACCAAATTGCTCAAAGCGGTGTATAAACCTGCTGATTTTCGACCCTGCGCATATGCACTCTTTACAAACAGGAATTTTAATTTCCCACCGCATATATTCTTGTACCTCTTCCGTATACGGCGAATGGATTTTTTCTATTTTTTAAAGATAAGAAATGTTTTATTTGCCGTTGCGCAAGCCGGTCGGATTTTCTCGGATATTCTTTCAAAATCCGATCCGATCCGAAACTGAAATTTTAAAATCCGGCCCGTATCCGAATCCGAACTCGACCGGATATTTATCCGAAAATCCTACCCGAATTTCGGATCGGATCGGATTGGATCGGATATTCCGACCCGATGCCCATCTCTAATTCGCACATGCTACAGTATACGGCACAGCTGATACTCAGCCGCTGCCGCGCTCATTCATTCGCTAGCGTCAACGCAGTGCACCGTAGAGATGGGCATCGGAAGATTTCCTTACCCTAATCCTATCCGAAACAGTCTATGCGGCCAAAGCCAGTTGGTGCAGTGCCATTGCACCAGCTGACCTTGGCCGCATAGACTGTGTGGTATTTCTGTTGGTTTGCTGTATGTGGTTTGGGCCTTTCCTCCCTTTATTATTCACTCAGTTCACAATTGTTTTGCACGCCTTTGTTGGCTGATCGGATAACGATAATGATAGTAATAACACAAATTTACTGATTGCGAATTTAAGTAGGTACAGACACTGTAGTATCATTATCATCACCAGATATACTCTGTATAATAATCGCGCAAGCCTTAGTCTTTGTTGAGTTCGCCAGCTCGACGCACTGCACCAAACTGCGATGACTACGCATCATTCGATAGCTCTTAAAGTGTAGATTTGCGGCATTTGCCATCCCAAATCGGTTTTTGGAGAAAAAAAAAGGGTAATTGTGGGGCGCTAGGGAGCTGGCAGTCAGAGTTCAGAGTTGCGTCGTGACCTTTTCCGGTTTTGAAAAGTAAATTCTAGATCAGAAAAATCCGCTGATTTTGATTCTATGCTCCTGGATGGGACTTCGCGTTCCATAATATTCCATCGTTCTAATGTAAATTTCTCATCAAAATTTGGTGTGGAGAAAGAAAATACAACAAAGAAAGAAGACAAATGGCTGCGAAGATTCCGCAGCCATTTGTCTTCTTTCTTTTGGGACGGTTCTAAAGATTGATTTTAAAAACGTACGTGACACCCGCAGTGGTTTAACGTACTTAGTTTTCGCTTAACTACGTTGTAAATTGCCTTGCCGGGCGGGCGCGATTGCCTTTCTTACAGAACTGCCTGCGATTTCGGGCAATTGCTACGCTTTCGTTTTCAATACATAAGGTAAGGTGATGTTCAAGAAAGGCAAACGGGGCAACTTGGAACAGTTCTCTAAATTTTCCTCTAAATCTCCTTTAAATTTTAAAATAAATTTTAAAATTTAAAATGCATCCTGGAACAGTGGATCGGTGTAAAAACGATCTTCATGGCGATGAGATCCATAATGAGACTTTTGGTACACCGGAATGCGTTTAAAGTTGTTGGAATTTTCTGCCAGCCATAACCCCTGAACCTGATTCTGCGCGCGTAAACGGTTTTTTCGCCAGTGTATACAAATCAGATCATCTGGCTATAAAATGGCATAAAACGAAACAAAATGTGTTTGGGAGTGCGCGAAACTCAAGATTTTCGTGCATGTACAGTGTACACGAATTTTGTATCATGTACTGGACCAGTTCCCTTGAATAAAAAAGGACAAATAGATTTTTCAGTTCGCTACATAGCATAGTGGAAGGCGGAGCGGAGCTCGCGGAGCAGCAAGCATGCACCAATTTTGCGTAACAGTTCCCGATTTTGAAAAAGGGTTAAAAGCAAGGAAGGAAACACAACGAAATGCTTCTGTTCTTATTTTTAGTTAAAAATTTTTGGATGTGTTCTGTGGTCAAAGCAATAGTTAAAAAGGAATAGCGATAGCAAGTAGAGCATTTTTTAGTGTACTGATTGTTAAACTGGGACATAAATGGCATTATGGCACCATTGGTGTTAGTACTAAAATTAGGATTTCAAGTTTAAGTAAAGTTTATCTCATAGTCAAGTTAAGTTTAATCGTTTAACGTCCGCACACAATCTGGGTAAGACCCAATCCGAGGCAGCAGACTCGTCATAATTAAAATATAACACAAGATATCGAACAACGATAGGCAGAAAAAATAACACTCATTCATATTTCCAACAGCTGCACATGATCAGTATGATAACACTTCTTAAGGGACTTCACTGTCTTCCAGTTAACATCATTTAAAGCCGTTTTAAATTTAGTCAGGCTCTAGAGTCTACGACTCTAGAGCCAAAAAAGGGGAAAGGAGAGCAACTTCTAATAAATTACGGAGTCTCTATGCAGGAGGTGTACGCAATTTAAATGACTGATAACCGTTCTGGAAATTACGAAATGGGAAACCAATGAAAAACATTTCTCGCTTTAATTTCGCAAAAAATATTTCGCATTTCAGGTTTAAGGTCATCTTTGCAGTCAATTAAAGCGACAGGCAAAATTTTTCAGTAGAAATTATCGTCATCTGTGGACTTCCGTATATTGTAGAAATTTGGGCTTCTTCAATAAAACCTACAATTTACCTGCAGGTGGCAGTCATGAGTTTTAATTTCTGCATTACTCTTGGTTATGATTTGCCGATCGTATTAATTATTCCGCGCAATTTGCGCGGGGTCTGCTAGTAGTAGTAATAAAATGCAAGCGTCTGCATCGCCCAGCGAGACATGTGACCTTTACCTGTTTATAGTGGAATACGTAATCTTCCTCCGGGCTGTAGTTATCGAAGTCCGGCCACTGGAAGGTGTCGCGGGAATGCACCAGCGGAACGGACGTCGGGATGTTGGCTTGGTGGATAGGCACGCGGGCGTCTTTCGGCTTGTCGGCCGCCGCATTGAATGGACCCTGCTCTTGACCTTGAGGGGTGTCGCCGGGCTGATACATTTCTCGGGCCGGCAGGATGGACTTAGACCAGTAGGTGGCGTTGCCAGTGGTGTAAGCGCCCGTGGGAGGCACAAATTTCTGATTAGGCTGGGTGAAATTCGGCTGGTGGATGGCATTGCCGGGATCTGGGGAAGGCGAGGCGGCGGGGCTGCCCCTGGCGTCGCCGTTGGGACCGCTGGCTGTCTCCTGAGGCTCGGCCGAGGCCGGACTGGCGCCGTCCTGACCTTTTTAAGAAATTTATTGATCACGTGATTCACGTCCTACTTAATTTAATTTATAGAGCACGTCTTATTTATCGTTAATTACAGTACATCTTCAATGTACTTTATATTCAAAATACAGTTTGTATGTAGTTTGTATGCACAGAGTATGTAAACATAAAAATCACAGTCAGACCGCTTTCTACAGATCCGTTACAGAAACGACATGCGTAATCAGTTAACACCCTTTTCGAAAAGAATTCAAGCTACAGGAACAACCATAATTATTACAATCAAGCGAAAACAATGTATTACTTACTGTTGAACAGGCTTACAACGACGACCAGCAACACGGAAACGGGCATAGTGAGCATGGTGGGAAACGGGCGTAAAGGTCACTTCGGTAATTCAATAAAAATCGTATGCGAGCATTCATGTTGGTGTGAGAGGAAATCGAACACGGCACGGTTATAGAAATGTCGCGGCAGGAGAAACGACGCGATCACAGTAATGTTGCGGGGGAAAGCCAAGTCTTGACTGAGGTTGGAAATTCGTGTAGGCGACCGGCGTTGCTAAGCAGCCGTGCACACAATCATAATAATTATTTATTTTACATAATTATTGTGTTACCAACAGACCCCGCGCAAATTGCGCGTAATAAAGGGGCTAAATATTTAAAGTTAAAAGCTTTTTTCCGCACTTACAGAGTACTGTTATTTATTGCGCCCGCGTTTTGTTTCCCCCCTTTTTTTCAAGTTTTAACCATTAAATTATTTTTCACTTCCCGTATTTGTGGTTTGAAGAAGGCGCCCTTCAGGGTCCCGGCTTTTCAATCAGTCTAACGACTAAGACGTTCGCCGGACGTTTTGGTCGTTTACATTATACGTACAACGTACATGCAAATGAGCAATCCCTCTAAATTCCCTTTGTCTTTCTATACTTTAAAACTTTTCCAGATCAGCCATGACAGAATGATACTCGTATCTTCGCTTTCAACCCAAACAAGAGCTGCGCTCCGTTCTGCCAGTGCACACTTCGGTGCAACTTCCTAGGTTCGGTTCGCTATTTTCGTAGGAAAATGCACCGGACTGTGCATTGGTAGACCGGGAGCGCAGCTTGTAAATTGGGTAGGAACTTAACCACAAAATGCAGTAAAACTACACTCATTTACACTGATGTCGCAGCTGAGGATACTGCGCTTGTAGATTCTAAAATAATATGAGTTGTACCAGATGGATGTTAAGATTTTAGGGTTTTGGAGTTTATTCTCATAATGTCTTTTACGGTACATTTTCTCCTAAGCGAGACCACAAAATCAGTGGGCAGGCAAATCTGCAGAAATGATGACAAATCCATCGAAACTGAAACGACCCGAAGGCCATTTCCACGTGGAACAAAAAGCGGTATGTCGCGCCCAGTACCCGTCGCGCGTAGTCTCTCCCGCGTCCGATCAGCATACGATGGACAGTGTCGCGTTCAGTGTGCCTTCCAGTAGCTCTACGTAGTCGCGCAGGCGTCTACATAAAATTATGCCAATATCTACGAGAAGTTTGCGTTTAAGTCGTATTACACTGCAAAAAAAAGAGGTGTAGCACATACCGACAGACCCCACTCTTAAGATTGGTGACATTGCGTTGGACAAGCTCAGCTTCACAATCACACTGTATTTTGAACTCAACATCGCGGGTCAGTGTCGGCGACAGTGTCGTTCGGCGTCGGAGGAGCGCAGGAACTCTAGCCCATTAATGTCCTGCGGACACAATTCTACCATGGACAAAGATCATTCAACCGCGGAAGGACCATAATAAAGGCGATCCGCCAACATATACGTATGGATCGTCCGAGCCTGCAGGTCCTTCTTGCAGCGCGCTGTTATCTTTAGCAAGCTGCAATTACAGCGCAAAATATGGCGCTGTACAGGTTATTCAGTGTAGCACTACAAATAGCGGAAACCAGCCAGACGATTCGCATTTCCGAAATTAATAAAGAATTCTCAAACAGAGTGGAACAGGAACGCATCCAGTGCGCATAAATCGCCCGCATCAAGTTCGAACAGAGAACCGGTTGTTTTGGCAGTACTTCATATGCATCGAGAAAAACAGCCGGAGACATTTTACTTGTACAAGTCGTACAAAGTATTGGTGCCAGTTTCGTTTACGTACATCCACGAAAACAATTTGTTTTATTGATTTCGACTTGATTACCGCATGCGTTACCCGCTATGCGTCTCGTAATAGTTTTGATCTTATTTACAAGCCGGATTTCAATATTGATTGCCTAAAAGTGTCTGTACATGTAGTGGGCAGTAACCGCGGTGATGGCGTGTGAAGCGAAAGCCGCTACACTTTTTTTTATAATGAAGGTTAGGCAGTTTTATTTGTGTACTTAATGCACTCCTTGCCGTCCTTAAAAACGGTAGCAAGATTTTTGTGTTTGCTGATGATATGGTTATCCTGCGCCCAGTTACTAATAATAGTGATTGCAAACTACTGCAAGAAGACATTACTTGCGTAGATGACTGGTTAACAGAGAACTGTTTATCCTTGAACGCTGATAAATCGGTCCATGTTTGTTTTTCATTAAGGCGAGAAATTAAGAGTTGTAACACTTATTGCATAAATGGCAGTAATGTTCAGAAAAGTGATGTTGTCAAATATTTAGGTGTTCATGTTGATCGTAAAATGAGCTGGAAGGAAAACTGCGAAAAAAACTTTTTCTAAATGCAGCCGTAGAATGAAGTACATAAATCGATTATGTAGATTTTTTCATTCCGGCGCTAAAATTAGGCTGTTCGAAGCTTTAGTCTTACCGGTAATCGATTACTGTGCCTCCTGTGTCCACCCAGCATTAAAAATTTCAAGTGACATCGTAGAGAAGTGTCAAATCAGATTTGTGAAAACTTTATGTCTCGGTAATGCTCCGTTTAACTATGACGAACGCCTTAAAGAACTTCAGTGGTATAGCCTGAAATTACGTCGAGTAAAAAAAGCGTTAGTTTCCGTATACAAATCATGGTTTTGCAAGGTGCCGCTAGGTAACATTTGTTTTGTGAAGTTTGTTGGTACGGCTGCTGCGCTCCAATCTGTTGCAGGGAATACCCGTCACTTCGTTCGTATGGCTCAACATTCGCATCCAACAATGCCGGCACCAACATCATTATGTGGCACGACCGTAACAGCTGTCCATGGATCCCATCTGGAACGATTGGCGACTTTGTGGAATGAGCTCCCTATTCGAAGCCTACCGGTCTCTTGGCGCATTCCAGAAGGCACTCGATAACGTGGACTGGAAGAAACTTATGTGGATCAAGGATCACCCTCAGTTTGCCGCTTGACTCGCTTGTGTTATTGTTTAGCTTCGTTAAATTTTTGCTGAAGCTCCTTGTTTATGACATCTGTTGGATTCATTTTGTGAACGCGATTTCTCACGTGTTTGACAATAAACTTTTCTGTACGTTATCGATCTTCTCTGTCTTAGCTTAGAGGGGGCAATGTTCCGTAGCGAAGGACATCAAATTCCGTTAAGTTGAGTTAAGTTAAATTAATTTACAAATAATACACAATAATAACTGAACGAATATGACTACCGCTGATATCGATATTAATTTTCGTGGGCTAGCCATGCCAAATGCTTGAAACCCCAAAATAGTGTGGCTTGGCGTGGTATCGCACTTAGTGTGGCCCATAAATCTGCATTTGGCGCTGTTCCTTTACGCAGCCCATTTGAAATCCGGCTTGCATAAACGTGCGGGACGATTTTTTAAAAATTGGACAAACGATTCTGCCACACGGTAATTAGATAGTCCCCGATTCTTATAGCCGTAATCTTCCGATATTTAAGCCTCTTTCGTCATCTCGCATCCTTCTCCATCCTGCATAGTCGATGGCTCTCTAGAAGTGCTGAATAAGCAGTTCGTGTTCAGAATAATGATGCTTTAAGAACATTATCTTGGTTTGCCACACTTCCGTGCACTGGCGTCGTGGACTCGTGGTGCGAAGGTCGAACTGCATGGCTGGCAAATGATTACTATTGATTATTCACAGTCAGCCACTTTTTCGACAATTTAGCCGTAGGCTGATGTAACTTTAACTTTAACCCATGCAGAACACCAACATTTTCGTTCCGGCAATAATGTCCCCCATGCAGGACACCTGGTAATTAATTCCGGCAATAATGTCCCCCGTGCAGGACACCTGTAATTTTGTTCCGGCAGTAAGGTTCATCCTGTGATTGATGTGCTTCACCGGCTTTCAACTGGTAACGCTGTGGTAACGCTGGTGGCGGTTTTTCAAAGGTCACCGATTGACCTGATATTCAGCTTTTCGTTGTAAGTCCCCCGTGTCACCATTCTGGCCAAAGGGTTACCGTTCTGGAGATGGTGGCAGGGGGGACACGGCAAAAATGTCCGGGGGGACAGGGGGGACATTTTTGCCGGTCACGAGCAGCATTCACTATTGTAGAGGACCAGAGGATAGTCCCGTAATCGTGACAGGATAGACCAATGAGCTGCTTGGAAAACGGGAAATGCACGACACTTCACCTCCACGCATTCGGTTGAACGAATCTATGCACTAATACACTGTCTCTTGAACCTTTTAATACAAGCATTACAGCACACTTTTAGTACGAGTACAGTTACAAAGGCCCACCATTGACCATTTGCATACAGTACTACAATGTAAAACATAACATTACACGGGCCGCACACAACACACATTACACGGGCGTTTACACATTACACACACATTACACGGGGTTTGGACACACGCTCTTCCCTCGTCCTCAATTGGAAACCTATTGGACGACGAATCCTTCCGCATCGCCGTTGCTATTCGACTTGGCGCACCTCCGTCTTCCAAAAACCAGTGCAGGTGCGGTGCCGAAGTCAACGCCGATGGCCTTCATGGGTTGAGTTGCAAATTCTCCGCTGGAAGACGGGCACGGCACGACTGCATAAACGATATCTTGCGACGAGCTTTGGTTTCGGCAGGCATCCCGGCGCGAACGGAACCTAGAGGTATGCACCACGAAAACGACACACGCCCAGACGGAATCACCACTTTCCCCTGGACGAGAGGGCTGTGTTTGGCCTGGGATGTAACCTGTGTGGACATCGTTGCGCGCTCTTATTTGGATCACACCAGCTTAAGGGCCGGAGCGGCAGCCGACCAGGCAGAAGCCGAAAAAGTGCAAAAATACAGCTTCCTGTCAGGACGATATGAGTTCGCTGCTGTTGGATTCGAAACTTTTGGTAGTTTTGGTTCATCAGCCAAGAAACTGGTTAAAGAAGTCGGAAAGAGGGTTGAATTACAAACAGGCGAGATTCGCAGCCATGAGTTTTTAAAGCAGAACATTTCTTTAGCTATTCAAAGAGGAAATGCCGCTTCTATTATTGGTACCGTGGAAAATATTGTTTTGTTTAAGTGTAACTGAATCTTGATATTGTTATCGCTCTATTGGAAATTAGAGAATCTGAGATCTTTATTCATGTTTACATCGCGACATTACAGTCATGACTCGTATCACTACGGCTTAATTAAAGAATCTGTATTTAAGATAACTATAAAGGAAAAAGCTCAATATTTTATAGTTTTCATCGGTAGTTTATAATTTAGATCGAATGTATAATTTAGATCGATAATTACTTTAGGCATGAGCCAAGTCAGATGCATGGTACTACCGTACAATGTCAAGCGTGAATAGTGTGGCATGGCGCGCCGCAGTATGGGGTTAGATGCACCCGTGAATTTGAAAATTTTGTCGTTATGTTGCTGCAATAGAAATTGCGTGATAAGCTTGAGCACTTTGCACTTGTACTTATCGGTAGTTGGATGTGGTTCCAGATCGCAAGATCAATGTCACCTGGCTGGTGCGGGACGCTGATATGTGGCAGGCCCACCGTGCATGCCCTGGCCGTCGTGTATGGGGATGTACCATTCCACCGTTAAACAGCACACACCAACTCCTTTGGAGAATTTACTATGTCCTTACCGAAGGATGGCGCTTACGGGCTAACCATTCGCTCCGCAGGATTCCATCCGCTAACCGTCAACAACGTCCACCATCTGTTGGGTTTCCATCTAAAAGCGTCCATGGAGCCTCTTCTGCTCATCAACAGCACCTTCACCGGAAATGGTCAGGCCAGCGGGGACGTGAAGCTGTTCCGTACAACGGATGAACCGGATCCACCGGCGGACCGGGCCACGATCGATTTCCGCTCCGGAATGAACAATATCAGCGGCCCGGTCATTCTTAGTACTACGACATCGGTCAATGGCGAGTGGAGCGTCAAGAATTTCCCGATCGGTTACTACACCGCCCTGGTGACGCGCAGTGGTTATCAGGCCAAGCACTTCACGTTCGTTGTTCTGGGCGGCAAAGGAATGCCCAAGCTATGGCACGGCCTTCTTCCCGACGCCGACTGCTCCAGTCAAGCGGAAGTGCGCATCCTGATGCTCCAGGAACAGCGCTGGATGCGCTACTTGGAGCTAGTGGTGGAAGGACCGCTGTCCCACGGCGGACAACGCGGCCGGGTGGAGTACACCGGTCCCCGTGTCAGTGCCGACGGACTGATGGACAACTGTTTTGTCGGCCACCGGCTGGACATTACCATGGTCAAGAAACAGCTGCCCGGCGACTATAAGATTACAGTCTACGACCACGAGGCGCGCCGGACGCCGGAGGACGGGAATCTGGCCCTGTCTAACGCCGTCGTGCAGGTGTACCGCGGCGGTTTTCTCTGGACGCAGCTGTACGTGCCCCACCGTACGGGCAACACCTGGTTGGTAGCGTCTTTTAACGGGCTCAATCTCACCGTCATCAACGAGATGACCTCCGTTATTTACAATAATTAATTAATTGTCAATTTATCGTCGGCTATTGTGCTGCCTGTTTCTGCCCTTAGCGGGTGTAATTTCTTGTCCTGGACACAAAAAGCATATACTGTACAATAATACATGTAATATGTTAAGTTATAGTTAATATTGTTGTTCTGCGTTGGCTACACCCTATGGAAATGTCTGGCTGGCATTGGCTGCATCCCAATAACGTGCTGTAAATTATCATTATTAAAGCGGATGAATGTTGTACAAGCGGTTCACCATGTTCTGTCTGACGGTATCACGACATTTCACAACCCGACATTTCACATCGTAATATTTCACCGAATACAATTTATTACCACGACATTTCTCAACCGCAACTTTTCAACCGCAGGCTAGTATAAACTATAAGCGTGCACGGTTCACGGTCTCGTTCATCGTAATGGATTTTGCAGGACCGTGGAATGAAAACAGAAACACTTCTTGTCAGGTTGAAAACGATATCATGCTTATCGTTAATTAATTGCTAACGGCACTCTCAGGGTGCTCAAATATCCCGCACGAACCGTTCTTTAAGCCGCTCACATTTTTCTAAGCAGTTTACCGCACAGTCAGCCAGGAAAATCAGCTTTGATTCATAATCTTTTTTTCCGATTTTAAAATAAAATTCTAAAATTTTACAATTTATTTTAAAATTAAAGGAAAGTGCTATGAACCTAAAACTGGTTCACTTTCGACTTTATGGCCGGGTGTCTTTCACAGCGAAGTTTCAAAAAGCTCGGGTAAACAGCAAGACTTTTGGTAAACAACAACGCATTAAACTTTTGGCCATCTTAGTTTGCCATATTTCGGCAATCGGATGTTGCGCGCGCAAACGGTTTTCAGAACAGTGCATACAAATTAATTAGAATGGCATAACGTATTACAAAAAAGTGCTTCGGAGGGCGCGAAAGCGAAACTTTCAATGCACGGATCCCATTTTTGACACCATGTGCCGGGCCATTTTCCATAAGTGACATTAAATATAGCCGCTCACGCTGCGGTATGGTTCGGGAAAAGGAAAAATTAAGCTGCCGCAGTTATGATAGACTGTAATTTTTCAGTATTTAAATAATACTGAATATCCTCTGATCACATTTCGCAAGTGGAGTGTCGGTGACGCTTGATACCAGTAGTCCAGTATCATTATTATCTGTTACTTGTAGAAACTTACGCATTTTTTTATTTTCGGAATGGGCTGGAAAATTCGTGAATTGACTGGACAACGTGAACTACTACTTGTCTCACGCGTTTTAGCTTAGGGTTAGTTATCATTAAGGAAAACGTTACGGCTATGTGAAGCACTAAGTACTCTGCACTATTATTTTAACCCCTGGGAAGAGTTGGGTTGCTTTTCGATGTACAAATTTGTCAGACTGACAGGTCTTGCGCTTTGTGCTACTTTACAGCACACAGAACATCAACAGCATCCGAAGTGATACAGTACCATTATACCATAAACACAAATATTTAATTCGTTTTCTTGCCTGATTTATTCACTTGCCTGAATTATTGTTGCGGTGGTCGTTTGTTAAATGTACAAGTCTGTCACAAGACACAACTTTTCTGCTATTATGATATTAAAATTTATTGTTGCCACGGCACCCAATGTCCGTAATACTGCATGGTACAGCGTTTGAGAAAGTTTTGCAGTGCCCTACAGCGTTATAATACAGTAATGCTAGCGTTACTTACTGTAATCAACCGAAGCGAAGGTCCTCTATGTTCAGGAAAATCGGATTTTTGTCGGTCACATCGATCACGTCGGTCACGCATTAATTATTTTTTAAGCAACTACGGAAATAATTTTTTAAAATAAACTGAATGGAATAAATCATAAAAACTTGGGTAAAGATATGTTCGAATTCTTAAATTGGTTGGTTGATGCAATTTGGTTTCCCGCTTCGCTTCGATCTTTTAGTGCTAGCCAACCGCGGTGCGCTTCCCTAGTATTTAATACAATACAATACTGCACTTACAATTACACATAAGTATATAATTACAAATAACTATTTAATTTTATGTAATACTTTTAATCTAAATGATAATTAGAATAAGATTACACTCATAATACGATGATCATGGTTCTTTTCATCCAAGCGCGACATACAATGGACTTCAAAATTTTGTTACACTCACAAAACGCGCGCAACCAGCTATTTACCTGTACTCAATCAGCCAAATTCCGGGCTGGCCATCGGCCTGTTGAGTTCAAACACTTGCACCTCACGCATTTCCCAACAAAAACCATCCACCAATATCTCAAACGAAAGAGAAAAAATTTTTATGAATTTTGATACCAAACAAGTTAGCTTTTATGGGATCTGACAGAAAATCGACGCATCTAAAGTTTCTCGTAGACAAAGCATAGCATTTGAATCCACGGTTTGGTTTCAGTTTTCACACAGAAAACGTTTGCTCTGCCTACGAGAAACTTTAGATGCGTCGGTTTTCTGTCAGATCCCATAAAAACTAACTTGTTTCGTATCAAAATTCATAAAATTTTTTTCTCTTTCGTTTGAGATATCGGTGGATGGTTTTCGTTGGAAAATGCGCAAACAGCAAGTGTTCAATTACTGCGCGTTTCCAGGTTTATTGGTCATTTGGTCTTGGCCATTTATTTCTATTGGTCATTCGGTCCCGGACCGAATGTAACAAAATTTTGAAGTCCATTGTAGTTCTGCACTTGACTGCTACTACTTAAACGAAGTAAAATTATGTTATTTAAAGCGGAAGAAAATTCTGAACAATCAGGTTTGTAACAAATGCTGTGGCGAAGCAGCCCACGACATTACTTAAAGTGAGCCTTAAACTACATTACTATACAGATTTCGCAGATCTAACAGGCTTTGTTTCACGATTCTCATGGCTACAACCAAACACTATTGCTTGATAGTTGATACTACCTGCGTAAATTCTGCAATATTTCTTCCGTTAAACCACCGTTTTTTTACGGTTATCTAACATTTGTTTTGTAGAAAGAAATTCCGAAAGAGTGAAAGACTGATGACGCGGTGACAGACCGAACAAACATTCTGCTGACCTTCCCGGGAAAAGGACAATCCGTCACGCATCTCTATGGTGTAAAAAGGTAAGTTTTTATTGCGCGGCAGCCCATCGTGGGTCCTTGGCCGTGGGACAATCCGTCAGAGACTTTCGTTAGACTTAGCGGGAAAACATTGGATCGCAGCTTGGTGAATAGAGGGAGACTACATGCGGAAATGCTAGTAGGTGCTGCGCTTAATCAATCTGAAAGGCGACCAGGTGGGGTCTACGGCGTTGAGTCTTCAAAATTAATTAATTAATTAATTGTAATTATTCCATCGGTTTAAATATTTCAATCTAATTATTGCTATTTTCTAGCCCATCAGAGGAAAGAGATGATTTGGATTTGCTTTTTAACGCAAGGACGTTAAATAATATTCATTTATATGAAGGTAGTGTAAAATGGCGCTAGCAGTTACCTTTGTCTATTAAGAAACGCGCTGCTGCTTACAATATTTTGCAGAAAACAGACTGTACAAGTACAGTGAGTACTACTCTAATTTGTCAAAACTGTACGTCCATCTAACTATGTTATACGTGCCATGCATTGTACCATCGTGCCGTCGAAGTCTGCTTACAATTAAAGATGCGCCTTCACTCATATCTAGATAATATATTACACTTACAAGTTCTGTAAGCAAGTACCTTTTCTTATATTAATTTTTTGATATAAGTAAATGTACCAAGAAAGTGCACCGTTGTTGGCTAGCACTGTAAGACCGAAGCGAAGCGGGAAACAGAATTAAATAAAAACTTTTAGGTCTATCTTTTTTTCCCATATTTATTTATTATTTTCTCTTTTCATTAAATATGGCTCTCAACATCATTTTCTCTTACGAATTGTTTTTTAAAATATGAAAGCGTGACCGACGTGACCGATGTGACCGACGACCGCGCTTCGGTCGACTAGCTGTATAGTAAATGCCGTGACTTGCAAGCTCTGCGAGTAGTCCAATGTAGAAACACTGGTACAGGTACAGATAGATACTTATTAAGAAAAAGATCAATATTACGCGCGGCCTCCCCACAGTCTGGAGATCTCTCTAACCAAAAACTTTAAAAAAAATCTGATACCACAGTTAGATCGGCCGTGGTCCAGAACTGGGTCACATGACTTGTTTTCGAATACGTCCGATCAGAATCGTGCCGGCACGATGCCGCAAACGATCCAACCCAGTTTACCTTGAAACCTCGAAAAATTTTGCCTGGATACAATACGCAACATAAATGATTAAATACGCAAATTAAACGGAATAAATTGAACTTATTTTCGTACAACACCTACCACAAAATTAAGCAATCACAAGTTAGCCTATCGATTTTCGTTGTCGGCACATTTGTAATACAATGGTTGGCCTTAACCATACGGACCTCGGGCTGTTTGACCATTTTGGTCAGTACCACTCCTCTAAACAATTGGTAAAAGCAAAGAGCCGCATTTATTATTTTAAGGTAAGTGAGTGGCCGAGATACCTTCACTGACCAGCGAGCGAAATCGTTATTTGAGTGTGAGCAAAATCGCTAATTGAGTGAGTGAGTTACCGAGCTACCACTGCCGTCTAGTGAGCAAAATCGCTAATTGACATAATGAGTGACCGAGCTATCACCACTATCTAGTACTTAAAACGCTACGTGAATGTGTAACGAGCTATTCATTGATTCGGGCCTTATTTACAAAAAAACGCGGAGGCGAAGCCGCATCTATTTCTTCTAAGCTAACGCTAACGCTAGCTAGCTTCTAAGACCAAGCTAACGCTGCTTTCCAGTATACGGAGCCCGTTAGGTGAACAAGTGACCGAGCTACCACTACTGTCCAGTGCAGAGAGTCTGTTAGGTGAACGAGTGACCAAGCTACCACTACTATTCTGTGCACAGAACAGTGTTCTGTGCAGTGTGTACAGAGCCCACTAGGGGAGCTATAGTTACCGAGCTACCACTCCTTTCTTGTGGACAGAGCTCATTAGGTGAGCGGGTGACCGAGCTGCCGTTACTGAGTAGCATCAGGTTGGGGATCAGAGAATCATGGACCCAGTGGAGAGATTTAATACTGATCTGAGAGAATCTGTAATTATTACATAAACCCGGTGTTTTTGCGCTACTGCAATGTACCGATCATATTACGACGAAATATAGATGTGATACTAATAAGTATTTATTCAGTCGAAATCAAATAAAGTGGCCGTGGATCACAAGAAACGCGGAGGCAAAGCCGAGGCTGTTTCTTGTATTATATATTACATGTACTTAAATATTTCCTGGTACAGACTTATATCAAAACTACTACTATTTAATAAAATACTTGTAATAATAACAAAATTACTCGTATTAATAAAGGCCAGTGTAGAAGCGCCGGCCGAAGGGAAGCATATCAAGAAAGCTGAATATTTAATTCGGACGGCATTGTGTTGTCGCTTAATCTGCCACAATGTGCATTAACATACAACGCAAAATAAACTGACTGATGTCGGCAGTATGGTTCCGGTGTCGTCCCGGCGTGTGATACACCTGAGCTCGTTGAACTGAACAGGGGGTTGTGATGTAAAACTGCAAAAGTAAAGCCCTACAAACAGTCCGCACGGTATGCTCGTCAACAGCATCACTGCACAGAGTATTTCTTCACTTTACAGTCTGCTGGATGGCTGACCCCTCACTGTACTGGTACGTGTGACTTGCTGTCGTTGTAGTGCTGGGTCTGAAGTTTTGAACGTCTTTAAAGCCACCAGCAAGTGGAAATGAATCTGCTGGTTACGGACCATCATACGGTTAACGATGGTAGTTTCCTTATAATGCGCAAGACACCTTGAGATACTTTCGGATAACTGGATACTTTGACCTAGCCATTTATGAATGTGGGAGAGAGTTGTTGTCAATGAATCCTAATGCCACATCCTAATCCTCCATACAGTGTCCGGCCACAAGGATGACGAGCTGGACAACGCAGCGAATCCTGATCGCTGCTCTAATAATAGCTGTCTCCATTGGTTATTTCTTGTTAGAACCGGGTCTGCCGACATTCAGCCATTTCGCGCGACATTTCAGCTCTATTCGATCAGCATCACCCTGGAATGATATGAATCCGGTAGGCGGATACTACTTTGTATAATTGTATTTCATGTTAAGATATAACAACCACTACGAATCACCCAGTGTGCACTTCGATTTTTACCGCATTCCGGATGAGTTGTTCCACATCAGAAAACTCGGACGCGGAAAATACCGAGGTTGTGGTGTTCGGAAGGCGATATTGTGAAACTGTCCGGAACGCGATAAACGTCCAAGTATTAAACTTATGAACCAACTTGCCACGTTTTATTGTAGATATGTGTGTCCCAAAAGCAACGGGCGAAGAGCCGGACGTCGACCTGTCCCGGCTCCGTTGCGACTTGGTGTATCGTATGTCTGGTCGGATCGAAGCGGCTAGGCGATACCGTCTGCAGCTGCGCCAGGCGTTCCAGACGGCCTACAACAACACGCTCAGCGGTGCATCCTCGGCCCGATACCTGACGTATAACTATCGACCGATCCTGGACGCTGGACTGGGCAACTTGATGTTCCAGGCGGCCACGCTGCTCGGCTGTGCGCGACAGAACAACCGCATTCCCGTACGCATTACCAATGATTCACGGATGGACCTGTTCGAAGGAATGGACATCGGCTACATTGAACCGTCTGTTCTCTTCCCTAACAATTCACTGGAAGCGCGGACTCTGGGTTAGCGTGAACAGATCGTTAAAAAGCTAGCTTTTTATTGCAATGTGCATCGACTGCACAATAAAGGGGCTTCGTTTGAACGGTGCTATCACGCACTATTTCACGTTCGATTCGCGCAACATTTATTTCTGTCCTTCGTGAAGGCAGATGGCTGTGTTTTGGAGCAGTCTGGTTACAAAACAACCCATTTGCAGCTTAGCATAGGTTCCCGTCGTTTCTCTTTTTAGAAGTACTGAGTAATTTATTCTTGGGACTAAAACCGAAAAGGCTGAAGATTGGGCACTTTTAGAAAATCTCGAGATAAGATTCCAATGCAGTTGCGGCAATCTCTTGAATCTCCTCCCTTTGCAATTTGTGTCTTAAGAGTTTTCGTGAAACGTAAATTTGTTAGACAGAAAAGCGATTTCCACAGCAGTACTCTTTACTCTAAAGAAAATCGCTGGTGATCGTTAAGAGCTATGCACCTCTCAAGCAGTCCAACTAGTGCTAATCTTCCCAGCTGCAACTAAACTCTCACCATCAGTTTGCGATGGCCTCAGCCGGTATGTTTTTGCAGGCGACTTGGGACCGGGAAAATTCAATCCCGCCTTCCACAACGTGAGCTTGCGCTTTCCGAACGACGCCGCGGCGCTATCCGGATACGGTCAATCGTGGAAGTACTTTCACACTATCGCCCCCGAGATCCGCGCGCTGCTGACCTTTCGGGAGTCCATCCAACTGGAAGCCATCAACGCCATTCTGGAGGGCCTGAGAAGTGTGCGCCATCGTAGCACACTGCGCACCGACAGCCAAAGCCAGCAGCCGGTACGCGTGGGGATCCACGTGCGCCGCGGCGACATCATCAGCAATGCCGGATTCGCCGCTCACGGCCACGTGGCCGCCACGGAAGAGTACCTGCTGCGTATGGCGTTGCGCATGCAGCGCCGCTACCCGCACGCCGTCTTCTTCGTCCTCAGCAACGACCTGGACTATTGTCGCCGGCTATTCCGCGAGCCCAACGTCGTCTTCGTCACCGGGAAAGCACCCGCCGTAGACCTGACCATCATGACCTTTATGGAGGTGCTGGTGCTGAGTGTGGGCAACTATGGGTGGTGGGCGGCGTACCTGAGCGACGCGCAGGAAGTCGTCTATTTCAAGGACTGGCCGCGGAATGGCAGTGAGTTTGCCCGGGGTCTCGCAGCGGAAGACTACTTCCTGCCGGCATGGCACGCTGATAATTAGCCGGGTGGTTGCGCAATCACCGTCAGCGGTCACCAATCGACAGATTTGTTCATCCATGCCGCTGTCTTGTGTGAGTTGGTTCTATGGCCTACTGCGTGCTTTAGAAATAATAGTTCTGATGAAGTAGAATGCTCGTAATGTTTGTTTTACCAGTTTCAGGGCATGTTGTTATGAATGGAATTAGAGTTATTATGGTTCGGCAGTTCTATTGTTTTTTACCAACTGCACAGAATCACATTGCTCAGTTGCTGCTGCCGTAAAGGGCAGCCGGAAGAAAAAAAACATAGAAGAACGTATATACTTCTAAGTATACTTCTATGTATTGTGTAGTATTGTGATTCGACTGTTTTAATAGGCAGCAGCCAATGCACATATCGGTATGCTTTCACAGGTTTACACTAATTAAAATGAATAAAATTTAAACATTGAAAAAACACCCATAATCATGATTTTCATTCAAGATCTTATGACGTGCACTCAAGGTACCCAAAACAGCTGCTGCGTTTCCTCTGACAACAGCCAAACTTAATCGCTGTCTTAAAAACGCCGTGGATCTAGGCTCTCCTGTAGCGTCACGGATCTTCCGGCCAGCAAAACGAATCAGTTCCGCAAACGACGTTCCAAAGGTTCCGAACGTCTCGACCGCCAGAGCGTAGAAAAAATAGCCCAAACCCTCGACGAAAGCGTACTTCCGCCGCTTGCTGTTTTCAGCCAGCTGCGCGACATTCCCGGCTTTCAGCGAGCTGGCATGTACATGAGACACAGCTAGCCACAGTATTGTAATTAAAGAGTTTTTACGCCAAAAAATTGGTATTGAGATTCAGAGAGGAAATGCAGTTTCTGTTCCCGGTACATTTAGCGAAATGGTAGAGAAGGAAGATGTGACTTTGCCTTTCATTTGGCTGAACGGAAATGATGTCATGTTCTCTTTTGTTAACTGATACTCTTGTATTACATTTCCGGCCAACACGAATCGCTAATAAAAAGTAGCATCGTATTGTAATAGAATGCAATGACGCATTGCTGCATAAGGGTGCATCCACTGCATCGCTTATACGTCCTGCCACCATCCGCCAGGGAATTATGGTTATTCTTATTTACATTACGAGCGATTAACATACAAAAAGAATAAAACAACAAAAAATAAAAGTTTAGAATTACTCTATATACAAGGTAGCCTCGCGCATCTGCGCTCGGCACTTAAGTACTGGATAGCATTGGCTTTGTTTTGGAAAGGTCATTATAAATAAAAGTATTTAAAGGAAATAGACTAAGATTGAAATCGGATCTACGCTTTCGTAGTAGTGTTTTATAAGGCGTATTAACTTTCTAAGGTTTTAATTTTTTACGCTCTGATGTTCTGACGTTCTGATGTTTCACGTTCGGATTTTCTAACGTTCTGACCTTCTGACGTTCTTAACTTCTGATATTCTTACTTTCTGACGTTTTTTCACTTTTCACAATCTGACATCCTGATGTTCTGACGTTCTAACGTTCTGTTATTCTGACGTTCTGAATTTCTGACATTTTGACGTTTTTAATTTTTCACGTTCTGACGTTCTGACCTTTTGACGTTTTATTTTTCACATTCTGACATTCTGCTGTTCTGACGTAATAACGTTCTGACGTTCTGATATTCTGGCGTTCTGAACTTCTGACGTTCTGGCGTTTTTAGTTTTTTACGTTCTGAGCTTCTGACGTTCTAATGTTCTGACGTTCTAACGTTCTGATATGCTGACATTCTGATATTCAGACGTTCTGAATTTCTGACGTTCTGAATTTCTGACTTTTTGATTCTTCACGTTCAGACGTTATTAATTTTTCACGTTCGGATTACCTGACGTTCTGTCTTTTGGCGTCCTGACTTCTGATGTTTTTACGTTCTGACGTATAGATACTGTGTAGGCGGCATACTGGGCAATGTACTTTACCATTTATGGAGGTTTACGTACTTACTGTAATTTGCTGCTCACATAATAATTTTTTATCTACAATCTACATTAAAAAAGAAGTATTTATGTTTCCGTTATAGTCTCCGTGGTTACAGTCATTGTGTTATGGGCTTTTCATAACTGCAGTGAATACTTACTTCTTCGAGTGCTCTTTACGTTTCCTATACTTAAGACCTGGTGAAACCATCTTCTGACCACTGGGTAATAAAAACAAACAAAAATCTGTTGGCACACCTATGGAAAATATGGAATTTTTTAAGACCAAGCTGGACTTAAACTGACCACGCGTTGACGAGCCTATTAAAACGGCGCATAAATACGCTTTGGTCGGTAAGCTTGTATGAATATAAAGATAAAGACATGAACCTAACAAGCCCCAGAAAACTAAAAGCACTCGTAAAAGAAAGATAGTAAACGCAAACTTTTCGGAAGTGGTGATCGTTTCATATACGGACATCCACGAAAACGTTCGCCTCCGCGCACTTCAGAACGTTTTTTGTAGCGATTTATGTCATTCTATTGCCGAATGATTTATGTATCTAAATTGGCCTGAAAAGCAGTTTCTTGCGCAACCTCCAACGACTGAAACGAACAAATAGGTCAAATTTTAAGTGCATTGTCATGTACCAAAAGTTTATAGTAGACTTGGTGCAAAATTGGTACATTGTACCGAGAAATACACCGGTATTCCCTTTAATATGAAGCTTCCACTTTTTAGTTCCAAATTGTAGGTCATACTCTGCCTTTGCGTGCTCTAACTCCGGACTGCTTGTGCTCTGAGCTAACACCGGCGGGAGTGGTCACACAGCCGGCTGTGTTTTGGCCCATCACCTATGCCGACCAGCTGTACACACTGGTGGAATTCGGTACACCCAGATCTAGATTAAGTTTACTAACTGACAATTTGTCCGGATGCGACATATATGATTTTAATTAACTATTTTGGCCCTGTTAAGCAATTTTAATGTGTCAAATTTATTTCTCAAGATGTGCAAGGCGAGCTTCGCTCAACAAATACATATGATCAAATGAAGAATTTGTCCTAGTTAACGTGGGATGGGAATTTTAACTATTTGTAATGCGTAATGATAAGTACTCCTAATTAAAGTAGTAATCGAGCGCATGCATGAACCAGCGTTAAACCGGCTGATCAGAATAAGAATATTCTAGGAAAATGCATTGAACGGGGCATTGCGTATACGGCTCGGAATAATAATCCATAACATCGCCTGCAAAGGAAAATGGTACGAGTAGTAAACTGTGACTATGTCGCCATCGAGGATCCAATCCGTTCTTTAATCGTCTGTTCTTTTATCCGAGACTTTAATCGTCTGCATTACCCGATTACTTAGTAATAAAGTATTCTTGCATGTCCGGTTCAGTTTTCTCTGATTCTTTCTTATCCCCCGGAAAAAATGCGAGTGTGAACGAGCACGGCAAAAACCCTGCATTATATGCAAGCAGGTCCACGCTCGATGAATTCCGTGGAGGCTATCATCACCCAGCATACCCGGACCGAATGCCGCGCGTACCTCCGGACGCCCAGCTTCTTGAGGCTTCTCCAACTGACTCTCACTTTTATCGCGCTGTGGTGGCCAGTTAGCGTACGGAGCAGCGTCCCCTGGGGGACCTAATTCCGCCCCGCGCTACCAACTTGCCGGCCGGAATAACGACACCACCCTTCCCTCCCCCATTCCATACCATCGCTCCGGATTTCCCCGATACCACCACCGCGCGGACCACCGGGCGGTGGTCTTTCTGGTACACTTTTTGTGCGCCCATTTGGCGGTGCTGGTGGGTCTCGTGACCTTTCTACTGTCCTACCTTGTCCACATGGTCTCGTCGGTGACGGTGCCACACACCGGTATCCTTTGGGTCACCAGCAGTTTTCTCGCGGCGGGGATGCTGGTGGTGGCCGGCATTGTGGAGATCGTCATGCCGGTGCGGTGGAGGTGCGAGCACATCCCTTGGCCCCTTCGACGGCACCCGTTATCTCATATTCTATTGGGCAGCCGAGACGTGCACTAGCCATGCTTCAATTCAGTTTCAGGTTCATAGCAATTTCCCATATATAATTTCCAAATAAATTTTAAAACTTTTGAAATTCACTTTAAAATCGGAAAAACATGTTATGAATCTGATATTGATTCAATTTCAACTTTATGGCCATCTGTCTTTTGCAGCAAAGTTTCAAGAAGATCGGACAATGATCAGACTTTTGGTACACAACAACAACAGTGCATTTAAACTTTTGCCCATTTTAGTACGCCATATCTCGGCAACCGGATGTTGCGCGCGCAAACGGTTTTCAGAACAATTTATTATTTAGCTTTAAAATGACATAAAGTATTACAAAAAAGCAATTTTTAGTGCGCGAAAGCGAAAGTTTAAGTGTTTGTTTACCATTTTTGACAACATGTACCGGGCCATTTCCCTTAATCGCCCATAGCGTATCCGCGTCACGGCAAAACCATTCAACGGTTATTTGAGCAGAACGTACGTCGTCCAGTTTCCGGTTTTCGAACCGGAGTGACATCTATTAAGTACACACGTGTCGTTCAATTTTGGGCTAATTTTATAATCTGTTAAGACAAAGTTAATTTGAAATGGAGAACGGAAAAACAAAATATGGACTAGTTTCTACGCTGAACATTTCTGGCTTTCGGTAAAGAATTTTCCAAATGCAGTTATTACACTTAATATTAATCTTATAGTCTTACTATTTTTAATTAAATTATTTAGTCTTACTATTTTTAGTGCATTCAAATAGGCTTTCGCAAGTGTAGTTTGACTTGGAAACTGTTACAAAAATGAAATACGAACAGCAAAAAACTGTAAGTGAAATTCTATTTGGCGAAAATCTGGCTGACAAAAGCAATCAAAACGTTCGTACGTTCTTCTGTTATACTCGTAACTCACTCCCCAGTAATTGTATATGCTGGACAGGCCACAGTCGGTTTCGTCCTCACCGGCACTGCAGGGCCAAGAAGCATATTACGTGCAGGCTTGCAGCTACAAAATCCTATACGGCTTGATCTAAAAACCGACCCAATTCCGCCAGGAATATATCCTTCCTATAGGAACATACATTCCTGGAGCAATTGGGCCGGAATTTATAAACTTCGGGCACGAAGTGAAAACGTTCGAGCCACTCACAAATTGTACAGTAAGTGCAGACGATTACGAAACAGGAGTGCATATTTCAACCGCATGAATGTAAGTCACAATCAATGGGATGAAGTATGCACCCATGTTTCGCAGCTGCATTTTAATCGGGCGTCATGCCGGCGCCGTGATCGCCGTGTCCGGCGAAACAGTCACAGCGATATTAACCACAGGCTTGCCGTACGCAATGGCACGGTTGAAGCTAAGCCTTGCAGGTAACATTTCCGTAGGTGATGCCTTCGATGACGTGCATGCCGTATTGGCGTATAAAGCTCATGTAGTCTACAGCGGCGCAGGCATCAGGAAGGGAACATGCGGCGCGGCAGAGAGTAGCCGCGGGTCCCGGGAGAGGTCATCGTCCTGGTACGTTAACCGGGATCATGGCCAAGAAACCAGTTAATTTGTTGTAGATTGTTGCTCCCTTGCAAAGGAGCGACAATTTACATTCAGTTAACTGTTTGGTTGTTGATTGTATTAGCTGTTGATTGGTGGCACTACGAATGCCATCGTTCGGCGAAATTTTTCCTGCAACAATTGCATTTTATTATAATAGATTCATGTACGTGTACGTGGACGAAAACTTTTGCTTTTGCGTATTCTTTTGCATTGTTTGATGACATTCTGTAGGCTAATAATTTGTACAAACACTGGTGTGAATACCGTTTGGGCGCGCAGCATCCGGTTGGGGACTTATCGGTGAAAATAAAATTCCAGAAGTTCAAACGAACGGAGGTGTACCAAAATCTTATTATAAACCGATCCTTTCCAAATTTTTTCTAAAATCGTACATTACCATGAAAATCGTCTTTACACCAAACCAGCTGTCCACCATGTTTCCAAAATTTAAAGCAAATTTCAAAATTTTTAAAATACCTCTGGAATGTCCCAACTATGGACGCCTGTGCCGAAATGAGCACAGCACGGTGAGCTGCGCGCACAATGCTCCAACAACCGGCAAACATGCCACATGAATAACACTGGGGTACTCGAGAATATATTCAAACACTTGAAGTGTGCGGATATCGTCACTCCTCTCCCGCGGAGGACCGAAACCTGTTGAAAATATTTTTACCGCTATTATAAACGACCGTTATAAGGATTTTCGATTTACATGTAGAACCAGAAATAATAACACGGAAAATAAATTGTCAACATATTTTATACATTTCTGAAGCGACAAAAATTTTTAGTGGCCAATAATTATAAAATAACGTTCATTATGTAGATTTTTTTGCTGTATATTATAAATTTCTTGTATGGAATATTATCTGTCTTAGTTAATTTCCAGGTTCTAAATTTACACTTTTACCAAGGGAAAAAAATCCAAACAAGAGCCGTTATCCCCGGCGGAATTAACAAAAAACAGTTGCATTGTCATAATCGCAAACCTTTTGAAAGAGACGTTTTTGAAACAACCGATTACCACTGGACGCAGGAATAACTCACATTAGGAACATCCTTAGAATCCACCGATTTCATGCCTGCTTCTTGGTAATCGTCCATGGAAGAAATATGTGTGTGACTTTCAGGTAATCTCCACTTCGGTGCGTCATCGACCCGCTCACATTTAAATGTGCACGCCCCTTAAAAATGGCGGCCCCTTAAAAATGCAATGTGGTCCAAATTTCGGCGACATTACACTTTACAGGGGCCGCACAGCCGCGAAAATGCAGGTGATAATCACGTGGAAAGTGTCCCCGAAGGGATAACAAAACACGGGTTTGATGTGACCCGTACGGATCCTTTCGAACCCGTGTCTGGTTATCGCAAGTCTCATTTGCGGCAGACAATCACTCACTGCGCTGCAGCAGTTGCTGCTGTAAAATAGTCTGTAAAAATGGTGCTGCTGTAAAAATGGGCCTATACCGTCATTTTATTAGGTGAAGTTCTTAACCAAAACGTAAAAGAAAAACAGGATGGTTGACGGCTGGTGCTGGTGGTTATATTGATAACAGCGTTCTTCTTCATGGCGATTTATTAGGCAAGCAGTATGGTATGCAATTGGTCGCTGGTAACGGAAACAGACGGTCCTATCACCAAAAACACTGTTTATATTTGCCGAAGTAAATACTGTTTAATAGTGTTTATACGGCAGAGGCCGCATTACCGCGATTTTGACCATGACGCCCGATCCGCTGGAGTAGTTATGTACTTTGTAGTTTGTACCGATGCTGTGCAGTGATAGAATCTTGGTTAGGAAATGTTTTGCCGAGATCGCTACACATATAACTATTATTAACTTGTCTCGGCTGCCGAGCAATATGTAATCGTAGTTCGGACATTATACGAACGCTGACGTGGGATTACAGTACTCTACAGTACTCGGAACTTGCCAACAGTACTCGTATACTTTCAGCTTTTTTTCCCTACTCTACAGACTTGCTTTCTACAGTGCAGTAACACACAGCCGTCTATCTAACCATGGCAAAATGCAGTCAAGTTGCGGCGAAATAATTTATGAAAATAAAATTATGCGGGCACTCACAGAACACGCGCGGTCAGGCTGCTAACGCAAAAAAATTTTGAACGGGATGCAGTTAATTTTTGAACCGGCTGATATTACTGGGTACTTGACTTACCGCGCTGTTTCTCGTGCTACATAATTTAATACGATAACAGTGTAAAGTACAGACTGCTACAAACTGGCTATGATCAATCACAAATTTTCTATAAACATCCGAAACCGTTACTCATCACACAGCCGTAGATGGAGCCGGCTTCATCATGGAAAACACTGAAATTATCTACATTTGTCGAGGTTGCTATTTTTCTCACGTGAAGGCCGCACTGTCCGTCGGGAATTTGTTGCTGATCGCACAGACACTCCGTTGCCCGTACGGACATATGATCACATATCATGAATCTTGAAGGGTGATCGCTATTTTGATATTTTAAAATCCACGCATAATCCATAATATGAGGCTGAATTGTCAAAATCACCCTTGAAGCGAAAGTGGCGGCTACCGCGTCAAAGTAAAAGGTCACTGCATGATACAAGTTGCAACAAAAAATCAATTTATATATATTAGTTTTATAAAAAATCAAAATACATATATTTAAAATGCTAGCATATTTTTTTGTTATTAAATACAGTACTGTATTATTTTTGACATGTTATCAGATCTCAAAAAGAACACATGTACAGTAAAATCGCTTGAACTGGCTTTTTAGATGTTATCTGACGCGCTGAGTATGAATCTGAAGACGGTTTGCTAAAAAAATTTACCGTGAGAAATTACGGAAAACAAGAACCTCAGATCTCGATAACTACATGGTGAAATCGCTCCAAACCGGCTTTTAAGAGTTATTTGATGCGCTAAACACGCATCCGATAATTAAAACAACGCCGTATATTTCTCCTAATTCGTGCAAACATTTTTTGTAAATTCTTCTTTTTTTAAAGCAAAATTTATGTAATATAGATATTAGTAAAATAGTCACCACAGAGTATTACTAATATCTATATTAGTAATATAGATATATCTCATGTTCCACTGGACGGCAGACATGCGCATCGCCGTCGGATCCCTTGCTCTGCTAAACAGAATTGTGGCTGGGTGTACCGTTGTCCAAGCCTGAAAGGAGCGTAGCGCGGGGTGTATTTTCCGCAGACCTTGCAAGGGTCACTGTGTAGATTTACTTATCAAATTGGAATTACATATGCTAACTGCTAATTTTGTATACAATTAAGTATATAGATATATATCTTTTTGGAATTAGGCTGACAGCATTATCGTCAAGTTCGGCTTTGATATCAGACTGCTTGTTCGATTTACCTGTGTAGTCACTACTGTACTTATAATCGCAGTTTTGGATATCCCGATGTACTCATTCCAAGAAGCGGCAGCCCTGAGTGTCTGCCTAATTGTACGAGATAAAGCCGATCAATCTCATTCGCAACAAATTCTGTAAAAAGATAAGACATATACTTACCAGACAAAAGTGAAGAATTACTCTAATTATATACGACATGCTAGCTGTGCAAATTTGTACAGTGTACAAGTACATTATGTAGTTTGTAGCACATTAAAAGCACTCGCACGTTAGTAACTTAGTACTGCCGATATTGCGGGCTAAAAGTACCGTACAGTATTGCAGCGTAGGGTAATTATGGAAAAAGTTCCTCAAAACAATCCGAAAATCAGTGACATTCTTCCGCCGATAAAGTCATTTGAATTTGCTTAAAAGACGGCATAGATTCTACAGCAGTACATAATTCGTTAACTAATCCAGACATTGCACATCCAGCGCGTTTGCCGACAAAGGATGCACAACTGTCAGCAATCAGTCGCAATGCAGGTATAAATAATAATATTGTATGTACATAATACGAGTCGGCTTTAGCGCGCCAAACACGTTCATTCTACAAAAGAACAGCTGTTACTTAAAAAAAACGGCTGATTTGACTGAAATGGCAAGATATCATACGGATTATACGCAACCAACACTGCGAATAGAATATTCCCCAGCTGAACAATAACATATAATATAATTTTTTAGAGCAGAAATTTTAACGTACGAAGCCAGTGAATATTTTTGCCTTAATTTACCGGTGCGCTGACAAATGACAATGCATTCCCGGTGTGTGATAGTTGCCGCGGTAGTTTTGGCTGGATGGACGCAGGCGGACTATATTCCCGGTTCGGGTACGTGGTATTCCGGACAGAACGCCCAGGTGGCCAGTGCCTTCACCCAGAACGGAATCGTCTCGGATGCGGTGGATGTAGCGCCGCTACAGCAGTTAATTGTACGCTATATATTATAATACGAATTTGTAAGTACAATATTTTGGAAAATCGATTTCTTTTTTATCCTTTAGTAGTTGAAACGTTAGGTGTGTTCGGCCTTAAGCGAATTATTGCATTTTATATGTCGACACATTCGTGAACTGACTGCAGAGAATTGTGCGTTCTACGTACTACTTCTCTCAAGCAAAGTTTTATTTTAATAGTCATTAAAGGAAAACGTTGCAGCGGTGTTAAGTACGGTAACTTTTTACTCAACCTAAGGGAGGATAGAGATTTGGTTGTTGTTGGAATGTTAAAAATTTTGACTGTTAAGTAAATAGTCTGCCCGCGTTTGCGTTTTATGCCATTTCCTAACAAAAGTATTACATTATAACGATAACTGGCAGTTCTGAAATATTGATTAAATGTATGAGCGCATCATTAATTCCTGTCAAGATGTGATAAGAAAACGACTGTATTAAATACATTTGTACCCTTTTATGCTTTACAAAATTTGATTTAATAGTTCTGATAAAACTTATTCATTTACGTGAACTCGCATCTGTATGTACAACTCGTATTTAAAGCTCGTACGCGTATTCGTTTACCGTACTATACGTACGTAGAATAAAATATGTTACAGTTTGAGGGAGATACAAATAACGAGTACTTCTCCTGATACAATATACTAAGAGCAAAGAGCGATTTTGCGAAATATTATTTACATACATTTATTTCATTTCGATTTTCAGTTACTTTGTTTATTTATTGGTAATCCATTTGTAATAATTGTCAGATGGCGTACAACGGAAGCACGTTCGTCCAGTTGGGGAATGAACTGACACCGGCGGGAGTGACCACCCAGCCGGCGGTCTTCTGGCCCATCACCTACGCCGACCAGCTGTACACACTGGTTGAATTAGGTACACCCGGACGAAATTTAATAACTGTCAATTTATCCGGATGCGACATATATATGATTTTAATTACCCATTTTAGCTGTGTTAATCAAATTTAACCATTTGCATAACGTCTACCGGTGCCCACCGGCTCTTGTTTTGCAAATCCGAGTTATAATCCCCGGTTGCATGGTAGATCTGGATGCTCCGACGGCGACCAACAGCTCGCTGCGATCGGTACTGCACTGGCTGGTGTACAATATCCCCGGGAATGATATCTTCCGCGGACAGGTCTACGCGCCCTACATGGGCAGTGCACCCTTTGATTCAAGTATGTTAATGGATAAACGGCACCGCTGATAGGCGTAACATATCGCGTTGCTTACAGTTGTTAGCTAAGCAGTTGTCCGCTTTTTTTAAAACCTTATATCGAGTCGTTGAACTGAGACGGCTGCGATGTTGAACTTTTTGCTGCGATAGTGTCGGCGTACAATTCGCGAACAGGGCCTGTCGGTTGCCTGAATAAGATTCTACAATACGTATATACGTATTGCGATATGTATAAATGTAATCCGTTAATTAAGTATCACAAACCAGACGTACCAACGTATAGTATTAGAAAACATCTATAACAGAAACGCTTCCTTATGTAGTTCACAAGCGCTCCCGCTGCACTTGCTGATGGCACTAAGCTGGTGTTCTACGGTTGTAGCGAAACATGTCGCGGAAGATTTAACCTGATTTAATTATATATACTGCCGCAGCGTCATACTCTAGCCGGGTGACGACAGCAGGTACAGGGATTCCTTGACGCCATTTATACAAGGCTATAGAAAAATACGTGCATTCGCTGTTTGTAAAGCAACGTTCCCAGTGCAAGGAAATATACGAATGAAAACTACGTGAAGTGCAATTCTCGTGCACTCGTCAAATTGTTACCAGTTATAATTAACGATAAGCTGTAGAGACTTCATGTGTATGTACATACAGTTCATGCGCCATAATATCTGTATGTGCTCAAATGTCCTCAGAACACCGAGATTTACTATTTATTTCATTGCAAAACTTTGACAGGCCTCCATCGCTACGTCTTCCTGTTGTTCCCGCAAACCCGCAGCATCCAGTTATCGGCCTTGCCCAGTGGAAACGACGCCCGTCTCCGCTTCAACATGCGGACGTTTATGCTGCAGAACGGACTAAGTCAGCCGTTCGCCGGCAATTTCTACCGCGCGCGAGCTGATGACTATTCCCGACAATACTGGGCCTCACAAGGCGTTACCAGCTTCTGAACATTCCTGCTGCGCGATACCTCATAAAAAGAGCCAAGAAAGCTTGAACTCGATCGGAACTAGATACAAAATGTTGCCTATGGAAAATTTAATTTTGTCCCCAATTAAGAATCTCTCTGATTCTGGTGATGCGGTGAACGTGCTGCATTTTTTTCTTAAATTAAAATTTAACGGCCCGGGTTCTTAAGCTGTAGTTATTGATCGTGCTGTCTATAAAAACAAAGGATGGTTGACCTTTTCACTACAATATAAACAGAAACTGCAGGCAGTACGTAACAGCACGTACAAGATTTGACTTCGCGTGTGTGTTATGAATATTTTCACGATTTGCTTGTCGATTTATCGTAACTTGGATAATGTATTTTTACTTGTTCTCGTGGAATTCAACAAGTCACTGCGCACAGGCAAGTCATATACTGTACATCAATAGTTCTTCACACGATTTGTGATGCATGACTAAAATGATTACCGGTAACTGTAAATGCTTTTTAGAATATTACACATATATTCATGAGAGATTTGCTAACGGTTAAATAAGTATTTATTTATTACCTGGTGATATGTTTATTTGGTAAACGGGCAATTCTAGTACCGCGTTAAATACGAATGAATACCCATTACAATGCTTCAATTATCAACGGCAATTTGTTGCGGTATGGGATATATAATGAGCGTATTGTCTACACTCCGGAAAGGAGATATTTTTACACATGCGCAACGACCGTGACCGGAACTTGACGTTTGCCCCCGCCGCCGCATGGCGTTAACGTTAACACTGACTGTCCGTTTCCGGTAACGGCTTGCCAGTTGCCGGCAATATTAATAACGCCGCATAACATTTGTGACAGTGAGTGTCTGTGGAAAAATAATCCCGCATCGATAATCGTCCGTTGCATTTGTGCCGGCATTAATGGAAAACAATGCGGCCGATGATAATATAATCAATGCGACGAGGACACCGCGGCGGCCGGCGGGTGACTATTTTATGCAAATTTCCGTGTCGACATACAAGGGTATTACGCGATCACGGCGCTGCGTATTGACGGTGATTTCCCATGTAAACAACGGTCGTATTTATTATCGCACGTTGCAGCCTGGGAGATGCAGCTATTTACCGGCAAATATTTGCTAATAAGCCACTTGTTGGGCCGCATAGTGGTGTGTTAATTTACGCATACAGCCTCGACTCGCTACTGAATTTGCATTTTTTATAGCCGCAGCTGACTGTGTTTACCTGCTGCCTCACTGGACGTAATTAAAATTTATTTTGAAAGCGTAAAATTAATGAGATACTTGTGAAAGCTTTTCTCGTTTTTGAATAATATTTTTTAAATAATTTAGGCTGAGATTTTACAGTTTTTTGGTACATTTTTATGAGTAATTTAATAGTACAATAATTTGGATCTTTTTTTTATTTTATAATTTTCACAATTTTTTATAAAATTCTTCATATTTTTCTTTTTTTAATAGTTTCATATTTTTCACATTTTAAAATTTGTTCGTATTAATTTTGGGAACTGAGTTCCTGAAATTTGTTTTTCTATATTTTTTTGCAAATATATTCTGCAGTATTTCCAATATAATATTGAAAAGCCGTAAGTACATTTTTCTCCATTTGGAAACAAGGAGAAATTGTCGATTGTTTCAATCCGGTGCACCGTCGTGCTTTAGCTGCCCGGTTACCCCGGTATGATCTCATTGCTGCGCCCGGGCATGCATCACTTTCGCTCTCACCGGCGATTATTGTGTAAACATACCTGCTTCCATCATTAATCAAGTGGCCCCTGGCTTTATGATCATCCGGTCAAATTTCTCTCTCGACTGAGCGCTTCTGTTTCTCGTTGTCTCCCCTCTGTCTCTCTCTCTGATCTGGTCTCATGCTAATTATGGCCTACTCTGGCTTGCACCCGTCATACAGGTGGACACGATGAAATAGACGCTGACCAGACGCTGTCGAGGTACGTACAACGGTGAAGGTGGACACAGTGGAATAGACGCTGACCAGACAGCGTGGACGTACGTACAACGGGGCGTGACTTGCACCGACGCTGCACTGGCCAAGTGGCCACTCGGTCAGTCCGTCGGAATGATGCAGCAGCAACAGCACACTGCACGCACAGCCAGCATTATACATGCATGACTGGCAATACAGGTGAAAAATCTCACTTTTCTGCTTTTCCAAACATTTCAAAAGGCTATTATTATCTTTTAGAAAGTATCATCCCTTCTAAATAATTGCTTGTATGTTCGATGATTATTGTGCCAGAAGCCAAATCAACAATGTTATCCATCATTGCGAGATGACCAACGGCCGCGACTGATTAACAAATTCCCTCAACTCAATGGAATGCAAAATATTAAGGCGATATCGTTGAATGCACCTGTACCGTTAATTGGATATCGTATTGCCACTACAGGGATGTGAGAATGCGCGCCGGGATGTTGATTGTGTTGTTATCGTTGTTGTTGTTTGGGGGATCATGTGATGCAGCCGCGGTGAATCTCACCCAGCATCATGTAGCAGGTACGGGAAGATATTTTCCTGGTGCGTTTCAGGTGATGTTTGTGTCCGGGCTGATTAGGAGGGCTTTGTGCTGTGGAGCACACAATCCGACCAGCGTATAATCCGCGCTGTGTGTGAACATGTGCAAACATGCAGCGCAGCAGTGAGGCAGTGAATAGAGAAAGAGAGACATGTAAAGAATGGACGACGGTCATATTTAGGACCTGTAAATCCAATATTAGCACGACGAGGGTTCATTATGCGGAAATTTTATGCATTTAGGGCTCCTGTGAAATTTTATTACCGTCCTTTTTGCTGGCTTGGTGTATTAAATGTATAGCGAATTTAGGAATAATTTTCGGAATTATCGTTCTAATGTTTCCGAATTTTTTCCTTCTTTGCATTATTATTGTAAAAATAAATACTGATTGTGCATTCTCAAATGAAAAACAATCTGTGAAAATCAAATTTTTTTTAATATTTTTGTTCGACGGTTGCGTGATTTTTAAACAAAGTATTTTTTCAAAAAAGTTTAAAACATAAAACGAAAAATAAAATAATAAATAAATGCGGTCAATTTAAAAATAAAACAAATTGATCAAAGTAAAAGAATAAATAACGCGGTAAAATAATAAAGCGCATGTCTGTCGGAAATGTTGTATTAATTTTGTTTTTCGGTTTTACTTTGGTTATTTCGTTTGTTGACGTAGTGGGACGTTTTGCACAGTTTTTTTTATTCACGTTCCGAATTATTCTATTTTTATAATCATTATAAGGTATTTTAAGCGGCTGTTTGTTTATGAATTTTGATAGATTTTGTTTATCCTTAAAACAAACGGAATTTGTTAGCTTTTAAATTTTATTACAGCGAAAAAATATACTCGGAATTAATTATTTTCAATGAATTTCAAGATCAATTATTTTTTTAAACGGTGATAATTGTTTACACATTATTTGTGAGTGTTTTGCTCTGTTAACCGGGGACGAAATAATTAATAAGGGAAATCCGGTTCGATCAGCAGGCATTTTGTAAACTGGTTGGAATGTGGGTTAATTAAGCGTGAAGCGATTTAGCTGAGGCGTCTGTGCAGCACAGTTATCCAATTAATTAGCCGTTGTGGTCCAGTTGTTAACACTGATCCAATTTGTGTTACGATCAACACTTTTTCTCAGCACTTGACATTGTAGTCTGCAGCCCACGCACAGCCGTCCATTTTTCAGTTTAATGTCCGTGGACTGATTTGCTTTTTTCTCTTATCAGGTTGTAGTGCTTTGCAAGAACCTGTGTGAGTCTGTAAAAATTTTGCCGGTAACAAAAGGATACTGTTGTAACATATTTCGTTAAGGCTTTAAGGCAACTTAGTAATTTTTAAACTTCACAATTTTCTGTTGGCAATACTTGCAAAACGTTTTTGCCCATTTAACGCGTCCATTTTTTCCCATTTCAGACAAATTTCTCTTTAGGTAAATTATTTATTTAAAATTTTTCTTTAGGTATATTTATTTAAATTTACTATTTTAGTTAAATCTGCTTATTTTTTTAATTAGACTTATTAGTTCAGTGAGATTCGGTTGACTTAATTTTCTTGTTTTTATAAATCATTTTAAAGCTTTTTGTTTTTCCTGACAGTGATTATGCAGCTTATAAGTAAATGAAATTTTATATTGTCTGTTTATTTGTGGTCGGTGAAAATCGACTGACGTAATTTTGTTTGACTTGGGTTTATTTCTCATAATTCCTATCACAATTATTCAGGCCTTTTCTTCCTAGATTAAAGCTTTAATTTTTTTTTTCGGTCATGTTAAAGACATTTTTATGATTGCCTTTTTTTAACTGTATTAATTTTTTGAACCCCGTATTTTTCCACTTGAACGCGGAGGATTATCGTTCATTTAATTTTATTTTTTTATTTCTGTTCGTTATAGCACAAATGGTTGACTGATTTTATCTGTGTTTTTGTACAACAGTGTTCAAAAAAATTTTGTTTATCATACAGTTCCTCCCAGTAACCTCCTCATTCGGCCCTCCTCGCACAATTCCGACCCCAACAGCCACCGCCTCCCTTCTCCCGTCGGCCGGCAACGCAGCCCTGCCGGCCCCACCCCCACTCCATTCCCGCCTAGCCCGCGCCCATCCGCCGCGGCTGACCTTGATCTCCTTGACCCCTCTCAAGCCCCGCCGGACACCCTCACCCGCCACGACCTCCTCCACGAAACCCTCCTGCCCTTCCACAACGACACGCTGCGCGCCGCCGGGGCCAGCGCCGAGGACCTGGCCGTCGGCAGCGGAGACGGGGAGCTGCCGGATGTAGTCAGCCAGCAGCCGGACGTCTTCACCGTCGCCCACACCGACGCCTTCGGGGACAGCGGCGGGATCACGCTGACGCCGCTGGATCCCAATAGTTTCCGGGCGGGAGTGTCCCATTCCCCGGCGGAACACCAGAATTCCAGTCACGCAGGGTTAACCGATGCGCCCACCACCGCGTTCATCCCGGAAATCGAGGAACTGACCTCCGCGGTCCCGGAGACCTTTCCGGAAGTCAACGAGACCCTTCCGAACCGGGAGACGAACTTCCTGCGCGGTGTTTTCGATCCGGAGGCCCCTTCTGACCACCACAATTCATCGGAGGTCTTCGGGCATTTGGAAAAAGACCCCTTGAAGATTGTGACCTCCCGTGTACACAACGAGACGTCCCACCTCCCGGAATCCAACACCTCCCGAGTGTTTCCCGCCAAAACGACCAACAACTCCATGGCTATGTACCAGCTCCGCGAACACCGGATTCTGGACGCCGCGACCCCCGAGAACGTCGACAACACCACCTCCCCCTGGAAAATAGCGCTGCTCCCGGAAGATCGCAACCCGGAGGTGGCGGAACAGGGTCCGGAGGCCCATCCCGAGGGCTGGACACCCTTCACCATCCCGCACTCCAATCTCCCACAGTTCCTGTTCTCGACGTTGATGATGGAGCCGTTGGCGAGCTCCACGGAACCCACTCACGTGATGACGACGACGGAGGGTCGACGGTTGGCGACGATCGTCGAGGAGGACCTGACGACCATGGAGACCACCACCGCGACGACGACGACGACAACGGAGAGTACCACAACGACCGCGACCACCTCGACGACGACGCGGACCACCGGGAGGGTCGTGGCCAGCACGGCGCGGGAGACGACGCGGCCGCGGCCCATGATCTTCTGGAGTGATAAGCCGGAGACCGGGAAGGCGGCGAATGCGTTGTTTGAGGATGAGGGATTGGCCGGAAGTGAAGCGCAGGGCGTATCGGCGAAAGTAAGCAATGAAAAATCCAAGAAATTAATAAGAAAACCATTACAGTAATGGCATTACTATCGTGAATAATTCGCAAAATTGAAATATTTTCTGTATTTTCCCGCCCATTGTAAGTGCCCAAAATCCTACATCTTGAAGCTAATTATGTTTAGCAAAAAATCCAAGCGCTCCAAATATTAATTTTTATAACTGTAACTACGCTTTATTTAACAAATTTAATATGGAAATCTATTGTAAATTAATTGGAAAAATGTGAATAAAATTTGAATAGTCCCCGTTTCTTCCCAGCCGTTTTTATCCGTGTTTCAAAAACTAAGCCTTATTCTTTTTAGAAATGGAGCTGACAAAAATTAATTAGCGATTTTTTTGGAAGGTGACTACGCTTTGTAAAAAATTTTCGAATTTCGATAATGAAAAAAATAACCTAAATAAATTTTTGAAAAGTCGGAATAATTTCCTTTTTCTTCCCGTCCACTTGTAAATGTCAACATTTAGCTTTATTTAATAAAAGTCCAGATTTAATAAACTTAAGAAACCCACTTTGCTAAATTATTGGAAATTGATTTTTCAAATTAATGTTATTTTAATGCGTTGACTAAAATTTATGCCATTAATTCAATATTTTTTTTCTTAAGTTATTTTGGGGAAAAAACCGAAAAGGGCACTTGTCGTAAGGAGCACAAAATCGGCTAGTCGAGCCGGCTTTGTCGCTCATGGATATGATAGCACTTGACGTTGTCTTAAAGACGATGCGGCTCAAGTGTCGTAAAGTGGCCGTCGTAAAGGATGCGCGGCACGGAGGAAAAACAACAAATATACAGATACTCTAAACGGCAGTACATGCAGTGATTCCAACTGATCTAGCTTTATATAGCTAACAGCGGCTATTTGTTTTCTCCCATCAAGGACACACTGGATTATATTCCGAAACAAAATCTCTCACGCGATGCACTGGACAATCTCATTACCATCCTGCTGAAATATGTCGGCCAGCCGGTAAGAAGCAAACTCGATCGCTACGCCTTTGACGTTTATTATTTTCTCGGAATTAATAAAAAATTAATAAACAAAGAAAAAGGAAAAAAAGTAAATAATTATTAAAATAATAAGAATTAATAAACAATTTTCCGTTACAGTTTTCTCTTTTTTATGTATTTAAGACTTCGAAAATAAACCAGCACAAAATCAGTATCATAAAGATGAAAAATTGTGTAATCGATGAAGAAGCATTCAAAAACAAACTGATACTTGAACATAAATTATCGATATGGGGATTTTAGTATAAGTACTCGTATACAGTAAACACTGTAAACTCTTACTGAACTGTTGTTTTACTGAAAATTTGCGTATTAAGTTTTTATGAGTTTTCACAGCACATTATACTGATTTATAGGTATGTTTTTCTTAATAATATTCCCCATAAAAAATTATTAAGAATCGAAGAATATTATTTTTAAAACAAACAAACGAGTTAGTATGGTGACATTCGGATGTAAAAAAGTGATTCACAAGCGGGAACAGTTGAAGATCGGTATTACTGTATTAGTTATTAAAATCGTAGAGTTAGGGCTCGAGCACACAACTTGACGAATTGGTCTATGTTCTGTTAATTAAAGTAACATTTTGTGAAGGTGCAAAAATAATGTTGTAGTGATGCTTGATTTTTTTGAAAACTGCAGCTTGTAAAATTGTTTGGCCATCATTTAAGGGATTTTTTTCGATTGTTCGTTCCATATTCGACTAAACTACAATTGACTGATCGAAATTTCTCCGCAACTTTCCATGTACTGTATTTCATTTTTTGAATCTGAAACTAATTTTCCATTGCGCATCTGGTAAAAATTGTCTGCACTTCATACAGACAATTTTTACCAGATTCACAGCCGCATTATTTGCTAACCGTCAATTGGCATTTAATCCGTCGATAAGCGGTTAAAAAACGTAAAACACCGCGACAATAAGCAGCTTAAACCGGCAATCCCGTTAACCGCCGCGCTGATAATCCCATCGGGTATGAATATTGAATTGTCCGCTTTTAAACACGCAGGAGTTCGTCTTCGACGCGACGGCCAAGAAACGTTTGGCCGAGATGGTCTTTTGGCCGATTATCTACGCGCCCTCCTCCAGCAACGTCAGCACGACCTCGCCCGACGTCGTGGAGGAGCACCGCATGCATCCGGGGGTGCTGGAGACGGAGCCGGTCCCGTCGACACCCTGGCCGGTGCTGCGCTTTATTGCGCCGTCCCCGAAGCTCCTGGATAGCGATTCCGCCGCCGCCGCGCAGAACGGGAATGTGTGGCTGGTGACAGCGTACGCGGTGTACAAGGACACCGCAACAAGTAGGTTTTTATCGCTTTTGAACATCGAAATAATTAATCTGAATTTATTTTATTGAAAATAAACATTTCTGTTTTTTACGTGCTGTTATTAATGTGTTTTAATTGCTTGTGCCGGTTTTGATGTGTTTTAATCGTCTTTGAACATAGAATAATTAATCTGCCGAGTTTATTTTCTTAAAATTTATTATTTCTATTTTTTACATGCTTTTGTTATTATGTTGTTATCGCTTTCTAACATCGGTTAATTAATCTGTCGAATTTGTTTCATTAGATAACTGTTTCTATTTCTACGTTTTGTAATAAATATGTTATAATCGCTTTTGAATATCAGAATAATCTTTCGTATTTGCTTCATTAAAAATCATTATTTCTATTTTTTGTGCAGTTTTTAATCTGTTTGAGCATTAAAAAAGATTTCTCTTTTTTACTCGCTGTTGTGAGCATGTTTGGTAATTATCGAAATTTCCTATTTTATACGACATCCCATTCTTGTATTGGTACGGTTTACATTGACTGTACTAACCACTGCACTACGATTCTGCTTAAGTTGTGAGATTCCGCCGCGTGATATAATTGAACATTTTCGGTGCTATTGTCACGGCTGGATAGCACAAATATTTTTCTTTAGGTGCTCTTTGTTTTATTTGCAGATACGGCCACTGTAATGCCCCGTGCCCGGCTGCTTACCCTTGTTTACGAATCCGAGCTGAAGCTTATGCAAAAGGCAAGCGGAGAATGCGGAAGATTTATCAAAACATTTTATGATTTTTGATTTTATTTATTAAAAAAACAGGAAGTAATGGTTTAATTTTTATTTATGCGGAATTATGAATGTGCAGCAGTTCACTCTGGTCACTAATAGCAATAAGCAGTTGACGGTAATAAATAAACCTTCATTTTATGCTTAATAAAAAACTATTGGCAGTGTTTCTTCGTGTAAAACAAAAATTCATTTTTTAATTCGTCTGTACGCCAGTATCCCTGTCCGCGTACGATCAGATTTTAATGCTGCATATAAAACAGCGTCAGAAGAGCCGATTTATTTTTTTGTGGCTTTGTTTCGATCAGCAATTTTGCTGGAGTGATTTCTGGTAAAATGATAGTGACCCATTTTTTTCTCCATCATAGGAACAAATACTGAAAAATAGAAATATAAAAAATTCAAAAAGAAATCCGATAAAAATAATATATTATTGAATAAATCGCTTGTAGATGAGCCTGCAGTTGTCGCGCGTGTACCCGGGCATCCCCAGCGGGATCCTGAGCCTGAACGAGACGAAGCCGGCCGACACGGCATACCATCCGTTGTTCGAGCGTTTCAGCAGCCTCTTCATCCCGCTGATCGTGCTGGCGGCCATCTGCGTCTTCGTCGCCGTCATCACCGTCGCCTGCCTGGTCAAGAAAGCCCAGACCGCCCGCCACGAGCAGCACCTCAAGGACACCCACGAGAAGATCCTCCGCCCGCTGGTCAGTGCAGTGCAATCAACTGCAATGTATAGAAGTATAGCGTGTTGTAGCGTACTAACTTGTAAATATTAAACAGAATAATTTATTTCATTTTATTAAATAATGATTTAATTTGTTCAGGCATTGTAAATGATTTGATTGCTTAATTGTAGTACCGAAGTATGTAGTAGAAAATTTGCCCACGCATGAGAATTCCCAGCGGTTGTAAAATTAGTCACCAAAGTAGATGACTTCTCGCCATACGATATATTGATAATAAGTTAATAAGTGTTCATTTAAGAAAGATTTGTGATCTACCGATCGTAGTACGGTGCCATACGCATTATCGCGTCAGTTGCTCTTATCTCTAGAGGCCTTGGGTAGTACTAACTTCGCCGTCACTGTAGAAAGAATTATTATATAAGCATTTATTTATAATATATTAATATTTATAATTTATGAGCATAATTATATAAGCATTTATTTTTATCGTAATAATACTCGTTCTAATTTATTAACGCTTTGTACTGTGATATTTTTTATATGTAATTGTTTTTGTTGTTTTTAATTTTTATAAATACTGTAATGTTCTTGTTTTTCTTAATACATAACGCTGTTAAGTGCTTACTACTTAGCGGTTAATTATCTGGACTTGCATACTCTGTATGACTGTATCTGTTGCTCTTTTATCTGCTAAAAAGTAAACTGTAAAAAAATTAAAAGTCCATTTCTTGAACTAACGAATTTCCTTGTATTAGTATATGGATTCGGATTTTGGCTGCGTCATATATTTTGTTACTAATAAAAAGTCGCGGGCGTTTTGACCTGGCGGTCACCGCCAGTACGCAGTATTTTTTGTCATATAATAACGGATTTAGTATTTACCACAAAAAGAAAATAAAATCGATCGTTGCTGCATGATTGGCTTTCTTAAATTATAATTTAACCCTTTTAAAATCTTTTCAATTTCGGCAGGACGTGATGGGCGTGGACAACCCGATCTCCGACGAGATGATGAAAGCCGGGGAACTGCGGCCGCACTCCAACGGCACGGGGCCCCCGGGGGCGGGCGCCGGGCCCGGCCGGCCAGTGAATAAATCCAGTGTGGCGCCGTTGCCGCCGCGCGGCGCCCCGCACGCCAACGGCAGCGCGTTAAGCGCCAAGGAGAGATGTACGAGACCGAGGGATGGCCCATTGATCCGGCGGCCTATGCCGTTGCTCACCGGCGCACCCACGACGAAGAGGACACCAAACTGTGAACCCCGGGAAGCGCTTTTCTTCTGTCACATTCAAGATAAATTCTCGTCGTGCGTTACGCCTCGGGGCGGGGGTCTGCGGTTGATATGAGCACGGGATATTTTTGTTATGCGTGGAAATGCACCGCGGGTTTTTTTGCAGCTAACGTGTTTGGGGACGGGTTTTTTTAGTATTCTGGATTTTGGATATGCACTTTTTACATTTTATTATAGTGTCGACTGTCTGTTTTGCATACGTCAGCTGGAAAAACGACGCAGTTACAAAGATATCGTTTGCAGATTCACACCGCTATTTTTTAATGGAAAGTTGGAAACTGCCAAATACATCAAATACTGTATTTTCACGAGTTTAAGGGACACAAAACCCCTTTGGACCGCCCGCACTAGGTGTCGGCTTCTTTGACGTTGTAAAATAAAAGGCTGAATATACTCAATATACATGTAGTCAATGAAGCTCATAAATAAATAAACAAAAAATAGTAAATAAATTACAGCAAATAAACTGCAATTATTATGAATTATAATATCCGTAAACTGTATAGAGTATTACAGATGTAGCACAAGCAAAAATGCAGTAAATAAATAATAAAAATAAAACTGAAATACGTGATAATAAATTAGGTACTGTACTGTACTGCATGTAATTGCATATGGATTGTACGTCTTCGTTTTTGTTTCTTGGGTTGTTTTATCCCATTTTTTCGTAGATTACATGCTAATTTTGCGGGTTTATATTTTAAAATATGGTCCATTCTTATCTCCTGTCCTAAAGCAAACCCTTGTCTACCGGATACAGCAGCTGCAACTGCAGATATTTTGTAGTGCAATGGCAAATGGTGGCCCTCGTGTTCATTTGTGGGAAAGTGTTGCTCTCATAATCTCATTCCACTCCGACATTAAAGTGACTGAAAAGTTAACAAGTCGCCGCGTCGCGCAACAAACATTTTTTTCTTTAATAGAATATTGTTTTTCTATTATTTTTTAGTTGCAATAAAATGTTTTCGTTTTCTGATACAGCTGATAGACTGTTGTGCCATTAAAGTGGAAATGGAAAATTAAACCGAATGGCGAATCTATCTATCTATCTATATAAAAGAATAAGAAGCTGCACGAATTTTGTGTGTGTCAGGGTTTAAGTCATAGACACGTTCAACCAAACTTGAATGTCTTTATACCGTTCGATAGCCCTGAATGTGTAGATTTGTACAAAGTTATCAGATTTCAGAAAAACGTAAACAGTTTTGAGAAAAAATTCAAAACTCTGCCATGGGAAGTCTACGGGGCGTCAAAAACCAGTTAACGGAGCGCAGTTAAGTAAATATGTAGCTGCCACCTTGCGCAAGTTGTGGGGCTCTACTGATTTTACCGTAACGGCGAAGAATTATATTGTACGGCTGCAGCTTGCAACTCAGCTTGCAACACGATGACTCTCAGATCGCTACAAGGGAATTTCGGTGCCTCATGAAAGAAAAATGTTTACTTTTACCCCTGAGATTTTCAAAATGTTCCGCCATCGCAGTAATATCAAGTACTAAATTTGCAGTTGACACTTTAAGTTTTTTGTTGAAAACATTGCCAGGTCAGAAGTGGCAATAAAAAGAATAATTTTCCAAAAAGGTGCTGAAAAAAGTGCAAAAGTAGCATTCACCATTCTGTTTTTCGTTTGGCAAGTTCTTCTTCGATTCTTTTGATAATTATTTCTTGACATAGTTTACATAATGGGTTACCCAGCAAAAATTATACCATTTGTGTATAACCTAAAATCGCAGGGAGACAGAATAGGGAAAATTATTTTTGGAATCTCCTTTGTAGTCGAGTTCGTTTAATTTGCGTTTAAATTTTCGAAGGTAAAAGGCACACGTTTGAACTTTAAACTTTGTCCAGGTTTGATTTCTACAGATTATTTTAAAAGGTACATGTACAACGTACACATAGTAATCTGACAGCTATTCCAGTTATGAAATTTGTGCAGTTGCTGCTGCTGGGCTGCGAAGTTTCGCACAGTAAATCTGTGGAAACTGCTACAAACAAAAACTGAAACAAACCGGGAAATTTTTTGTTTGTTATGTTCAGTTTTAGTAAGCGTGGAGACTTCTTGCGAGCTATGCTGCCGTTCGGGTTTCAAACCTCATGTTACCAAATTTGATAGTTTCACAGGCAGGTGAGACACGAGCGGATCTCGCGGAACATCACGCGAGACAGTATTCTGCGCAGTGCTTCGTAATTCCGTGGCACAGTGACAGCCAAATTCCGAATTCGCACAGACTAACAATACACAGCAATCCCGAAACTGGCGAAAGTCGAAAATTAGATTTGCTTTTAGCGTTTTCGGAATTGCACTTTCAAACCACAAGTGGACGTGGAAAACTAAAAGCCAAAAAGTTTGCGACCACTTCGTTAACAAAATTTCAAAACCTTTCGGTTGGTCTCATTACTTTCACCCCGTGCGCTACACTGCGCACTATTTACACGGTAAACTACCTTTTGGGTTTTCGCCTTTCACCGTCCCTTATGGTCCGACGTGGGAAAACACTTTGCAGTGTATTTTCTGCACAATAGTTTTGCTATGTGTAAAAGAAGTACGCGTTATTGTAAACATATCTGAATTGCAGAAAATATTCTCAGTGTATGTCCAGAAATCCACTGCGCGACAACATGATTGGTATGTTGTCAAATTTGTCCGACTGTTTAAAAGTGCAGCTGCATGTTTCGGACATTTACGAAAAATATACTTTACAAATATCTTGCAAAATGAAAGTGAATGTAAAACAGAAATATTTTGAAAACAAGCAAATGTGGTCAAAGCAAATGCAAATATCAGGCGAAGGGAATTTTGTCTTAGACCGTTGGGCAGGCAGTAACGCAGTGAACGGAGGGAAAAGAGTACGAGTACCGAATTCGAAAGTTTCAAAGTTTTTTGTGTACAGAAATACGAGTACGATTGAAAAGCAAAGAAAAGTGGTGAACGGAGTGGTCAAATTATTAATCAGTTTTCAAATGTTCTAAACGGTGCAATCGCGCAGGTATTTTTGGTTGTTTGGCTGGCTGTTCATTAACACTGACTGCTGATAAGTACGTATGACATGATACTTAATAATGGAACTGATAGTACGTATTTTTTAAGTTTGTGGTATTTATAATAACGAAAACAAGTACAATATTGTAGGAGCAGGTCTCCATAGTTCGTGCAGTTATCAGCCGCTAATTTACTCCGCGCAATTTGCGCGGGGTCCACTAGTATCGAAATAATCGAAATAATTTGAGTAATTTGGCGGACTTGCAAAATGCAAATCCAGTGTAGTCAGTGGTCACCAATTTCCATACCAATGGAATCACCAACCGCGCGCGATCGATGGAATTTCCGCTTCTGACTCAACAAAATCCAACTCCGCCCCGCCTCCCAACCAATCCGCGCAGCCCTCTCTCTATCTCCAGCTGTTGCCATCTGAAACCGCTGCACATTGCGACAGCAGCTAATTTTTTCACGTTCATTCACGTCGCGTGTGCTGCAGCGATTAAATCATCGTTAAACTCGACAGTTCTTGGGTCTCCGGCAGAAATCTCAGTTTTTCTCCTTCCCTCATTCATCCAACGATTTTCTAAATATTTTTAAATCATCCCCGGACCATGGCCCACAAACACAACGGCAAAGTCGCCCCGCACGTCCACCATCACGACGCCGGGGACGCGCACTCAGAAGGCTCACACTGTGAATCCGACATCCAGCCCATCGTCTACCCGGAGAATATCCAGCGCCGGCTGAACGCCTTGAAGCACATCCACATGGACATTCAAAAACACGAACATCACATGCACGTCCAAATCTTCCAGCAGGAAGCGGACACGTACAAGAAGATGCTGCCACTGCTGAAGAAACGTGCCGAGATCATCAGCGGCGTCCACGAACCCACCGCGGAGGAAGGACAGTTTAAGCTGAAGGACGATGCCCCCGCACCGGAGACCACCCCGGCCGATGGGCAGAAGGGAATCGCGAATTTCTGGCAGACGGTGCTGATGAACAGCGGCCACACCGTGGATCTGGTGGAGCAGCATGACCATGAGGTCCTCGAGTACCTGGTGGATGTGCGCACGGTGTACACGGAGAAACCGTTGGGCTTCAAGCTGGAGTTTGAGTTCCGCGAGAATCCCTGGTTTAGCAACAAAGTGCTGACGCGCGGGTATGAGTTCGAGGATGAAATCAGCCGGGAAGATCTGTATTTGATCACCGGACTGCAGCCTAAGACCACCCAGGGCACCGTCATCGAGTGGAAGGACGGGAAGAATCTGACCAAGAAGGAGAAGATCACCTACCAGGTAATTTAGCAGTTTTAACAAAAATTCACCGTAATTTTGGCCGATAAAGTGGTTTAAAAAAGCGCTGGAGTTAGCGAGAGCGACCGCGGGGTTCCCCGAGTTTTCTCGGCTTTCTCTCTTCGATCAGTTGACTTCTGGTTTTTGGAAAATATAGCCTAACTTCTACAGATATTCTCGTAAATATTTGTCACAAATTTGTGTAATTTTGCCCCGTAAATTATCGGTAAATTTGAGCTGAACGCGTGGCTGTTTTTTGAAATTTCCGTATGTTTTTTAAAAATTATTCCTTGGTTGGTTTTATGTTGGATTTGGTTGTTGTTGATTTTGTAATTTTCCAGAGTTATTTCTGAAATATTTGATTTGTAAAAATGATGACCTTGTCGCGGTAGTTCGGAAGATGAGGACAGAATGCGTTGCCGTAGCGTTTCTGTGGATATTTCCAGAAATCAGGTCGTGGTAAATGTGGTGATGCTAATGAATAGTCTGTTCGGCCCAAGGAGCGGATATATGGCTGGTACAGAGCTCGATGTGATTGCGCCTAGTTACGTTTCCGTCAGTTCATGTTTCCTTGATTTTTCGCGTTTGACGGTTGAAGGTAGTCATTAGTGTGAACTGTGAAATGCGTGAAAAGAGCGTGATCAATGCAATCAATAATAAAGTAAAGTGCAAAGTGATTTAGTAGATTGATACGAATTTCATATGACAGTGTGGAGTAGATCAAAAGAAGATGCCAGCTCAAATCTTTAAATGCTTGTTGAATATTTCGATTTTTACTTTAATTAGCGGAATTAATTTGTTCAGTTTTGTATGAATATTATTCCGATATCTAAGGGAATAAATAGCGGAATTAATCAGCTTAATTTCCTAGTGAAATGAATTTGCTCAATTTTTATGCATTAATAATGATTACGGTAAATTACGGAATATTTTTTTTACCGTAAAAAAAAATCACGGGTTAATTGGTGAAATTATTTTGTTACTGTGTAGCGCAATAAGAAGACGGGTGAGCGTCGGCAGATGAAGACGGAGGAAGAGCAGGACACCTTCTTCTCCTTCTTCACCCCGGCCGTCACCGATCTGCGCGCCCTGATGAAATCCCTGTCCGCGGCGGACGACAGCGTGGACACGGAGGTGCGAATGGCCACGGCGCAGAAGATCCAGGACGCCGAGATGGAGTATGAGCTGGCGTCGGTGCTGCGGACGCGCGTCATCCCGCGGGCGCTCCTCATCTTCACGGAGGAGGACGACGAGGATGTGTACAGTGATGATGAGTTCGGGAATGAGGACGATGAAGATGAAGACGAGGACGACGATGAGGACGGCGCGGGCGATGCTGGCGAGGATGAGGACGAGGAGAGCGACGATGAGCCGCCGGCCAAGAAGGGCGGCCACGGTCCCGGCGGGATGAAGAAGGGTGTGGCGGGGACGCCGCCCGGAAAGGGCGCGGCCGGCAAACCGCGGAAGAATTAAACAGGCGTGGTAAGGGGAATTTTACGCATTTTAATGAATTTTTTGTTTGTAAATAAAATTTTTTATTAAAATTATTTATACCGCGGAGGAAATGGGAATTTTCGCGTATTTTATTTGCACATTTATCCGGTATTTTTCGGTTGATGGCGCTTATCGTAGACTTCATAGTTGTAGTAAATTTTTGTGTGATAAAATCTACTTGTGTACCTATTACAATATTTCTTGTATTGTTCTGTTTTCACGGTATGATTGTTATTTTCCTGTCGTAGGTTACACAACTTCTGAAATGTACGCTTTAAATTTTAATATGTGTATTATTAACCCAATAAAATGTATGGGAATTTTTTAATGGCTGAATCATTTTAGTTATTGTTGCGTTTTTTGCGAAATAAATTGTCTAATTATTGTGGTAATTTTTATCTTCGAGTGCGGTACTGTATAATTTTTGTTGTAATTTTCGTATCATAAAATAATTGTATTTATTGCGATTCTTGTGTCTTTTTGATGGATTAGTAATTGAATATAATATAAGCATTGTAATAATTTCGTAATATTATTTTGTAATTATTCCGTTAATTTTGTGATTTTGCTATGAATTGTAGAAATGTTTCTGTTAATTAAGCTCTAAAATTGGGAGTTTGTGTTTGATGTTGCCTTCAGATTTTAATGCTGATTTGCTGCTAATGATTATTGTTCGTTTTGCAGATTGTGTTGAGTAGTCTCACGGCGGTGTTGGATGGAACAGTTTCTTTCCTAACGACGATTATTTGATGATGATGATTGATTGGAAGCGATACGTGTTACTACACTCTACTAAATGTCAAAGAGGTTTTTTCGGTTATTTTACATGTGGCGCGGAGTAGTTGCTTGTTCTTTCCGAGGGACTTGTCGCGGGTAGAATTGGTTGGATATGCTATTTTTTGTATGGTTCTCACTTTACTCTGTCTGTTCTTCTCTCATTTAACGTCCGCTGATGTCGCGGCTTGACGCTGGCATTATTACCCTTGAAATTGGGACGCTTTTTCGGTATTAAAATCATGATTAACGCGAAGAGGATGTGCTGTGGAAAAGGATGGTCAAGTGGCTGGGAAAAATCACGGAATCACGTTGATCAAGTGTTGCTTATACCATGGGTTGCATTTGTGAATGAACGGATTTGACTATCGTGATAAGTGCTCTTAAGAGTCGAAGACTGCTTTAGGGATTTTTCTGTGTAAAATGCGAATGTTGGAAAAAATAATGCAGACCGGTAGAGCTTTCCTTTTTTATTAAATCATTATTCTTTTTAATTATTTTTTTTATTGGTGTGGCGTAAAATAAAAGCCGTGAATATATCACAGAAAGGGGCTCAGTAAACCAATTTAAAAATATGATCACCCGGTATTGCCCGCACTGAAAATAACGAAATTCGTAAATTCAACAATATGAAAAAAAAGTATATCACCGAAAGAGACTGAATTATTAAATAATATTAAATTGGTTTCTAAAATAATGAAGCACATAATAACTTAACAGCACCAAGGCAGTACATCTGTAATTTCTACTATTTATTGCAAAAATTATAAAAATCATTGGTTTTCCCGATTTTTATTGATAATCTCCTAGTAATTACTTTATAATTTCGGATGATTATTTTCGGATTTGTTTTCTTAAGTTTTTATTAATACTCTGTTGCTAACTTATTATTATTGAGTGAATGAAAATCTAAATGGATTAATAAAAATTCAGAAAAATCATTTCAGCCTATATGGATTAACGATAAAATAAAAACCTTACTGGACATTTCTGTGGTGTATTTTGTCATGTGTACAATTAATAATAATTATCTATTAATTGGTACAGAGTGCTGTATACGTTGTCCCTGTATATGATGTAGTGCCGATTACAACGAGACGACAGGATAATTAAAATTGTAAATTTTATGGGAGGTTATTGCCGTGTCAAAATAACGAAGCCGAGTCATCAGGAAAAACAAAGACAGTTAACCAATAAGTCTGAGGATATTTTTTAAGCAGTGAAAGTTGTGTGGATTAAATATGATCGTGCCCGGCAGGCTGGATACATGAATAAAACATTGACACGCCGCTGAAGAATCGCGCGCATCTTTATATATATACATTTAACAGCTGGGCGGATGTAAGAAATAAAATAAATTACACCTGATCTGTCGGATGTACAATGGACTGCCGGCAGATTAAGCGCCGACGCCCAACCGCGAAAATTACTGCGGAACATGACGGTTGTTTAACTTACGATTTCGCTCCGCGGTATATCTTGATGAAATGTTTATTTTACGCCGTGTCGCCGGGTAATTTGGGTCGAGAAATTACTGTCTGTTTGTTATGTTTGATATTCGTGATTTTTTCGGGATGCTGCCGATTACCATGGAAAAATTCTTTACTTATAAAATTTTGGGAATAATTGTTGTCGTGATGCCGGTTGTGTTATTGACTACCAGTCCAACAGTATACGGCGCAAGTACGTATTATTAGCTTTTGTTATATAATATGAATACTGTACTTAAATAACTTTAAATTATGTTTTTAACCGATATTTTACCCACACTTGAGATTCTTCAAAATTGATCTTCCGCAATCCGCATTACATATATCCCATATATAGATATGATTTTATTTTATCAAAATGAATTAATTTTCTAATTTGATAATAATAGCGATTTTCTCCGAGAACGTTTAGGGCTGTGCACGGATTTATTATTATGAGAATAAAAAAGCGCATCTCGATTTTATAAAAAAAAAACAATTTGTATTAAAAGACTTTCCACACAGAAAAGCTCACGTTGTAATTTATTTACGAGCAGACTTTAAGCACAGTATTATACGCAGTCGCTTTGCCCGTTTTGGTGCCATCGTTCTACGTTATTCACAATTTTGCAGATAATAATACGATTATATTTCCGTCAATATACCGTATGAGCCTTAATGGTTGATAAAGGGTGAAGCTCATTATGTACAACAGATTTAATTTGTTAAAGAAAATAAAATATGGAATAATTACAAATAAATCAATATGAAATTACAATAAATACCGAAAATTTCAAATAATTTCATTTAATATGTGGAATTTCCTTACGTGTAGAGAAGCCGCAGACCGCCCGTCCCCGGCAGTACGGCTACTGTCCGCCGCTGTACAACTTGCAGTGCAAGTACCACTGCTACATCAACCAAACCAGCAACTACACACTGACCTACCAGGATGCCGTGGATCTCTGCCAGTCCATCAACGCCACCATGCCCACCATCCGCTCGGCCGGGGAGCAGCGCTGTCTGGAGCGCTACCTGTCGGGGACCTGGTACAGTATCTGGCTGGGACTCAGCATCGCCGAGAACCCGAACAGTGCCGGACAACACGGCTGGCAGTGGGCCGATACGAAGGTCAAGTACGGCGGCTTCACGAAGTGGTCCATTGGTACGGTGACCTTTCTGGTATTATTCCTTAAAATGCAGACTTAAATCCTAGGTGGACACCTAAAACGGTATATACATAGATGTCCACGGGTACAGTTTGTTTTTCAACAGTTACTGTATCTTTCTTTATGAAATTTAAATTGTGTACATATGTGTTGGTCAGGTGATTTTTCGTTATACAGTATATGTAATATCGGACTTAATTTTTGATTCGTTGGTAATAATGATTGATTAATTTACTCGCATCTCCTAGCGTAAACAACAAATGCGTAGATAAATACAGCGTAGAGTTTTAACTAAAATAGCTACTTAAATCGGTTGTATCTACATTTATAAAGTTAAACTCGGAGAGAATAGATATGTAATATGTAAATCAAACACCAGTTATACATCGCAAAACTTCTATACGTATTTGTAATTATGGGTAATTTCATCGACATACTGTTGTATAACACATGTACTTATATATTGATTATTCGGATTCCATGCAGCTGGTTGGCATTTGCCGACAAAATTTAATTTCAGACTACAGAATACAGTACAGTACACTCCTGCAAACGATGCTAGCAGTCGTGAGATATTGTATAGTGCAAAGGCGCCTGCATGCCCACGATGGCACACAAAATTTGAGCGTTTGCTTAAATACGTATCGTACTTACATGTACAAATACAGTACAGCTCTATCGCACCAAGTGTGGACAGTTGCATAAAATAAATTTAAAAATAATTTTGTACGTCATTTTGTTTATTGTTTTGCACTATTCTAGTGTAGTTTTTTATTGCGGATCCAGAAACATCAAAGCCAAGGTCTTTTGATGTGCCAGTAGGGAGACCAGCGCTATTTTAGGGGAGGGGGTAGCGGTCGTTTGTTTTATGCTTATGAATGTTCCTGGAAAAGTATCACCACTTAAGATTTTTGCGTGCAGTTTTTTGGAAGTTATTGAATGATCCACAAGGTGTCCGTTACGCGCTATCAAAAGCATCATGCTAATCACTGCTTGCGGTGATCCCGGAAGAAAGTGGTTCTCCCATAGACTTCTATGGTAAAAAGGACATACCGAGAAATGCGGTTGCCTAGCACATGGAGCTGAGTGACCTCGAACTGATAACTTCCATGAATCAGTCGTGGGTCACGTTAGCTTATTTTAGAGTGTTGACAAATATCAAGAACACAGGCGAGTAGGTATAAGTGCCGGACGAATGGAAGAAAAAACCATTAAAGCGGCGACTAAAAAAAGCTAAGACTGCTGCTTAATGTTGCTGGAACGAGATGCCTCGGGCTTACTGTGCGGACGAAAAGCTTAAAAAAGACGCCCAATACCTTCTGAATGAGATTTTACCAAGAACGGGTGCTTGCGACATTCGGCGGCTGTTCGTCGAAGGCGCAAAGGAGGTCATCCCCGTATATAACGAGGCCCGCCGTAACTTTGCAAAGGTCACGCAGGCTTCATGGGATTCGATAGGTGTCCTGCATATATCGCAAGAGCCTTGGTTGCGAAACAGCCCTAACGTATTAATTTTGCTTTGCGGCATCAGTGAAATTTTTAAACAAATTTTAAGTCGGAAGATGGCAACCATAGTCAATGGGTCGAGCCAAATTTTAAAACCGGTCGGTTTTGATCTTTATATCGCAGTAAATTAGAACACGCTTTCAGCAGGGCAAACCAAAATGCAAAACATGCTAAACACATGCAGCAACCATATCAAAATAAAATAATTATAAATTTGTCGACTCCTGACCTTTAGTGATTTTTGAGAAAAAGTGTCCACACTTGGTGCGATAGAGCTGTATAAGCTTTCCAAACTTTTTTTTACTAATTTTCGGGTTAAAACTTCTACATTTCTTTTCGTTGACAAGGGGTGTGCAGTAGCAGCAGTACTCTGTACATAAAACGAGAATTTCAATTCTCAACTATTTCAAATAATCTTCATTAGTAAAATTTATTGGAAACTGTTTTAAACAACCTCTATTAATAAATTTAACCGTGATAAGTCCGTCTGTAAATCTGTATAAAATTATGCAATACGTAGTACATACAGTATTAGAAGCTTGCCGCGTTTGATGGTGTATTGGTGTATATGATAGTTATTGTTTTAGAATATCGCATATTGCTGCTACAATTACCAATAATAATTTAAGTATTTTTGTATATCAGTTATATTCCCGGTATAGAATTAAAGATCACACGTAGTCTTATCTCCCACTGCTGCCGTTAATAGGGGAACCACGGCCTAGTACGGTCAGCGACCCGCGGGAATGCGCCGAGATGAGCGCCGTGGTGGGACAGTGGCGCGCCACCGATTGCGACACTTTCCGCTACGGTGTCCTGTGCGAAACCCCCAGTCTACCCTTTCCCGATATGACAACGACCGCGGCGGCCGTTACAGAAAGCGAGCCGGAGAACCCGGAGGATGACGAAACGACCACGGTCACAACAACAGTGACAACGGCGACGACGACAAATGCTACCACAACAAGCACGACTGTGACGCCGCCAACCACGACGGAAACCAGTACAACGACCGCGGCAACCACCCCAGCCAACACCACACAGATCTCCGGTACAAAACACCTTGTCTTATTTCTAGGACAAAATGTCTCGAAAGTATCTTTCGATTTTGTAGTTATTCTTTGTGCGCCGAAAAATAAATATTTTTTTTTACACGTGTATGATTTAATACAGTGTATCAGTGAATATAGCTGTGTTATTTAAGCTGGCAATTTTTGGACGTATATTTCTCGATTAGACCTTCGGAAAATTTTAACCGGCAAAGTTCTCCTTCCACAATAATTGTTACAGTTCAAACTGCGCGCACGAGAATCGGTGAAAATAATAATTTTGATTATATTGGTAATTCCTTAGGTAACACAACTGCGATGACGTCACTGCAATTCACCGACAATCCCAACGTCAAGGGCAACGTGTCGGCCATGTTCACCGACGCCATCCTGGACTTTATCACCAGCGCCCTCATGTTCACACACCGGAAGCCCAACTCCACTACCAAACATAACGTGCAACACAGCCAAAACGTCTCGGTCATCATCAACAACTCGACGGATTTCAACGCAACGCTGACCGAATCCACCACGACACCGATTCTTAGTTTAAACAAGGCAGTGGACATTTCCACAGTTGCGACAACAGTGTCAACCACGGCACGGGCGGCGACGAGCGATGGATTCGTGCTACCAACGGATCTCCCGGTGTTCGACACGAATGCAAAACCGACAATGGTGACAACGACAGCGGCACCAAGTGTGTCGTCGGTGTCGCAAAATTTGTCTCCAAATGTGTCGCCAACATCGTCAAGTTTCTCACAACTGTCGCCAGGTTCGTGAACTTTTTCACTGGTATTGCTAGATTTCCCAGCATCCTCTTTGTCACCAATGTCGTAAAAGTTTGTCACCAGTGTCGCTAATATTGTTTTCAAATTCGCCGCCATTACTAATTTGCCGATTTTGTCACCAATGTCGTAAAATTTGAATGTCGTCAGGTTCGCCGACTTTGTCACCAATGTCACCCAGCGTCCAGTGCTTCACCATGGACCGTTTCACCCTGGAATGCCGACGCGGCCACCTCAACATCAGCGAGACCAACATGGAACTGATCAGCGCCACCACGGCGGTGTACAACGGCGACAACAGTTTCGACTGCCGCACGGTCCAGTTCAATCTGCACCGCTGGATCCTGGAGCAGTTGGGCGTACGGGAGCGGCGCTCCATGAACGACATGGTGCGCATCGTGTGCAGTCGCGGCAGCTTCGACGTCAGCGATCAACGTCCGGGACTGTCCGACACGACGTCCATCGAGTTCGCCACCAATCTGTCGGCCAAGTGTATGACGTACTTTACGGCATTTATCGAGTACATGATTCGTGTGTACCGGTCACTACAGGACGCCGAGAAAAAAGATGGCGAGCAGTGAATTTTTAAAAACTGTTTTTGCTTTATTTTGCGTGCCAGTATTGTACACATAAATACGATTGTTAAAATAATTATAAAGATTTACTGATTTTCTGATAAACTGAGGAAATTCGGTGGTGTGAAAATCCCGTGATTTGCAGCACTGTGGTGAACGGTTCAAATAAACGTATCCGAATCTACAGTTTTTACAACACATTTTAATGTTATCATAAGCTTATGTACCTTAATAGACGCATATTGCATACTTTAAATTATTTTTGGATGAACCTATTCGATTACTATTAAATATTGGTTAATTTCCCTCTACACTAATTTCCTTTGTTTATCGAAATTTCCTTTGTGCTTGTACAGAATGATCATTCTGTACAAGCACAAAGGAAATTTCGAACTATGTTTCATGAAACATAGTTCACAATACTGTACATAATACGTTGCACTAAAGCACAGGTGAATTCTGACGATGAAATAAATTTTAACAATTTATTTTTTGCTGTTTATTTGTGTTGTGGTATCCGATACCGTATGTATACTTTATGCAATCTCGGTAGTTTTATCTGTCTTATTGCATGTTGAAGAAAACAATACGGCAGACTTGCGTGAGCGCTGCATGACAAAATGTTACCGATGAGCGGTAATAAAAAATCACGCGGATATGACGTACATTAGAAAAACCAGCGCTAATAAAAAAATGATCAACATCCCGCGGGCAAACGTATCTCGTCAACAGACACTGCCGATCATGGTATCATCACGCAATTTCCCACCACAAACGGTTTGTTTACTAGCTCACCGATGGAGGGTGCCTAGATCGACCGGTAAAATTTTCGTAACACACTGCCACATAGTTTTTTACGAGAATTATGGAAAACAAATAATCTGATTGGTCGGTTATTTTTCCATGCATTTTTGTCCCTCAACCGTACAGTTTAAGCTTAATACGGTAAAGATGCAACAGAGTACGTACAAACTGACACTGTTCCGCTGGAAGTGGGAAGGATTCCGTGCGTATTACGTGGTAACTGGAAGAAAAACAAAGTAATAAATTTGATGTTTATCAGCAAAAAAATTCACCTTGCGTGAGCTCAAGGAGAGACGTCAGAGCGGTATAAAAAGCAGGGGAACACGGAACACTGTATCTTTCCCATAACTTCTCCAACTTTCTTATCAAGCTGAATCAAATTTTCCTTAGTAAATTTTAAATGTCAACCATGTCGCCTGTAACGGTTTGTCTGCTTGTATTAACAGCCGTCACCGCTGCTACCGCCATTGCCGCTAATAACGACGCGGCTCTGGGCGAAACATACTCCGTTAACGTAGGTTACCAATGTTCTAGCGTGTGCGGCTGTCTTTTTTACTCTGGTTACTAGCGGTCACCTTCTGGTAAGCGATGGCTACAGCGGGTCACCAACGGTTTCACTTAGTATTGATACTCGATACTGCACCCATAACTACGCACTTTAAATTTCGCTACAGCCTTTTAATAACGGCATAGAGACCCAGTTATATGCGATTATCTGAAGTTAACCAGCCACGAATTGTGACCTTTCTCGTTGTTTTCAGGCCAATCAGCTGCTGTTACGCGTTCGCTCCCTGATCGACCGCTCCCCGGTGTCCCGCGTGAAACGTTACGCTTCGACCGATTGCAAGGAGATCATGGTGTTGGCGGTGGCGGCCTTCAAGCCGTGCAAGAGCCTGGTGGATGCCGGTTACACGAGCAGTAAGTGCCGCTCCAACCGCTACACGGTCTACGAAGGACTGGCCGCCTGCCTGGACGAGACCAGCGGGGACGATCGGGATTTCCTCTTAACCATCTACCGTGCATGGAGAAATCTCGATCTGTAAAAAAACACGCCACAAGGTCCATCGTCGGCGCAGCTAGCCATTAGTTACTGTACATAATTTCTGTAGTGTTCATACATGTAATTGTACGAGCTCGTATCGCTTGTCAGCCGTTTTTTGGGCGTTCATAATCAAGTGCTGTAATTCAGTGTATCACTGAGTCTTTATCTTGTCTTGCTTTTTGTGCAATAAACTGGTAATCTTTAACTCGACGGAACCGCTGATTTCCTTCGATTACGAACACGTAACAGTAACCGGCATATTAGCATTCATCGGGTCTCACAGCACGGTTTCGCGATAGAAAAGTTTTTTGTTCATAATTCCCCTTCAGTTTTCCTACCGCTTAAACGCTTCACGCTGTGAAAAACTACCGGCATCGTTTACCGGCATCGTTTACGCTTTTACGAAAATACCGGCATCGTTTACGAAAATACCGGCATCGTTTACGCTTTTTACAAGACGTAATGATGATAAACATGCCCGAAGGCGAAGTATATTGCTCGATGTGTATATTGCTCAGGTTTCACGCTTGCCGCTACTCTGCAGCTGCTGTTTGCTTTTTGTTCACATCTAGGCAAAAGACAGTCAAGACAAAAACGTCCAATAAAACCTGCCAATATTAAATTGTGGCGGCACAGTGTTTTAGTTGGCACACGAGCGACGGAGACTCACGCGATATCATCCTCAAGGCGATGCGTGATCGCATCTGATCTGATAACCAGGCACGCCGCTAAATACACTGTACCTGATTACTCACAAAACACCCATTAAAACGGTTTTCTATTGAAGTGTTTAACAAGTTAAAAATTAGGAAGTTTATACCAAATAAACTGTACCAGTAAAATGTAGGAACAGAAGCAGTATGCGCTTCATTTTAACGCATGCGCAAAGAAGCGCTTCTCTTTTCGAACCAAGATTTTTTACGCGCTTTGGTTATATGTTCTTGTCACGTTTCTTAATTTAATTACTGGATTTTTTAATAGTGAACCGACAGGTTGAATTCAGTTGTTAAATTTTTTTATTGTTGAGGAATATTGGGAGACTGTATATTCTGTCCGTTCCAGTTATTCATCACCCCAGAAACAACCGTCACTCGTGACAGCTAAATAAACACCATACACCACGCGAACCTAATTAAGCGCTACATGATAAATCTTTGTACGTTATTGCCGACAAAAACCGCCACCAGTGAGTATGCTGTATTTGCGGATGCCGGCAGCATTTACAAGTCCAGGCTCTTCCAGGCTTCGTAGACGGTGAAGAGGTTGCTGCGGTCGGTTCCGCTGACGTCATCCAGACAGGCCGCCAGTCCCACGTACACGTAGCCACGCGTCTCGCGGCATTTGCTGCTGGTGTAACCGGCCATTACGATGCGGTAGCAGGGCTTGTACGCCACAACGGACGCCGAGATGATGTCGCGGCAGTCGGACGAGGCGTAGCGCTTGACACGGTCGCTGCGGGCGTGATCCAGTAACGAGTTGACTTGTGTGTTCACATTCTACACAAATCAATTTATTACACAAATGAAACGAACGTTACCACGGTTACATGCGTCGAGACTGCTGTTACCGCTGCTGATAGATTATCTATAGGTTACGGTACGTAAACTGCATTAGCAACCGCTAGCTTTACCTTTGGAATACAAAAAGGTTACGAGCCTTAGATTGCACTGGTGGCATCCAACATCACGATACGCTTACGTTGTTGTTGTGTTTGCCATACAACTGACTTTGCTTACCGTCAGCGCGTCACCGACATTGAATGGGTCATCACTTGGTGCTCCGCCTGTTAAGCTGCTCCATGGGGATTGTGCGGCATTTGTCGCCAGCAGGAAACTACCGGTTAATGCGACAAAGAAGAGTACGCTCGACATTGTAATACCGTTGCGTTTAAAAGTGAAACACTGGAAAAGTTTGTTGCTGTTTGTATTTGAACGAACTACTGAAAAAACTTAGGACTAATGTTCCTTTATATATACAAAACATTCGCCCTTGACACGTAAAAAGGTCAAGGTGGTCGTAAATCACCCCTTACCGAAAAAAGCGGTCGACCAAAATAAAGACCAAGACGCCGTGCATGTTCCATTGCGCACACGTTCCTTGGAAAAAAACATATACGACGAAATCAAATGCTCATAAATTCCACAGGTGACATACGTAATTAATCATGATTACCAGGTTGATGCAACCCATCAGCGAATTATCATCAGCCATGATTCACACGTGTACATCCACAAAAAAAACACAGTTTGTATGCAGTTGGTGTAAAAAAGTCGGTTTGTCGCTGCCGGGCATTTATTGCATCGAGCACACGGAAATTACATCATTTCGCAGCTGTCTGGAATTACCGGATATCCAGACAAGCATAATACAATTAATGTGACAGCCTGTCGCCGCCTTACAGACAGATCCGCACAGGCCGCTCATTTCGATGGCGTTTTGACGTCATTTGCTGGAAAATTTGCAGAAGTGGCATGTTTAATGTTTGGCGTTGGGCCTGTTTATTTAGGAACCATTTGGCCTTCCTTTCATTCAATTAATTTAAGAGTTTTTCCGTTATAAAGAAAAGATGACACTTTTCTTCGCTATCACCTATTCGATTCTATACCTAACAGGTTAATCTATTTTAATTACTGTGAAGACAAGACCTCAGGGCACTTGAGAGTCTGGTCAGTTGGAGAACAACCTCAGCAACAACAAAGCAAAAAGTGTAATGACGTACACGCAGAGAAAAAACTATTCCTAAAACTATTACAAGCTATTCTTACAGTGCACAGTAATTTAAATAGAGCGAAAGGTGACTTGTTGGGGATCGCCGAATTGGAGGCTAACGCGCTTATTTTTCTAAATCCCATAATCGATGTTATGCTTGACGCTTCGTAACTGACTGTCCTACTTCAAATTCAGTTGAATTGCAACACTGTGTTCTTCGCTACTTCACTGCACTACTTAAACGATAAATTCGATTTTGGTTTAATCAAATCACCGGGAGAATTTTTGTGGTGTTAGCAACAAAAGTGTATTGTACACTTGTCGTATTGGTCATGCTAACCAGTCAAATACTGGTTACATTTACTCACATACGCTTTTGTATTCTTCTAGACCATTTTTACAATACAACAATTACAGAAGCACAAAAACAAATACAAATACAACGTAGAAAGTGAATTGCGCCCGAAAAATTTACTAGGATGCTGTTGCGTACAATAAAGGTTCATTTCTTCGCAATGAAAACCTTTTCTTGTTGCTCTTCTTGTTGACGGCGAAGAGATTGCTGCGGTCGGTGCCGGTGACTTCAACCAGACAGGCCGCCAGTTCTACGTACACGTAGCCGCGCGTCTCCCGGCATTTGCTGCTTGTTGTAACCGGCCATTACGATGCGGTAGCAGGGCTTGTACGCCACGATGGACGCCGAGATGATGTCGCGGCAGTTTGAGGAGGCGTAGCGCTTGACACGGTCGCTGCGGGCGTGATCCCGTAGCGAGTTGACTTGAGTGTTCTTAGTCTAAACAAATCAATGTTAAGTTGTTTACGCGTATCACGCCTGCGCAACAACGAAGCGATTGTGGTTGCATGCGTCGGGACTGTTGTAACCGTTGCATACTTAATCAAAAATATTAGAAAGGCTTTCTGCCTTCGTAGCAGCACTCATTACCGTTAGATTACCAGGTTGCTGGCCTTAGATCTGCAATGATCTGACAGCATTGACCGTTACGTTACGCCTACGGTGCCATAGCGGTTGCAATTTAATCCACGCTGCTTACCGTCTGTGAGTCGCCGACATTGAAAGGGTCATCACTTGGTGTTCCGCCCGTCAAACTGCTCCACGGAGACTGCTGTGCGCCAGTGGTAGCCAGAAGAAGGCGCCGGTAAATGCGACAAAGAACGGTGTGGTTAACATTGTGATACCGTTGCGTCGAAGCGTAATACACTAGGTACACTTATATCCCTGCTTGTGTTTGCACGATTCTGGATAAACACCGGATGAACTTATATACGGTATAAAAAAATTTGACCTTGAAACGTGCAAAGATCTAGGTGGTCGTAAATCACCTGATACCGAAAAAAACCTGCCCAACGAGTAGCCGTATTGCAAGCTCCATCCCAAAAACAACAGACAATCAGGTAATCATCTGCTTCTTTCGAACACGTTCCTTGGAAAAACACATACGATGAAATCAGATTTTCTCATATTCATATAAGATTCACATGCGACATACGCAATTAATCACGAATACCAGGTTGATGCAACCCATCAGCGAATCATCATCTGCCATAATTTACACGTGTACATCCATAAAAAAGAACACAGTTTGTGTGCAGCTGGTGTAAAAAAGCCAGTTTCTCGCTGCCGGGCGTTTGTTGCAGCAAGCACAAGGAAATTACATCATTTCGCAGTCTGGATTTACCGGATATCCAGACACTTATGACAAAATGTGACAAGCCTGGCACCGCCTTAAATCCGCGTTGGTCGCTCAGTGGGACTGGCGCTCTGACGTCATTTCTACATTGGAATAATTAATCTTGTTTTTATTGCTGTTCCGACAATCGTTTGCCGGCTCTTTCTGGAAGCGTCCCGCGCATCGACAGTTTGCGCAGGTGTCACGTTCAATATCCGGTTTTTTTGCGCCGTGTGATTTGTGGAGCAATGGGCAATTTGACATTCGTATTCGGCTACATAATTTGAGCGTTGTACCTATATAAATTATAAACACCAACCATATAGTTGCTCGTAATCACCTTCCATTCCTGCACTTTTTAACAAGTAAAGCTATCTCGACTTTTGGCGCAATCCTATCGTCAGGCGAAATTATAGCAATGGCTAGTAAAACTGTTTTGTTTGTAACATTGGCCGGCAGTTTTCTGCTGGTTTCCTCGGCTTCGCTGAATCTCTCAGGTGGTGAAACGGTCGCGGATCCGTTCTCCGTCGGGGACACTTTAACGGTAAGCAAAACAGACGCGATTAACTTGCAGACTGGCGATATTAATGAACTTTTGCATTGGTTACCATACAACAAAAGTGTTCCGCTTTTGTAAGCCTGTTTTATAACAGGAGCAGAAACAGTAATGTATCAAGTGTGAAAGCAGAATTACTTTTTTGTATTGCTCCTAGGATTGCGGGTGTCAATTTCTATTCCGCACTATAAGAAACACTTTCTACTTTGTATTCCATTAAAAAAAGCTAATACAAGGTACAACATTCAAAAGGTGAAAACTTTATTAAATTATTCGTGCAGTTAAAAATCCATAACAGTATTTGCTACAACGATATTGAACAAAGAGTTGTAATCACGGTTACGTAAACAAAGAGAGGTGACAGCAGTCAACAACTGTATTTTCATTCTTTTCACTAACCGGTTTCCACTGGTTTTTGCCGTGCATTGTACAACAAGTGCATTAGCTGGCGAGCAGCTGCAAAATACAGGCGGTGTTATAATTTTGTGTCTGTTTAGAATTTGGAGACTCAAGTCAACGCGATGATGGATCGCGCCCGCACCCAGCGCGACAAGCGCTACGCTTCCGACGACTGCAGCGCCCTCATCGACGCCTCGGCGGTCGCGTACAACTCCTGCGCCCGCATCGTGAGAGCCGGTTACACCAGCCGCAGCTGCCGGGAGACGCGCCTCAACGTGTACATCGTTCTGGGGGCCTGCCTGCGCGAGGTCACCGGCGTGGATCGCGAGAATGTCTTCACCATCTACGGCGCCTGGAAGCGGTTGGATCTGTGAGATGGCGAAGCGGATGTCCGGCTGATTCCTCCTTCTGGTCAGCGGAACACAGTACGATGTTCTTTCATGAATTCATATATGCGAATGCTCAGAAAAGCTGCGATCTTTAGTGCTTTACCATATTACGACCTGTGTCGAATCATGTCTGAAAGTTTACTTTTAGTTTGGTTGTGGTTTTTTTTCTGGTAGTTTCTGGCAGCTTAAATGTTGCGCATGGATGACATTTTTTTATCTCATGGTGTTCGAAAAAAATGGGTCCTTGGTTATTTTGCGTTTGAAGAATACTAAAAAGTGGTGTTTGCTCGATTCCAGTTACCGTAATCATAGCCGTATTGGTGACCTTACATTCTTCCAATCCATACAGCTAGAAGCATTCTTGAAGCGCAGAATAACAAATATGAACATGCGCACAGAATACGTAGCGCCGTTAAATGATGTGCTTTATTAACAAGCCTGATTAATCATACATACGCGGAAACCGAGACGGTTATCAGTGATAATTTCATGATACCATTTCTGTGATATTTTTCAGAAATATTTTCCGGGTTATGATTAATACCGGCTCGCTTGAGATAATGTCGGTGCTATAAGTTTCCTTGAATGTACAAAGCGAATAGAACACCAAATGGAAACAGTTTGACCATGTAATATCGGGAACATGTAACACTGTTTACACCGGTGACTGCGCCGCCCACATCGCCACGGTGGTCCGCGTCGTTGTGGCGGCAACCGCAGTATGACGCCCATGTAACACAGGAAGGATTAATGTGATACTGAAGCAAAGCCACATTTCCGGGAGCTTAAATTACTGTCTTGTTTATTTATTTAACTGTTGAAGACCACACATCACAAACTCACAGCATGCTCTCGATGCCGAAACCACGGAAATCCTTTTTATTAATCTTAAATAAGTGGTAGACTTTATAAGGTCACAAGTCACAGCGCGATCTGGACGGCAAATGTACTGTTTTATTTATCTAGTTTCATTTATTTATCATACTGTGAAAATGCCTTTCAAAGCATGGTTTAAGCGCTGATATTTTCTCCGTGACGATTTCTCCGGATGTCCCCATGACGATTTCTCCGTCGCGGCCGGGACACTGCGCTACAGCACTTTTCCCACCGGCAACTGTACCGTTCACATCGCCACGAAGCTTCGAGGCGGCAAGTGTCGAGCGACACCAACGTGGTATATGAATATCAGGTCAGTACTAGTACTCGTAGTATAGTACTCGCTCCCCTCTATTACACTTTAAAGGATTTGGCCCACTACATACCGGTAGGACCAAATTCGTGTACAGAGGGACTTTCGCTGTCACCAGACATCCAGGGGAACATCCAGGGGAACTACATCCAGGGGAACATCCAGGGGGGGATACATCCAGGGGAACACCCAGGGGGGATACATCCAGGGGAACTTTCGCTGTCGCTCACAAATACGTTTTTGTACTGCTTTGTGATATTTTGTAGGCAAAGGATTTGTATATGTAGGCATGGAATCCTTTCGCGCGCGCACATCCGGTTGAAAAGCTATGGGTGAATCAAAATTCCAATAAGTTTAAATGTATTCGGGTGTACCAAACGTCTCATTATAAACCGATCTTCTTCAAATTTTGCACGTAAATTCGCATTAGTTAAAGATCGTCTTTGCACCAAACCACAGTTACACAACCTTTTTCAAAAGCTTTAAAATGATTTAAAAAATTTGTAAAATTCATTTAAAGTTTGAAAAAGGTTATGTAACTTTGGTTTGGTGCAGAGACGATTTTTAACTAATGTGAATCCTTTTAAGTAATGTGAATTTACGTGCAAAATTTGAAGAAGATCGGTTCATAATGAGAAGTTTGGTGCACCTAAATGCATTTAAACTTTTTGGAATTGTGACTTTTTGGAAACACCCAGAACTTTCCAACCGAATATTGCGCGCGCAAATGGATTTCACGCCCACGTGTACAAATCCTTTGGCTACAAGGTATCATAAAGCAATGGAAAACGTGTTTATGAGTGGGCGAAGCGATTTTTCACCTTTAACTTTTATTATGCAATTATCGATACCAGGAGTGCAACCGCGCCTCCAAGTTTGTTGTTCTAATTGCTGTAGCTTACTAGTCATCCTACCACCATTGAATGGGTCTTTTTCTGACGAGCATGATTTTAGAAACTTCGTTTCCGTTAAAATATTTTACTCCACTGTAGCATAACAACTCCAACATTTAGCTGCATAGGTTTGGCTTGACATTTTCCATCTCCTATCAAAATTTAACGGGTGGTAATGGTTAGTGGGCACGCATTCAGGCCACCTGAGCCGCAAATGCCGGGAGTAACTAACCCTAACGATCGGAGGCAAAACAGGATGAACACTACTTCTAGCCAAAATATCCAGGAGTTACCTAGAGCGTTTAAGTTGTCCGTCCAGCGTGAAAAGCTGACCACGCAGTCACGTCGTGAGCAGTAGCGAGTGCGTACATCTAATATGGCCCTTAGATCGGGGTAACGATGAGCAGTGACTCCCCATTTCCTTGACGGAAATTCGTCGATCTGGTGACCATCAACGCAGTGTAGTCCTTATATAATAGTTTTGGTCACGCCACATACCAAAACGTACCCGCCAGGTATTTGGAACCGGCACTGTAGATAGGTTTTACCGTGATAGAACGGTTAAAGAAGTTGTAGAAAGTTCAAAATTATCTGTACGGATTCACAGGAAATCGAACATCCCCGATGGCGCCGCACTGTACATCCTCCGGACGGACAACGGCACGCATTGGACGACGGTAAAGATCATCGCCGGCGGGCGTAGTGCAGGCAATTCTTATCCCCCTTCTGTGGCCCAGCTGAAAGCAGGTGCCATCTCCTTAACGACACAGCTGAGAATTGTGTACATTGGCGATGGGATTCACCGTGCAACGAATTCCAGTCATTATGAACTGGAGATCGAGTATACCGTACTGAACGGTATGCTGCTTTTTAACAAGGGAAGAGGACTTTTGTAACGGATGGTTGAGCTGATTTATACAGAACTGGTACCATCTGCTGGGCTTTATCCTTTAAATTTTAACGATGCAAGAAGCGAGTTTTTCCGTATCTAAGGCCGGTACCCCTAATTCTCCTAGTTGTCCCTGTTTTCTATACAGATATCGATGGTTTATTTAAAGTATGGTGTGAAGCGTTGGGTGCTCATATTTACCGGGATATCGCCTGCGAAGACAGGACTCGCCTCACATGGCCCAGTGATTACTATGACACTGTCAATCGGAATCCAGCCACTGGCTTTGGTACTTGCGGTACGAGATGTATTTACTACGGCACTCCCTTGCATTTAGCAAATTACACTTTCTTTTTATGACAATAAGGGGTTTCCGATTTCCGCAACAGCTTTATACGCGTCCGATAATCTGCTTACCCACGTCAAAAAGTTTTTTCTGAATTATATCAAAATACTACAACATATCGGTAGTCTGTCACAACGTATACCGACGGCAATATTTGGGCAGCCGTTTAGAAACCAGATTTTATATCAGTACAAATTTATATCGAAGTTACACCTTTTTGCTAAACTTTCATAAAAGCTTGCTCGTCGATTGGCATAAAAAAATTGTCTCAACAAAGAAATGCCAAAAAATTATTTCAATTTATGTATCGCAATCACTGCGCGCGAAACGTTCGTCCGGTACTCAGGTATAGCCTAAAAAAAGTGTAGTTTTAGCGCAAAAACAAATGTCGGTCGACCGACATAAATTACCAGACCTTGCAGAAATAATCGTACTTATAACTGCAATTTTTTTAAAAGACATATTACTGTAGACTTCGCTTTTGAATGCATCGCGAACAAAATGTTTAGCGTAAAAACGCCCGCGCGTTGACAATAAAACTGTTGCTACAAAGTACAGTCAATGAAAGCTTCTGTTTTGCCTCCTCTGATTGGTCAAGCGGCAGCTTCGGTGTTCACAGCACGTTCACGTTCAGCGCCGTTGTGCCGTCTCTGCTTCTGAAAACTAACTTTGAAATTCACAAGTTTTTGCTTTCTAAAAGCCATAATTTTTAATTACGATTCTGCATAACCATTTCCAAGTTTTCTGTTATATGGCTGTCGACAGCCAGATTTGTTTTCAGCATTTCCGTAAACAGTAATAGTGCTGGCATTCTGTATCGTAAAGCTGCCAGACGCAGCACGTCTGTGGAAGTACGCGCAAGAGCGCGTTCCCGTCTGCGATGCTGCGAAGACCCACGAGTTTTGTACTGATTCTACGGTAAGAACTTCAATGAAACCTCGAAAGATAAACTACGGACTAATAGAAATCTGTTTGTGTCAATGTTTTCAGGTCGTTAGAATATGTCGCACAAGGGGAACATTGTGCATGACGACATGCAGTAAAACAGAAGGTACACGTTTGATAAATGATCGTCAAAAGCCTGCATTTTAGTGGTGCTTTTTATTTAAGATGAATTACTTCACAAAACAAATGGCTCGTTTAATCGCCAATACTAGAGCAAAATACAGTCTTTATTTGCTTAAGACGAATTTTTAGCTGCATGTCGACATGCAAGCGTTTAAATAATACAAGGTTTCTAATATAAGGTAAACAAAAATTTTCTTTGTATAGCAAATAAAACTTTTATCTGCGCATGACTTCAAGCTCGTATTTCTGTTCTTTTAATTTTCGAAAAAATAAACCACAGAAATCATAAGATTTGTTGCTTGCAGTTTGACTGGTAATAAAAATAATGATAATGTTAGAAACGTTTCCTTTTTCAAAAAATTTTGAATGAATAAACATGATTTTAGTTTTAAAGTTTCTTTTGATCATTTAACTGAATGTTTTGTTTGCAACAATAATTTAAATTTTTAATTTTTTTAAATGCAGTTGCATCTCAACATGCATGCGTTGCACAGAAAAAATCAGACGATTAGCCAGAAAAAAATACTGTCGAGTACAGGACTTGTCGTGTCACTTGACCGTAGTGGAATGCATATCCAGAGATATCTAAACTATCTGTGGTTAAAATGCGCTGAATAAATTTTTTGCAGGATCAATGAATGAAGGCTCTGTTTCGTCGGTTTCCGGAAAGCAGTATCGCCGTGAAACGCATGGATGTCGACATCCAAAATTTACAACTGAATACCACATGTTACCTTTTATTGATTTTATGCTGAACTGCTAAAAGCGTATTTTTTCATGAAATAATTGAATAAGCGTGTAATTTAAAAAAAAGAAGGTCGCTTTTATATACCTGAATAAATATATTTTACATCGATTACTCATATCGAAATCGGTCATTTTAGTATAAATCTAAGGGTTATTACATGGCCTATAATATCTACATGTGATTCAAAAGCTACCATTAAACTATATCAGAATTATGACGAGGGTTATATTCAACAGATTTGTGAACATTTCTAGAATGGAGCAGTAGCGAAATCATCGGCACCGTCATCGGCTGCATTATTGGCCTGATAATTTTCGGCACTGGCGGTGTAATCTGGTACAATAGAAAGGGCCGTTTCCTCTGCCGATCCCAAAAGCGAAAACGCGATATTATGGCCAGCATTGTTGTTTCTACCATATATTAGAGATCCTTTTATTTTGTGTGGATTAATGTTGAGGAGTACATACAACTATGACTGCTGTCGCGTGTATTAAGAAGCAACGTTTCACATTCTGGCAAGCTTGAACCACAATTGTGAACCCTGAAATGCCAGTATTACAGGATCCCCCTGTAATTTCTCCCGAGCGTTTCCGTCAGTTTTCCCTTACAGCGTGAAATGTAGTATGTACTCTGACACGTTTTACATATTAAATCATTATGACAAAAAAAATAAATCGAACGAAGAGTAAACTGTAGAAATCTGGCGCGACGGGGTAGAATGGGACGACCGATGCTTATAATTAGATTTTACGCGGAACCAGAGGTGTCTGTTGTTTAATTGTCCAGGATTTTGCCTCTGTGGTGTTTTCACAATTATTTTAGAAATAATGCTGCTGCGGCAAAATAAAACAATACAATACGCGGCCATTTGCAAGCTTACCTATTTCTCTTGATATTAAACTGATGCATGTATTATACGGCATTTAAATATGGGGATCGTGTGCGTAGTAGAGATGCACCGGCAGTGCGGTTAGACCACGAGGCTCGGCCGTCATCAGTACTCTCATAGCATATAGGCCACAAGCGGCCAAGCGGCCCGCGCTCAAGCTCTGACTCTGACTCAGACTCTGACCGCTCAAACTCTGACTCTGACTAATCAAAGTCTGACTCTGACTGTCCAAACTCTGACTCTGACTGAATAACCTAACCTAAGAATAACCTAAGAAACCTAAGAAAACTAAGAAACCTAAGAAACCTAAGAAACTTAAGAAACCTAAGAAACCTAAGAATAACCTAAGAATAACCTAAGAAACCTAAGAAACCTAAGAAACCTAAGAAACCTAAGAAACCTTAGAAACCTAAGAAACCTATTAAGAAACCTAAGAAACCTTCAGAGTCAGAGTCAGACTTTGGGCGGTCAGAGTCAGACTTTGAGTAGTCAGAGTCAGAGTTTGAGTGGTCAGAATCAGAGTCAGAGTTGGAGTCTAGGCCTCTACAGGCCCCTACCGGAACACGGCGCAATAACGCTGCTCCCACCGGTAACCGCGCCTTCCACAAAGCCACAAACAGCCCCTCTTTGCGACAGTAACTGCATGCAGTACGACGCCTACGTTAACTTGGGAGTGAAAGCCGACTTACCGTACCGCGTATGTATCTGCTCTTCGGACGGTGGTGTCCTGTATGGTTACTACACAGCTGTAACAAAGACCATACGATGACAATTAATACCATAATTGTTACAACAACGAGTGCTTAACTTACCGGCAGATGTTGTGTAATTATTTATTTTTGTTTTGCAAATGTGTGAATTTGTGGCTGCCCACCCATGACCATCTCTACGAATCTTTATAGTTTTAGAAAATACGTTCACCATACTGTCGTGATCTTGTTTTAATCCCTTACAGAACTCTGTACGTATTTGTCACTTGCTGGATGGCACCATTTTTTTCCGCGAAAATCTTCTTACTGATGGCCCTTATATATGGGGAAAACAATAGCATGGTGTTTTCATAGCATTGAATTACTCTTGAATTCAGTGAGATTGAAGAACGGCTAACATGGAACACCTTGAACGCCCGGCTGGGATGCGCCGCATCACGTACACTTCAAATTGACTCCGAATATTGAACACTTGCCTTACAACGAACACTTTTAAAGGAACCGCAGATGTTTAGATTCCACAGGTATTCTGTTTATGTAAGCGGAAAATATGCTTTCTGTTTATTTAACCGGCTGATAGCAGGAAGATTATTATTATTGCAACGCGCATCTAAAAGGTTAAGAGGGTCTGTTTCCTTGATACCCATTCAACCGTGCGTAACGTATTACTCTTGTGCTGTTGAATGAAACATGTTAAAAATTAAAATCTACAAGCGCAACATTCTCGTCCGTCGTCTCTAAAGTTTTTAACTGTACTGTACAATGCATAAGTTTTTCATTACTCGAGCATTCCTCGAGTTTTTCATTACTCGACATTTCTCCCATACTTCCCTCTTCACTGACACGGTGCTTACCTTTAGAGCATTTAAAGCGCATGTTACGGCAATTTTTTTCCACTCAGCTTATCTTATTCTACCCTTGTCTCTCTTGTACTGTATTTCTGGTGCTTTTGCAATAAGTATTTAAACATCTTGCGTATCACAGCATGGTCCGGGTTCTTAAATTACTGTATCATGTTATTTATTTATTTAACTGTTACAGGATAAACCCCATGTTCCAGATTCACAGCATGGTCCCGATGCCGAAATTACTGAGTTGTTTTATTAATTCTGATAGATTTTGTAGAGTCACATGTCGCAGCAGAAGTCCAAAATTATTGCCTTTTTATAAGGATAACTTGTTTATCACACATTGAAAGTGTCCTTCATAGCACGGATTAAGTGTGAAAATTAGTATTTTATTTATTTATTTAACTTATTTGCCGTACTGGGAGGCTTATAATTTTTACAGCGTGTTTTGAATGCTGAAATTACTGTACATACAAGTACCTATCTATGCCGTATTTTATCCGTTTAACTGGTCGACAATGTGAGCTATCAAACACAAAATGTAGCACTGCAGAAATTTCTTGCTGTATCATTTTATTTATTTAACTGGTTAATACTAGTAGGCTATTGTCGGTGTATCTCTTATACGAAAAGTAAATATCTTAGAAAGAGAAAAGTCTCTTCTTAGATAGTCACTTATTCTTTGCTTGTTAAATTTGTTGGCTAACAAAGTAAATTTCACTCGTAGTAAGCCTATGTTGAAGTGAAACTTATTAATTTTCTCATTATGAATCTTCAACGTCTTGCAATTTTTTCTTAGTTCAGGTATCTACACAGTAGCACTTCATTTCGTGAGCAAAATGACGCGCCTAATACCGTCCATATCTGGCACTGTCGTGTTTTTGTCGGCCGGACTGATCGTCGCAGATGCTATATATCCTCTTTCTCACTGTAAGAGCGCTTTTCCTGTATCGCGCTTTGGAAGGCTGTAAAATTATTTAATCATAATTACATAATATATAATTTACGACTAAAAGGCGATAGATATGTGGTGCAGTGAACTGTACAAAATCCGAATGCAATGTCGCATGAGCAAACCGTTTCTTAACGAGTTTGAGCAATACCGTATTATGGGACAGCGCTACTAACGAAGTACCTCTTCGTCATAAAGTGTATTGTTACAAGAAAATATCAAATGAACTCCGGTGTTGTGTATTTAGTTGAAATGGATCGTTTGTGTGGTCAGACCGTGGAGCTGAGCTGCCCTTATGAGGGGTTTATCTTGGTCGGGACACTGCGCTACAGCACCTTTCCCACCGGCAACTGTACCGTTCACATTGCCACAAAGACCCCAGGCGGCAACTGCAGAGTAAAACCAACGTGGTACCTGAATATCAAGTCAGTACTCCCTCCCGTCTGTTGCCCGTTATTTGTATTGAATAGTTCTGCTCCTTTTCCAGTGACTAGTGAATTTAACCTAGAATGCATATTGTGCTTTACATCTGAAGTCTAAACCCATGAGAAGATCGAGATGGTTTTTTTTCAACGTTTAAGTTTTAATTGTGCACTAGTTAGTAGTTATCGTTACCGTAATCGTGTTTGCAGGTTGGTTATTTAATTGCTATAGTTTATTAGCCGCTCCAGCTAACGGAATCTTTCTCTGACTAATGAGATTGCAGTACAATAATTTTTGCAAAATACTTTATGCAGTTAAACGGAGGCGTTTAAGTGGTTTAACCCTCCGTTTAACTGTATGGCTATATCTTTATCTTTTTTATTTAAATTCAGTCACAATTTACTTAACTGTTGGCGCTGGCAGTTGTCACATTCTGGCTAACTAGGCCGAAAATTTCAGGACTTACTAATCCGTTCATAAAAAAATTAAACGTCGAGTGCGTTTGAAGTAGAAATTATTCTTCTACGAAAATAAATGGTGGGTAGCAAAAAAGGGAAAACAACAAATATCACCACACCTGAATACTCGTGACCATTTACACTGGACTTCAAAATAGTCTTACCCTCAGGTATGTATAGCGCTATTACTGCGGGTGTTACTACCATTATGAAGTCCACTGTACCCGTTATCCGGCAGCGTGCAAAGCTGACCATGCATGATGCAACCACTTCGTGAGCGGTAACCAGAGCGTAACTGCTAGCGTGGCACTTTAGCTGGCGTGGTTATGAGTGGTGATCCGTCGTTTCGTCGACCATCACTTCGTTGATCCCAGTCAGGAAGTCGGGCTGGCGTTTTGCTTAAGCCTCTCGCTTTGCTAGCGTTTGCTTATTTCGTTTTTCTTAAGTTTCGAAGGGTTCTTCGGTTGTTTGGTTTTTTTAGTTTTCTTGAGCGTGTTTTGTATACGAGTTCTCAGGCTCTCACATATGTCTATTGGACTAATTTTAGTTTTCTTACTTTTCTTATGTTTCTGATGTTAAATTCTTATTTCTAATTATTCTTTATTATTCTTCTATTCTTATTTCTAATTCATATGTTTAGGATTTCTCTGGCTCTTTGGTTTCTTTCACTGTGCTTAGACTTCTTATCTTTCCTCGTGTTTTCTTAGTCGTTGTCCTAATGTTAATCGACGTCTTGCTGTCGATCTTGTGACAATCATAGTCGGCATAGTTTCTGCGGTCCGTTATGAACCACATGCCAAGACGTACCCGTTTGGTATTTGAGAACGCCGAAGTAGATTGGTGATTAAAGAAGATCCAGCATGTTCGAAATTATCTGTACTAATTTACAGGAAATCGAACATTCCCGAAGGCGCCGCACTGCACATCCTCCGGACGGGCAACGGCACGGACTGGACGAAGGTGAAGATTATCCCTGGTGGGCGTAGTTCAGCTAACCCCTATCCCACTTCCGTGGCCCAACTGAAAACCCATGTCATCTCCCAGAAGACGCAGCTGAGAATGATGTACAGTGGAGACGGAAATCACCATGCGACGAATTCCAGTCATTATGAACTGGAGATCGATTACAACGTACTGAGCGGTACGGTATTCTAACAATGGGAACTGACTTTCGTAACGCTTACACATTCAGCCTTCTTCGCTAAAGCCGATCCGATTGTGCGCTTTTTAACGCAATTTTCGAATACTTTCTCGCATGTAAAAACACCAATGGTATCCGTGCCTTTAAAGAGGATGACAGTCACCATTTCTTCCCATTACTTTTAAACTTTGAAAATACGTTAAAATTTTTTTCCATTGCAATTTTCATGACTTAGCAATTGAATAAGCGATGTTCAGACAAAAGTGAACAAACTCGCCTACAAAACAATGAAAAAAATTTTGGAAGCCCAAGCGCGCAAAAGCGCGAAGCGGGAAGCTGACTATTGTTTCTACTTATTTGAGGCTGACTAATTTCCTGAACGGCCAAAAACGCTGCTTGACTAATATTGTCGCGGTTTCACTGCATAGACAACAGTAATCCGGTTGCTGTATGGTGTGAAGCGCTGGGCGCTTACGTTCACCAGGATTTTGCCTGCGAGGGAGATCGCCTCACATGTCCCAGTGATTACTACGACACCGTTAATCGGAATCCCGCCACTGGTTTTGGTGCTTGCGGTACGAGATGTATTCAATTACTAATTGCTAGTAAACACTTGCAGTCTTGAACAATGACGTTGTTTGTCACGTAACACGATATTTATCGCGCACAACATACGAACAAACTATTCTGCGTTCGAGAAAACGAAAATTTGCTCAATAATGACGCAGTAACAGTAAAGAAACAGTAACACAAACCGACTCAAAAAAGAAACGTAACTAGCAGATCAAAAACAAACCATCAAGCTGATGCTGCTTCTCGACCGTTCCTAATACACAAGCAGCATTACCACGCTGAATTTCAATGCTCAACCGTTGCAAAAGAAAATGCTTAGCACGCGTTTCTCCAGTATGCTCCGTTATGCGTCTGGCCAGATCGTTAATAAAATCCATGGTGAGGGGTCCGCAGCTGCCCATTGTTTCTAGCGACCATTGTTTCTAATTCTGCGTTAAATACAAAGTTGCTGTAAATAGCCAGGAAAAAATGTTTCAAGTTACGACCGGCTTATTATTATAATAATAAAGTTTGTGTACGGCATTTCTAGTCAACGTTAGCGGACCGGTCTAGCGCGACGGCAACTAATTATTTTCGTAATCTGGATACTATAAAGTACCGGTATGCCATAATATTACTAAACCTTGGTTTGATAATATTTTATGAGTTTGAACAACGATTCGATACTCAGTACTGTTTTCGGTTTAATCTATGTGCTTGACCAGAAATGGCTCTTTAAATGTCCCATTTTCCTCTTGAATTAAGGCATTTTGTGGGCATTTTTAGGTCTGAGCAGTAGTGATATCTTCGGCATCATCATCGGCTGCGCATTTGGCCTGTTAATTCTCGGCATCGGCGGTGTAATCTGGTACAAGCGGAAGGAATGTTTTCTTTGCCCAACGAGAAAACGATAAAGTGGTATTATGAAAATGCTCTCCTTTTTGCCTTATATACGAAGTATTACAAATGTTTTTATTTTGTGCGGATTAACGCTGAATAAAGTATACTTAACTGTGAATACGTTTGTGTCTTTAAGAAAACGTTGCATTTTCTGATAAAATCGAAGAACGCTTCCGTGTTGCCGGTATTAAAATGTACTGCGTTTCCTTCGGAGCGTTTTATTACTCGTATTCTGAACTTCTAACATATTAATTTTATGCATTATGACGAAGGTATTTTAATTATAGCACCCGGAGATGACATCAACGCATCGATGTGTAAAATGTACATAATTAAATATCGGTCGTGACATTCTTTTCCAAGTCTCCACAGATTTAAACACAGTTAACGCTCCGTTCGATTTCCATTGTGAAGACTGAACATGCGCCAATTTTGTGACTCATTTTGCCTAGTGATTTGTGCAAGTTGACACAGTGGCGGTTATCATCGCTGTACTGATAACGTCAAGTTTATCGCCTTGTCGATGTCGTTATCTGATAAGCATTACCGAAATGTGCGCATTTTCTGCATTGCACCTGTCAGTTACAAATCGCCACCACACGTCCACATAATCTCCGTCAGCCGACTTTCATAACGTTATACACAGCTACCTTTCCAGTTGTGCTGTATATTTTTATTTTACACGGAACAAGGAATCTACTTTAGCTGATTGTACAGGATTAACGCGGGCACTATGAACTGGGAAACAATTTTGTTCAGCTGTTTTTTGGTGGTTTTTTATGTTGGATCAGGCTCAGGATTTTATTATCCAATTAGTAAGTGGGAAATAGATGATATGTATAGAGAACCTTTTGGTGAAGCCAGTTCAATTGAAATGGTCGAATTATGCATATATTTTTATCTATTCATGGTGTTTGCTAAGTGTAAATATAAATTGAAAAAGTGTATTTACAAGTACGAACTCATGCTTCGTTTTTAGCGCTAATGCGCAAACAGTGATGGCGTTTGCGCGCGTTGGATGTGATCTTTTTGCACGACATGTTGGTTGATTTTATTAATAAATTTTTAAAACGATGATTTTCCACTGATCGACTGATACATTTCCCCTTTTTTTCGTTCTACGTTATACTTGTACGCCATCTTGTTTACAAAAGTTTTCACGAATATTTTCGCCACAAAATGAATATCTACTGTTTTCTAATAGTTACCTGCTAATTAAACGGTTTAAGGTGCGCTAAGCGTTAGTGTATGAAACATGTATGAATCATGTGCATTACAGCTGATCTGGACGATAAATGTAACCGCACCATCCGAATCGAATGCCCGTGGGCGGTGCTATCCAGTGGGCGTGCCGGGACCTTTCGTTATCGCCGCGTTCCCGCTGGCAACTGTGAGGTCAACATTACTATCAGGAATACATACAGTACCTGTCGGTACACACCAACACTCTACTTCAACATCAAGTACGTCAAGGGAAAGCGTTAATTTTAGACGAGCTCGTGCCGGTAATTTTATTCCAATTTTAACGTAACTGGCGAGAGGAAGGAAGAAGCGTACAACAATATCGGTAGAATCACTGCGTATAAAATCGTTTTTTATGGTAGGAAATCGAGGATCTCCGAAGGCGCCGAACTGCTGATCCACAGCACGCATACCGCCCACGGTTGGCGCTTGGCAAAGCGCATCCCCGGAGGACGTAGTCCGCATAACAGAGATCCGACCTCAGTGGCGCAGCTGAAGACACGGATGCCGTACATGGAATCGCAGCTGGGTCTGGCCTTCATGGGCGATGGACGGACGTCGTCCAGCTACGAATTGGAGATTGATTATGCGGTTCTTGTCGGTAAGCCACTCTGTCGCTATCATTCAACCTACTGTATATTGATTGGTTAATTACAGTAATGATGCAGGAAGTGTTGTCCTACAGTTTATCAAGCGGAATTTCCCTTTAACTGTATAACACTTTAGTTACTAGTACTATTATTTCCCTTAACTGTACGAGCACTTTAATTACTTGTACTATCATTTGGTCGAACCACGGTTTCTTAACACGGTGAAGTACTGCGTTGGTGAAATTTGCTTCTATCACTCTAGATGACAACGAGTACAAAGAAGTGTGGTGTTCTGCGCTGGGCGCGTACATAAACGACGATATTGCGTGTGATGAGGACGATCGTATCACCTGTCCCTATGATTACTACGAGACTATCGGGCTAAACCCTGCCACCGGCTTCGGCGCTTGCAGTAAGTGCTTTTTCCATAACATTTTAAATGTGTCAGAAAACACACCGTTCGACGTTGCTTCGTCCAGTAGGCCTTAGAATCAAGTTCTTTTAACATACAGTAAATGTTGACCAAACTGATTGAATTCATGTAGAGCTGAGCTCCGGCGCCATCGCCGGCATTGTTATCGGCTCGGTATTCGGCGCCGCCTTCCTGTGCGGCTGTTGTGCGGCGTGTTGCTCCAAATCGAAGCCAACAACCACCAGCACAGCGAACCATTCCATCAACAGCACTGTGGTGGTGTCCGGTTATACACCGGAGGAACCCTCTAACGCAGCGCCCCCTTTCCCCTTCCGCGACGACCCACCGCCCTATCCCGCTGACGGATTCTTCCCGCCACTGCCCGATCCCTCCACGCTCCAGGCCACTGCAGCAGCATCGACGAATACCGATCCACCGAAATATTAAAACCTGGAGCAATCGCATTATAAATTTAAACACTTCGAAGTATCAAAAATTCCTGTGATAATGGCACTACATATATCTGTACCAGTAACCCATTCATGCAACCTTCGGACGTTCATTTAAAAGAATTGTGTGATTTTGTAACCGTATTGAGTAACGTAGGATTTAGTGTTCAACCACTCAGTGTCAGTGCGAATACGTGAACGAAAACCTCTGAAAAACCCAAGATGAAATTCAGCAGTTAATGCAGAAACGTTTCGATTAGCCGAGAATAACATTTCTGCAATAATTCACGAAGTTGAAACTGCATCGGTAAATGGTAATTAAAAATTTTGCAAATTTTAAACGCAGAAATCCCAAAGTGATCTTTAGATATTCCTCTCGAATATAAATGCGATTCTTGAAGTACATATTTACCATAAATTCCGTAATTTATCGTAGATACAGGTATTGTCATAAAGTACAACTTCTGTAAAACGTGATCCGCCCTTAGTTTATATTGACCATATTTCTTCTTCCATTACTTCGACATTTTCCGCATTCAGGATACTTCACAATACGGATTTGCGTTCCGGCCACCAGAAACACGGCATTCTCTGTGTTGTTCTACAAGAGAAAACTGATTTTTGTTATTTTCGTGTACAAGTGTGTTTAAAACGATAATGAACCACGAAATCACTTTATCAATCATTTTTGAAGAGTTTTGGTCATCTGGAAAAATACACAGTCGAATACCGCGCCTCTGGTGTCCGGTGTGCGAATCCGGAGTCCATATTGTAAAATTGTCCGGAATGTGAAAAAACGTCAAAATATAGGTATTCTCCTTAAGCATTAACTTTTTTTGTGAGACGTGTTCTCAATAAGATGTTGTCACGACTCGATGGGGGCGGCATAATATATTTATTATGAACTGCCACTGAGGGCGCAAAGAACCAACTGATTGTTGTCAACAGGAAACAAGGGCATACTGCTATCGCGGTTGCCATGCTAGATGAACAACACGCAAAGGTTAATAAAGGACAACACATTTTTATGTAAATATAATCAATTTTCTTAAAACAAGATCACTTCCGTCGCTGCCCAGTAGATAGATGCTAGATGGGCATCACACAGAGGTCACTAAAGGACAACACATTCTCGAGACGTCAGGGCCACTGCACTACGCCACAGATGTACTCGTACATAGAACCGGTGATTCCCAAATATTCCTGTTTACTAGTATAGTTATTTGGCAATTCGCATTGTCTACGTACATTTATCTCTTGATTTGTACTTCTTCTCAAAAATTAAAAAGAATTATTTTCCTTGTTTAAAAGTTTGTAGTAATCTAAAAGTTTCTTCCTATTAACTGCTGCAAATGTTAAATATTTTGTAAAAAGTTGTAGTTTCTGATGCATTGGTTGATTCTTCCTTACAGAGAGATGAGTTGGTGGATGCCAAGTTGCCCAGTGTATGACAGTGATTCTTGTGGCGGACTTAGTGAATCTGCAAAGTTTGGAGCCGGGGAAGATCTACCTGTCTGTTAGCGCTCCTACGGTAAGGTCACTGGTTTTTTGAATAATATTATTATTTGTATTTAACGTTGCAGTTTTTGTTACCGGAAGCATGGAAAATCCTGGATTTATTTTGTAATTCATCAATATACTCGTCATGTGTTACCCAGTGTTGGATTAACTGGTTGACCTTTGTTTTGATATCTGTACAATGTGCGCGTGCTAGCTTGCTACGTTGTTCCTTATAATCCAGATCGTGGCGTTTTTTTTCGCTCGGGTAGTGGTATCGCCCCAGACAGCTTCACCAGGAAACTGCGTAGTGCCGATGATGAAAACTGGTCCGTAATACGGCCTTACGTAATTAGCAACTGCATTAATTTTGACTGATTTAATCTTTATGTGGACCTGCATTCTGGATTGCTTGGCTACTGCGGTCTTCCTTCTGAATCGGCTCTGCACCTTTCGGACAGCGTTACCCGGTAAACGTTCCGTGTTCATTCATCGACTCATACTGGGTTATCAATAATTTTACATGCTGAATGCAAAGATTTAAGACGCTGGTATAGAACGGGGAAAATGAAGCACATAAAACCCCTTCCCGGTACTGCTGCCGTCACCCGGCGGGGTTGTGACGTTTTGGTGTAACATGGCTCATAAGCACCGCGCCGGCTTTAACCAATTCCCTTAGCGATATTACTGCACAGTACGGGATGATATACAAGCTTGTCCGGTAATTTCTGGCGAATCAATACAGCGAATTACAAAAATTTGCGTGTTACGCCAAACTCCACACTACGGCGCGCCACGCCATATTGTTTAAACACGTAACTTGCATTTGGCTGGCTGGTGGCTTGGTACACGCCATATAATTTTAGGAGAATAATAGTAACTGCCTGGCGGAAAGTGGCTAGAAAATGCGGTGCAGTAAGCGACGATCTGACTGCGGAGCGCAAATAGGGAATCTAATAAACGTAGTGAAGTGGCCGTCGTTAAAAGCGCGAACTTCGCGTTAGCTGTACCTTTACGTAGGAAATTACCGGACAAGCTTGTACACTATAGAGCATATCGGAGAAAGCTGCATCACTTGGCTGTACCTGACGGTCACAAGCGCCATGATTAATTTTTATATACATTTTTAATGCCTCAACTACGTTTTATTGTTTTAGAAAATTTAGTTTTAACGGAAACGTTTAGAATCAACGATTTCTGATAGAGGAAAGTTTGCTCTTTCTAATGATGTGTTTTCGTAAAATGACGATAAATATGCACATGTACCGGGCCAAATCCCTTAAATGTGTTGAGCTATGCTGTCACTAGTAAAACTTTTGCATGCCTTTTTGTTTACTTAGTTTTATTGTTATACAAGAAACAGCCTCGGCTTCGCCTCCGCGTTTCTTGGGTTCTAAACTCCTAGGCCGGTTTACGGATTGTTAACTTAGAACGGATAAATCTGAAGAGCCCGATAACAAAAATTTTTAAAAAAAAATGGATGTTTTGGTTTCGTGCAGTCGAACGCAATTACTTTGACTTTACAGATCATTTTTATTAAATTTTCGTAGCGAAAAATCATCCGAATCTAATCACCCACGAGAGTACCACATTCCAAACTAAAAGGACGCTAAGACTGGACAATGGTGCTAGATAGGTCACCCACTAAGAACTTAGCGAGCCCTGTTCTATTTTGCTCAGTAATATTGCAGTTTGGTCATACGTTCACCTAACGGGCTCTGTGCACTGGATAGCATTGGTAGCTCGGTCACTAGATCACTTAACGGAGTTTGTGCACTGGACAGTAGTGGTACCTCGGTCATTCTTTCACCTAACGGGTTCTGGGCACTGGACAGTGGTGGTAGCTCGGTCACTAGTGTAATAATTATGTCAATTGGTATTTTGTATTGTATCTAGGCAAATATTTCAAAGTTTCAAGGTGACCTTTAAGATGGGTTGGATCAATCTGGTCTTGATGCCGGCTCGATATTTTCATAAAAAAAACATGCCGGCCACTTCTGAACTATCCCGGATCTAATGGCGTTGTCCGTTTTTCCAGAAGTTTTATTGTTATAGAGATCTCAAAACTATGGGGCGCCGCGCGTAGTATAGATCTTGTACTTAATAAGCTTCTGTAGTTGAGAGTTAACGGTCGGGTGAAGTTTTGAACTCATATCACGATTTTTAATAGCGGTTGCTACCTGCTACTTCGGTTTTATGCCATAATTTTTTGTCTCCCGACCAGAAGTCCTCTAAACGAAGTGTCCCCGGCGAAATGTCCCGCGACGAACTGTCCCGCGACGATTTGTCACGTAGACGTCGGGTAGTGTACATGTGGGACACTTCCTTGTCGGGGTCCGCGGACCTGAAGGTAGAAAAATGTTTTTGGAGTTTCGTGTTGACGTTGAGTGGTTAGTGATATACGCAGATCATGCGCATCCGAGTCCGATAGGCGTATTTCCGTGTTCAACACGGAAATACGCCTATCGGACTTGGATGCGCATCATTAGGGACCGATCTCCCTTAAATCGTGCATATAAATGCACGCAGGTAGCCAGTTTCTAAAACAAAGTTGACATGGTAACAGCGAAATCCAAGAGAGCCTCTTGTAATACTGCAGCGCGCTACACCACGCCAATTGCGGAAACAGGATAATGATTCCAAATACCATATTTATTGGCACAAATACTATAACTTCATCTGGAAGACTCCCCAGCCGCCTGGCTGTTACGTTAACCTGGTCGTTTCGGTGTCAGTGAGCATCAGTATCACTACCTTCCATGGGACCTTCACCGGCTTACTCGGCCGGCTGTGTCCGGAGCATGCCACGCCCACCGCACAGCGAATCACGCATTGGATGTTCCGTCTCTTGGGCGTTTTGGTGTCCTTTCGAACCAAAAAACGCTCGCTTGAGAGCCGAACTGGTGAAGAAGACACAACAGGAAACGGGTCAAAATACCGGCGACGGGTGTCCCGTAAATGAACGGAAACGGGAATACTTTGGTAATGCCGTGGGTATAAATAAACTTCAATAAATGCCGGAAGAAATGGGGCACGCGGTGAATTTTCGTGGGAGTTCGTTTGGGCACCTGTATTTGCTTTCCATAGAGCACGCATAAAGATGTTGCATTCGGTCCGCGACTGACAATTTCATGGCCAGGACCAAATGACCAATAAATAGGAAAAACGATTAACTGCACACGGACTCATGCTGTACTCGTATTCAAAAACTTGGGCTGTGCACGTTTCGAAACTGAATCCGACATATCTGATCGATTTCTCAAAAAAAATGAGAACAAATCGGCAAGATATTCCATATTAACCATGTAGCCGGCAAATACCGGCAACACGACACGCCATATTTGCCGTGTAACCGGTTTACGCGGCATTTTGCATAAATAATGGAATGGGCGGTAGCGGGATACTTCATATGGACACTAAATAAAAAAGGCGGCACCATAATACGAGCACATACTATACAAAGCGCGACGCTATCAAGCAGTTGTATTATTATTAGAAATGGCAAGACTTCTATTCGGATACGTACACTATATTGTACCGGCTGGTTCTTGACATTAATTTTCACAAATTACTTTACATAATTAGTAAAGCAAGTGTCATGTATTCATAAAAATACAACTTTACTTCATCATCGCCGGCAGTCAACTGATGGTCAAATAGTGACCTGCGTACGTACATCTAGGTTGGCAACCAGACCGCTGCCAACCGCAAGGTTACAGTACATCACACCTTTCCTTCTTATAAAAAAAAGGTTAT